AATTACCTTCTTGTCTTCTATGTTGTTGAGCACATTTCAAGGATCTATAACCTCATTTTAAAGCGTCTACAATCACTTAGTAATAGTCTGAAATGATTCCATTTTTCTGCACTAATTTCACGTTGGTTCTTTTTTCTTCTTCTTCACCAACACATCCGAATGAGAACATAAATTTTAATATATTTTACAATTTAATACATGGATATAACATTTTTGTGATGAAACCCCTAGAGAATTTTTGTTAAAAGCAAGTTTTAATTTTTCCTTTTCAACGACACATTCATTACGTCTGGTCTGGAATCTTTTTTATGTTTATAGCTCTCTGTATGTGTGCTTCGCTTCAAAAACCATGTCGAATAAAAGTATCTTTATTATAATTAGAAAGTTTTCACTTGTCACATAATATCAGGTGCTATGTTATTTAGTCGTTTAACAAAAAATTTACGTAAATATGGTGAAAATATTCATCTTTTGCAGCTACTGCTGCTTTTTTTTGTTCTTTAAATATTTATCAACTTCTTTTTTTTTGTACAACCGTCTCCCACCAAATCTTCAAAGAATTTTACACTTCTTTTACTTTAAAGTATGTGGATACCACTTCAACTTGAGTTCTTAACAATTTCCTCTAGTTAGTTTATTTAGCGTTTAATTTAATGAAGTTACTTTTAAGGTGGGATGATTTTTTGGAGTTTGTTTCTTGTATTTTTTTAACGATCCTTTTTAAAATTAAATTGTTTGAATTGCATTAGGGAAAATGATTTGGGGTGTGAGGGGTATAGCAAGTTGGGTACGATTACATTTTTTGTTTATTTATCAGCAATGATTTTCAATTTGTTTCTGTGAACATTATTAAAATTTAAAATTTAATTAAATGAATTCAAATTATTGCTACTTTACGATTAATACTTAAGATAGAGTTGCTACTTTACGATTAATACTTAAAATAGTTGACTAATGTTAGGCAGAAATCTTGCAATCATAATAAATTTGGAAACAAATGGAATTCAAGAATTCAATCGGATTCAATTCTTCAATCCTTTGAATATCAATTTTAAAATCATTGTTCAAGCATTCCAACGAATAAAATGCAACTCAATATGATTTAGATTCAGATCTGGATAATATTTGGTTCTAGAACCAACATATGTCTACATTAACCTATGTGCATCTTGGGTAGTGAACCTAGTCACAATATTAGGTTAATTTGTTTCTGAGTTTGAAGTCGATTTACTTAAAATTCTTGTCATTCAGTCATTGAAGTTGTCACATCTTTCAAACAACTTACTTACTTACTTTATTAACCATACAAATCAATTAAAGATTATGACTTTTCTAAGTTGGCACTTAATGCTAGCTCATTTAGGAATATTTCTCTTATAGAACTTGACAATTTATTTACTAGTGAGTCTTATATCCATATTATCTTCTATAAATATTACTGAAACCTTGTCATATCTATAAAACTTAATCTAGACATTCTTAAACTTTGAATAAATTTTAAAAAGGACTCCTGCTGTCAAAAATACAGAAAAAATCTAAAACTCGTAACTTTATAGGCTTCAAATTACGGAAGATGTCAAAAAATCGTGATAAAAAATTATTATTCTAAATCCAATAAATTTTTGGTCCTCAATAACATTAAATATCCAGTACCATTACCAGTTACTCCCAACATTAAGCCACTACACTTTAATTAGTAAAGTAATCCATAAAAAATTTTTATCACCATCACTCTCTTTAAAATCATAAACTCAAAGTCGTCCCACGGTCCCTCAGTTTTAAAATAAATTTGGTAGATGAACATAATCCAATATCATTCTATATCCATTTATGACAAATAAATTTACCAACGAAAGAAAAATAAAAGCAGTGCGAGAGATAGGAGCAAATAATCCAATCTAGAAAGATTATTTGCTTTAGTAAATCAGCTTTTACTCTAGCTTGACACAAAAAATAATGAGCAATTTTTTAATAAACATTTGCACCATGAAGTACCAACACACAAAAAATATAAATCGAGACAGTTCCAACGTCGTTATAAACAACAAAAACAAAGTTCTTTTTAGCGCAATTTTTAAAACATTGGCTCATTGTGGCTGCTTTGTACGTTAAAATTTAAGTATGTCTGTATCCAAAAGGGAGGTCTGAATAATTAAAATTTGGTTCAATTGCTGTGTCAGAACTTTAATTTGATCCAATAATGGATTTTGAGAGGCAAACAACTAGTAGAAACTGTTTTGAACTATCCTGAGGGTCATATAACTATTCTGGAATTGTTTTAACTATCCCGAGAGGCAATAAGGTTCAAAATGACGTTGAGGTGATCGTTATGTGAAGACATGTGGTTTTAAAATTTTAATCTGATTGCAGCTAAGGGACCGTTCACTAATGACGTCCAAGGGGGGGGGGGGGTCCGTAAGAAAAGAACCATAGAAATTCCAGGAAATCCATTGTTCCTTTATGAAAAATCACAATTAAATTCGGACGTCATAAGTGAACGATCCCTTAGGTATCCTTTAAAAATATTTCATTTAAATAAGCTGAAATGTGGCTTGTAGATTTTCTTATTCTCCTTGATTCTACTTAAAAATGTATAAATCTTACAAACAGCAAAAAAATGCGCTTCCATGTGACATTAATGAAGACATTAATTACTAGTTTTGTTTGCATTCTAAAGTAATTAAATATAAATAATTGTGCCGACTATAAATTGCATAAAAGCAGTTTAAGTTTCACATAAAATTTGATTATTAAAACAAAAAAAAAATGAGAAAAAGAGAGAAAATTCGTCTTTTTAATTACGTAAAGGCACAAAGGAGCAACGAGATAATCCTAAAAGTAACTAGCATTATACACGTATCTCGACGATGCCTTCTAAATCAAAATATCTATGTATATTAAATAGGAAGATGTGTATTTAAAAAGTCTTTAGAGAAAAAAGGAGAATCACTGCTATCTTAATGAGTTGTTATCCTTTTTATGATCAGTGTTTAAATACGCTTCAAGTTTTCTGTGCTTTAAACAATATTTTTCCTGTAACTGTACCTTAATGACAAACAAAGTAATAAAAAAGGGCTAAGGCAATCAAATCAATTGAAAGGGTTAATTTCTAAGGAAAAGTGCCTTAAAGTATGTAAATATACGATATATGCATATATACATATTTTTAAGGATAGAAAAGAAGTCCTTTCCATTTTCTAAAGATTCTACCATTAGCATTAAATATTCATCATTTACATCATTAGGAGGCAAAAGGTTAAATTTTTTGGTTTTATATTCTTTTAACTATACACAATACATACGCCCGTAATTTCCTTATCATGCCAGCATATTCGATATTCTTTTCCTACAAACATAATGTTAATCAAGAGCACTTTCCCTAACAATAATATAAAAATTACTCTGTTTATCGATTTGCCGTCGGGAAAAAAGAAGAAGAAAAGCTGAGAAGGGAAATTGTTCTCTGTCTTCCTGCATTCAGATTTAATTTCTGATTCTAAAGCATTCACATTCTTTTTGTTATTTTAAATCCCATTGCGATTTGAGAAAAAATTTATTTTTCACAGTTGACGCATTATCAAAAATTAACACAATTTATTTTTACAAAAAAATAAAAAATCAACTTTTCTTTCCGGGAAAAACTGAAGTCACTCTTCTTTACCTTTTGTGTCGCACAGCACAATAAAAAAATATTTATAATGATAAGGAACATTATTAGAGGAATATTTTGATCGCAAGGAAATTTGATTGAGCAATTTTGGGGAAACAATTTTTATTACAAATATTTAAATATTTATTCTATTTTTTTTACATTGAGAAAAATGACTAATCCATTTTCCATTATACGGGAAATAATTTCATCATATTTTGATTCTGATTTTGCTTTTTTTTTTTTTTTGCGAAAATAAGATTTGTTTTGAAAACAAACAGAAGGATCGAGGGTGTGTCAATAGAGAATTAAGTGATGTTATTGAAATGTTGTTTGGATTTTTCCCATTGATGTGAAAATGCTTAGTGAAGCGAAAAGAGATGCGAAATTTAAGCTTTCATTTAAATCTTAATATTATTAGAGGAATATTCTGCTTTACACTTCTTTAAGCTTATTTTTATCTCTAATGTCGAAGTTCATTTGTCAATGCTTTACTTTTTGCTTCATTTTTTACTAAACGCACTATTGATCCGAAAAAATTACTAAACACACTATTGATGCGAAAGAATTACTAAACACACTATTGATGCGAAAGAATTACTAAACGCTATATTGATGGGAAAAATCACTAAACGCACTATTGATGCGAAAAAATTACTAAACGCACTATTGATGCAAAAAAAATACTAAACGCACAATTGATGCAAAAAATTACTAAACGCACAATTGATGCAAAAAAATTACTAAACGCACTATTGATGCGAAAAAATGAAGCAAAAATAACAGATACAATTTCTGATGATTCTATTAAGGAATTGGGTTCGGTTCAAAACCATTGCAAATTTTTGGACTTTCGAAGAGCAGGTCATTATTTATGCGAAATGTCTCAAGTTTCAATGGACAGGGTAGATTCAAGTGCTTCCCAAACTATCCTCAAAAATTCATTTTTTTTTGAAAATTATTTAAGAGTTTCATAGAACATAGTTTTAAACCTTCAGCCTAAAGCTATTCTTTAAAACATAGTAGGCATCATGTGTCCTGGTTATTAAAGGTTCATTATTAATAATATCAATTCAGATCATTCCAAAGCATAAAATCCAAATTTACCACAAACTATTAACAACATTATTTCAAATTTTTCGCATAAATTCACGCATATTTTCCATAAATAATGCAAAAAAGAGTCCTCAGCAATTTTTTTTATGCCAAATGGCAATCAATTTTCACACCCCACTTAATATTTCAAAAATATTACAAAAGATTTAATTCCTTACTTCCTTTCCTCTCTCTTTTCAGCTGTGTGAATTGTTTTCGAGAACCGCGAACATATGTAAATTATATGCGATGAGTGATGAAAGATTTGTGTTTTGAAAATAATAACAATAAGAGTTCAATCATTGATGGTGACAATATAAAAGACAATTTTAATAATATTAATAAGACAAAAGAGTCATCAGCGCAGAGACTTGAAATCAGTGTATCAGAAAATAATAATAATAATAATAATAAGTGCAAAACTATTTGGAATGAACATGACATCAAGCATGCAATGTTACAAGCAAATCAAGTTAATTTGAAAAATTCTCTAATTCACGGTACTGCTAAAAACCAACTGGTAAATTTAAATTTCTTCTCAACCGACGGGAAACTTGATCAACGTAAAAATCTCGAAAAACTTTCATTGCAATACGTCTTAAGTAAAGGTAAGCTAGCACATTGTGTTGATTATTCCTTCTTTAAAGAAATTAATTTTACTTAATATGTCATTACTATGACAACATAAAGGAAAGATATTACTCATTAATTGCATATTTGTATGCGGTATAAGAAAATAATTCATAAATGTTTCTGGAGGGTTTTTTTTTTTGTTTTTCTGGAAAGGAAATCCGTGAAATGAACACAGATGTGAGCATAGTAACGTGATTTTGTATACAACCTGTTCTAGTGTTTTTCGAGTAATTTCACAATTTTGGTGTATTATCCTATCGTAGCTCATTTCATGTCATGTTTAAAATTTTGAAAATTATTCAATGTTTTTGATGGAATTTGAGAAAGATAATTTTATGCACTTAAATAGATCATATTCTTTTACAATCCTACACTTAAATATTTGTGAATATTACTTCAAGCTGATTTAAAAATTTGGAGTTTCTTTTAAATTCACAGCTTCATTTCACTCTTGGTCTTTAAAGAAGAACTCATAGATCTTATAAGAATTGTTTTTGTCAAGTTGTAATTTGATTTAAAACTGTTGATAGATCCTCAAAATTTATATATTAAAGGAAATAGCCCTTTTAAATGAAATGACCCTAAATTAAACCAAAGTCGGGTGTTGAAAAATTAAAATCATTGATTATTTCACAAAAAAAAAATAAGTGCCTTTGTGTTTATATTCTCAAAACAGTTGAAAAAAAAAGAAACAATTATAAGTTATGCTAGAGAGCTAATTGATAAATCACTATTATACTTTTGATGAGATTCGAACTCACGAACCAATAAAGTTTTTGATTAATAGTTTATTGTTCAGGATCTTAAATTTAAGAACTTTAAATCAGAGTGGCAGAAAAGTCATTTTAAAGCTTTAATCAATCAGATTCATCCTTCTTTTACATTCCTTAATACTAATATTAGTTAAATTTACAAATTTTAATACAAAGCTTAATTGTTACCAATTTTACTTGTGTAAATCATTTAAAATGCAGAAATTTGGTTCTTAAATGTTAGTTTACAGAAAACTATTTAACAAAAAGGCCAAAAATTCATAAAAATAGAAATCAAATTTCATAATTTAACCTAAAATTACTCAAAACTAATGTCAAACTCAAACTTTTCTGTCATTATATTCAAAAACACCCAAATTGACACCACATAGTTTTACTTTGTGTAAACATAACCCTATTCAAGACTTTAATAAACTAGTCAAAAATATATCAAAAGAAGAAGAAAGAAAATTCCAAAAATAAATAGCGAGAAAAAGTGAAAATCCACATCCAATTTGTAAAATATCTCAAAATTAGAAGTTAATTTAGTCTTCTTATTATAAATTTTACATTATAGTAACAAAGGAATTTATCTTTAAATAAACACACCATCATTATATTCTTATTAATTCCAATTAACTCGTTAAAATTACAATTTCTTTTTTAAACTCGAGAATAAAAATCTTTAATTAAGAAACACCGGCACCGACAAGTGTAGTCATAATATTCCATATCCAACTCAATCCTTTCCTCATTAAATTTTTGCTTGAGACACAAAAGAAGTTGAAAAACTTTCTCCTTAGCAAATTTTCTTTAAAAATTGATTTTTTTCCAAAAACAACACCAAGAGATTATGAATTAAGACAAAAAAAAGTTAAATTTTCTCAAATCTTTCAACATTGTCCCTTTCAAGACATGGCACAAAAATTTTTATTATTAAAGTATTGTTATCGCTTGCTCAGCTGCTTATGTATATAACACGAAGTATATAAGAAATTAGGCATCTATGGTAATTAAACTTGAAATTTTGGTTGAAGTTCTAGAAAACTTTGAAAAGTACTAAAAGTGTTTTATAAACTTTTGGAGACTTTGAAAAAAGTTTCTTTTCCCCATTCTTTTTATATACCCGCGCGCATTCACTTCCCAAAGAAATATCTAATTTTCAGAAAAAAAAAACTTTTCAAAGTTTCTTTTTCTTGTTTTGAAAAGTAAGGCAAATTTTTTAGACGTATAAAGTTTTTACAACTCATTACGACTTTTATTCATTACTGCTTTTATTATTTTATATTCAGACTTAAAGTCACAGTCCCTTTTTCTTCACACTCATCAACACTGATCTTTAAAGAGTTGTTCTCCTTTTCTTCTTTGTTTTGTCATTGAAAATTTTCTTCTTTACGACTATTGAAATTTTGTGTTTAACTCAACTTTCTTTTGTCTCTTTTATTTTTTCAAGGACCGACCAATAAATGCCCAACAGTTAGTTGTACAGGACAAGGTCACATTACTGGTCTATATACTCATCATAGAAGGTATGATTGATGACTCAATACTTAACAATTCTATTTGTTTAAATAATTGTGGATGATGATGTTGGTTAATGTTAAGCATTTTGAGCTTATTGGCCGTCGGGAGGAGACTAGAATCAACTTAACTTTTACACAGTGTTGCAAATGTAGATGTCTACACTAGATGAAGAATGTAGATTCTTCAATAGTTTTCGTCTAGCTAAAAAACTTTCTTCATAAAGATCGATTCTACATGAAGATAGAAAATCTAATCTACACAAAGATTATTTCTACATAAAGATTCGATGTAGATGTCTACAATTCTACATTTTTTCTAGGTCTACATCAGAGAAGAATGTAGAATTGTAGACATCTACATCGAATCTTTGTGTAGACAGAATCTTTATGTAGAAATAATCTTTGTGTAGATTAGATTTTCTATCTTCATGTAGAATCGATCTTTATGAAGAAATTTCTGTCTCAGAATTTATCTGATCCAGACAAATCGCCAGAATGCAACACTGCTTTTACATAGTTTTGAGTGAATCCTAAACTACAATCACTTCAGTTGAGGTTTCATATGATTCAAATTATTAAGGTCTTTTAGTGGTTCCGTTACTTTATTTTGCTTACTAGGATCACGAGACAGAAAAATTATAAAACCCTGAACAATATACGAGCTACAAAACAAAACCAATAAAACCAATAAATCAAATGTAAGATGTTCTTGGTTATGCTAATAATCTAGGTTCGATCCTGATATCAATATAGTCTCATTTAAATGATCTTTTAATTTTCTAGCTGGTTCTAGCAATTAAATCCGACTTGTCGCTCGTAAGTCTATAACTATATGCATTTTTTAAGTTCTATGGGGGCATGTTTTAGTTCAAAGTTAATTTAAAATAAAACTTTCAATTGATTTTCTATAAGTTTTTCAACCGTAATTTTTTGTTGCTTAATCTAAAGAAAAACAGGTTGGAAAAAACTCCTTTAGCCTTAATAAGCCAACGAATATATGAAAAGTTGATTACTTCATCGCAATCCAAAGTAAAATTAAATAAATGCTAAATAAACAGCATCAAAATCATCCGCAAAATGTAAATTGCATCTTAACCAAGACAATGCTCATCCTTCTAATTCAAAATTTTCTCTTCTCCCTTCTGTCATCTAGTTTATCAGGCTGTCCACGAAAAGATAAACTCTCATCAGAATGTAAGTTGATGAAAACTTTAAAATTTCTAATATTTGAAAACTTCTTCATTTTCACACAAAAATTTTAATCTACATTTTATTATTTATAAAAGTATTAGCACTTAATGAAACTATCTTGAAATGTCCAACACCGAATTGTAGTGGAAGAGGACACATTAATTCAAATCGTAATTCGCACCGAAGCTTATCTGGTTGCCCAACTGCTGCTGCAAATAAAGCTGCGGCTAAGGAACTTAAATATCAAAATAGTTTATTGTTTAGAAATAAATTGCATTCGACAGGTGAATTGGAATTGTTTTATTGTATACTTGTATCATTAAGTTTAATGAATCTTGCATATCCAACAGTTTTAAATTTTCACCATTTATCTGAATATCAATCAGCATCGTCGAGTGTGAGAATAAATAAAGATTTATTATTGACAGAGTCTGACTCACAGCAAGTGAAAGATTTGTCAAAAACTGTTGAGAAATCCAATCAAACTTCAACGTTGGTACATACATTTAGAAACTCAGACGAGCCTAGTTCATCAAGAGATTTAAACAACAAAGAAAGGAAGGAGAGAGTTGAAAATAATAATACTAATAATAATAATAAGAAGGAACATACCGAGAAATTTATTGAAGACACACTCAAATCAGAAAATTTAAATATGCTAAGTAATCCGATTGAAAATCACTATTCACGCGAACCGGATTTGCGATACACAAGCTTAAGTGATGTCTCACGCTCTATTTCATCTTACGCAATTGACAGTGTGACAGCTAATCGCTTAGCCATGCAAGAATACGATGTTCAAGCTGTTCATTCAACAAATCATCGACCCTACGACTCCACATCTTTAATGAATTCACAAACGGCATTTGAACGCTATGATCCAAATTATTCGCTCCAAAGAACATCAATGTATTCACCATACTGTCAGCCAACCCTTGAAGAATTGGCTAATCAACAAAAGTATCTATTAGAGCAGCAACAGCAACCACCATTAATGAAAACCGAGCCGGATGATTCAAATAATGGTCCCGTATATCCCAGACCAATTTATCATTCCTACGATCCAACAGGTACGATACAAAAAAAATTTACCACTATATAAATATTTCATAAACTTTTGCTCTGCTCAATTTTCTGATATTTGAGTTTGGTTACTGACCATGGCCCGAGTAACACAAATTGCAATAGCTCCAACACGATTTATTAAAAGTCCTTTTTAAATCCTTTTATTGACACCATTTAAAGGAGCTTCAATGTGAAAGTGTTTGTTGCTCGGGTAGGGCTTCGAGACTGTGAATTATCTTCAGCATATGAAAACTTCTTGAATCCCTAACCGCACCAGCAAAAAAATGATGAGAAATATGAAAAAAATTGCATCAATTTATATTAATTAATGTTATCTTTAGTTCCTTACAAAGCATCATCCAGTTCCCCATCACCGACATCTACCACTCCAACAGGATCACTTGCATCGGGTCCGAATGTAAATAATGGTGGTGGAAATGTAACAACAAATAACAATGGAACTCCATCAAATACACCAATAATTGATTTATCTACAAGTAACATAACATCAACAAGTCCGCAATCGGGTTTTTCATCAAGCGAATATGGCGTTAATCAAAGGAATTCACGAAGTCCACAGCCGGAGTCGAGTCCACAAATGGCAAGCCCACAAGTTCCAAGTCCTCAAGGGCAAACACTTGATTTAAGTGTGAATAGAATCTCACAAAGGTAAGTGCGGAGATTAAACTTGAATTGAGGGGTTTTTAAAAAAATAATTTAACAGCAGCATAAGAATAAAAAGGAAGTAGGAAGAAGATGAGAAAAGAAAAAAAAATCCATTCATGTCTTAAAATCCTTGCACATTATCTTAATCAACATGAAGGATGAAGAGAAAAAAAATATGAGGAGCAATAAGAAAGCATCAGCCATTCAGTCGTACATACAAACGGCACATATAGCGAGAAATAAGAATGGGAAAAGAAAAGGAAATCTTGTACATGAATGAATGTATATTACACAGATATATACATTAAAATCGTTATAGAGTATGTTAATAAAATAGCTTGGAGTAGATTTTATGTTTTTTTGCTCCTTTGTTATATGGATAATGCTATAATTTTGAGGGGTTTTGTATGCTTAATGTGCCACTTAAAACATTTTTATGCTAACAAAGATATAAAATTATCCTTTGGCAAGGTGGCGAATTGTTTTATGATATTCCCCAAAAAAAAAAGGAACTGACTGAGAACAGAATTTTACGGCTTAATACATGACAACAGCGCATTAATTCAGTAAACATGAAATTATGCGCTGAAAATGTGTTACATCAAATAACTCACATTAATCACCCTTAAAAAATCTCTTCCTCGTCTCCACATCCTACATGCCGTTGCTAATGCTGTGTTTTTTTTTTATATTTTATATTATAAATAATACATAAAGTAGAGTTAAGTATGTGAGCTGAGATTTATTAAAACTTACATTTTCTTTCAAAGTGGATCTTCTGAAAATTCTTATCCAACACAACCAGATAATAGTAATACCACAACACCACATCAAAATGGCTTTTTATCTCGTTCACCACAAAAAATTCAAACGGAACCGGTTGATTTTAGTGGAAATCAGCCCGTTGACTTCAGTGGACCGCGAATGGGATTCGGAATTATTGGACCGACACCATACTCTAGAGAATCAACTCCAGACAGCGGTGGATCTCATTACATTGACAACTTTAGGGATCCGAGTGGTAAGACAAAAACAAACAAACAACATGCTGCATACTTATTATTATTCTATAGAATTCTCATACATAAATCCAAACAAATTTATCATAATAGAATTGAAATAGGAACAAGTCAAAAAGGCATTTAAATTTCATATTTTTCCATTAGCATATAGTCCACATCCGACATACGGAATGGTTCCCGATTATGCAAATAGCTATCCAGGTTATGGCCCGAATGCTTATCAATGTGGAAGCTCATATGGCAGCTCTTTAGGCCCAGGTGTTGTTTATCCTGTTTCTTCTGTTCCAAGCCCATACTCCTCGTCAACATCTTGTTATGCAATGCCACCCCCACAACACTTACCATCGCATGACAAATTGCTCTCTAAGGACGGGTGAGTGTCTTGTGAAAGCTAGAAATTAAGTTATTTATTTTAAGAAAAAGACGTATAAAACCTTTTTTTCTCTACATACGAGAGATGCTGTACAATGACTCTCTTGTCTTGGCGAACAATGTTTACACATGACTTATACATTCACATAAATTTTACAACATAAATTTATTCTCCTTTTATTTTATTTCATTTCTTTCATTTTATTATATTATTTTTGTTTTCTTATCGACTCTCCTAACCCCCTCCCTATATATCCTCACATCCTCCCTTCAGTATTATTATTATTATTATTATGTTCTATTTCTTAAAAGAAGATTTCATTTGCACTTTTCAACATATAAGAAGATACAAAACATACACAATATTGTGTACAGGATTATAACCATCCATATGTAAAATTATTCAGTCTTATCCATAATTTTAATTTTAATTACAAATTTAAAAACAAGTACCTAGGAGAACTGAAAACAAACATAATGTCAACACTCTTAAAAATTCTTAAATAAAAATAAGAAAATGAGAAATTTTTTTTAAAAAAGATGAGGACGACTCGAGAGATGAAGAAAAAATTAAAATGTGGTAAAAATTTGTACAAAGACGCACAATTGTGTATTTAATTTTATATGCAAGAAATTATCATATTTTTTTTCGAGTCGCTGTCTCTCTCACTCGTTTGGGAATTCAAGGGAGTGGAATATAGGAGTTTTTAGATATTTTGCGATGGAACTCTTCAATGTTAGCTAATAAGAAACAAAACGCATAAATTGCCGATTTTTGAATGAAGATATTCAATTTAAAAAACTGTTTAATGGGAAAGCAGATACAGAAACAAAATTATTTTTTCGTAAGGGGCTGTTCACTTATTACGTAACGCGAAAAAATGACTTTTTAGACCCCCCCCCTCGTAACAAAATTTGTATGAAAAAAAAATTTCCTTGTTTGAACCGTAACAAAATCTTAGACCCCCCTCCCCCCCCCTAAAAGCGTTACGTAATAAGTGAATGGCCCCTAAGGATTTGAACATTTCAGTTTTGAATTTCAATCTTAAGTTCGCTTAAAAACCAGTTTTTAAATTGCATGCTCATATTTGGCAGAATTGCATTCATAAACTTCAATTTTAATAAGTAACACACAGTGAATACAATTGTCAAGAAAAATAGCTAAGGCAGAAGCTAGTATATAACGTATTCAAAAAATAATTAAATAATGAAGAAGATGACTAGAATTTTTAAAAGTTATGTTTTTTCCGTTTTTTCTCAGACTTTTGAATGTCATAAGTTGAGTCAGAATATCGGAATTTAAATTAAAGCTGTACACTTTAAATTTAGAATTAATTTTTTAGACAATCGCCGACATTTTAAAACACAATTTATCAAACAAACATAGTCGAACGAACTAAAGAAAGAATAGGAATTAACTTTTGAATTTTTATAGTTCAAAAAATTAATGCTGTTATCAAGTAAAAGATAAATCTAGTCAAAAATTCACGTAAACCAAGTCTTTCAATGGGCAATTTTTGATAAAAAAAAACATTGACTCGTATCAAAGAAAATGAATTTGCATTTTAATTTCAAGATTCGAACTTTTGCTTTGAGTTGAATTTCAATCAATTTATTGACTTGTTTTAAATCAGCAACAGCAAAATACGTTCATAATCCTCAACCAAAGACAATGTCCAAAACATTTCCATCCCTTGTCTCAACCATCTTAATTCCACTCATTTCTTCAAATTTTTTTTTCATAGCTGCAAGGAAAATACATAATTCCATGATGAATGTTTTTTTTACTTACTTCTTATGTAACTTCTTGATTCAGCAATGATTATGTTGTTTCTTATTTAAAAATCCTTAATAAGCATGTATTCATGTTGATTTATCCATAAATTAGTCGAATCTGTGTGGTATAAACAAACACATAGAATTCAGTGCCTTCTCGACTACATCAATCTTCTTTTCATAGTCAATCTAATTTCACTTTCCTGATGGATAGAAGCGAATATCCATCATTTTTCATTCCGATCTCTCACTCTATAGACTATAGAATTATTGGGTAACAATGCGGTAATCGCTCTGTGGACAAAATGTATTAAATATATATTTTTTTTAATTTCCATTCTGTTCATTGCTGATATTCGGTGCGTATCAAGTCTATAGAAAAAATGAGAAATTAAAAAAATTATCCTTAAAAATTACGCTTTCTTAAATTTCATTGATTATGTCATGAGCACGCAATTAAAGAGTAAGAAAAGTTGAACTCACTCTACTAATTTTCTCGATATATAATATAATACACAGGGATATATGGGGAAGGCAAATGAGTGGGAAAGAAAAAGGAAATATTTTAAAGTATTTTTCGAAAAAAAAGTCTTTAAAATATTAAATTTTTAATGTATTTTCCATCATTTTGAGGGTTGTATGATTACGGAAACTGAAGGGATGAGAAGTTGAATAGAGAGAAAAAGAAAGGAGAGAGTTAACATTCTTTTAACACAAGTAAACAGACAACGAAGCGAAAATCATTAAAATTAGGGGGGTTTTTTCTATATTAAAAGTTGTCTGATAATGAGAAAAATGTGTAAATATATAACATCAAACCCATCTCTATAGTAGGGATGTGTATGAGGCACACAACATCACAAAAAAAAGAGAAGATAATGAAAATCACATGATTGGGACTGAAAAAAGGGAAGTCTCCACTAAAGAAATAAAGCGCTTTAAAAAGGATACATTTGAGCTCTTTAGGATACACGAAAAATATTTTATCGTTTAATTTTACTCATCGTCATGATTCAATCCAATTTACTTTTAAGCTCTCAGAGATTAAAATATTAATTAACTTCAAATTTTGTACTTTACTTTTATTTCTATATCTCTGCCTGCTCACTCACTCACTGACTGTATATGTGTGTATATCCCACCCATAATACAATTTAAACATACTTACGACTCTTGATGCTTTAATCAGACTTCCTGGCTGTCCCTCTCGCAATGATAGAGGTTTACAATCTCATTCTCAAGAACTGAAATGTCCCACACCGGGCTGTAATGGAGAAGGTATGCTGACTTATCCAAGAAAAATGATGAAAAATTCATTTATTCACATGTGTATTAAAAATGCTCATTTTATAGGACACGTAACCGGTAATTATTCATCACATCGCAGTTTATCCGGATGTCCACGTGCCAATAAGCCAAAAAGTAAACCTCGAGATGGACAGGACTCTGAGCCGTTACGGTAAGAGATTGTTGTTGAATTTTTAATGTTTTAATAATCAATAAATTAATGCATAACACTTTCCCATCCACGCTTTCCATTCTAATTAAATGAAAATCAGCTGGTAAGCATGACAACTCTTTTATATGTTGCTCATCCACATTCCTAGTGTACATGACTTGAATGACTCTTTTTATTTGCATAATTCACATGATGGTGTATTCAAAATTGAATTTATTATCTAACATAACTTTTAATCAAACAATTTTCTTGCTTTTCCGACTTTCCCTCAATGTTATTCATCCATTAATAAACATTCACATCAGTCCGATACCTCAGGTAATTAAATACACAGCGCAATAAATCCCATCTCGTGTTATTCATATTTTTGTCTCTTCTTTTTTTTTCTCGCATTCATTTTATTGTTGCTCGTCCACGCTTATAAACACCAAACCTCCCCGTGCACAACAATACGAAAATATCATCGATGATGATGATGATGATATCGTCTATCCAACAAACAAATTTTTCACACACAGTGTGATGGATCTGGTGAGTAAACAATCAACGTGCATTAAATGCCATTTGACAATATGTAAAATATTATAAAATTGTCGTATAATTTCGCAGGTCACTCCACAGGAAAATTTTTATCACATAGGAGGTAAGGTTAATTGAAATTCAACATCGCTACTGCTGATGCTGGTTAAATTTTTAACCTTTCTCGGTGCTCTTTCAAATAATTATCATTTTTATGTGGAATAAAAGATTTAAAAAGGTCCAGAAATAAAATTTTTTTAACTTCATGAATGCAAAATAAATTTTTCATAAAACCGCACGGTTTAAGTATCAGAATATCCTTCATATGATGAAAGATATATTCTATATAAATAAATTCCGTCTTTTTTCCTACATAGAATAAAATATGTGTACAACAATTGAGCAAATTGAAGTACGATGTGTGAAGCAGAAATGGGATAATTTAATTTTCCCGAAATTTTTTTTATATATTGCTGATAAAAACCCTTTTTCATAGAAATTCGTAAGACTATTTACTTTGAACTTTAGAAAGAGCGCATTTTCGTGTTGGGAATTGATAATGCAACATCATTCATTATGCTAAGTTTATTCCAAGATGTTCTTTAACTTCTTCACACATGCCAAATTGTACAGACAATAAAGACTTTTATTACCCGGTGATTGACCGACTATGGCTGCTCTCGAAAATTTTGGCACAAAAATAGCAAAACTAATTAGAGAAAAAAATACTATGTAAACTATAGACGTATGGTACAGAGGGGAGAAATTAAAGATCATTTAATTCTGTAAGGTTGGTGAAAAGTTTTTTTTTTCTACTTTGAAAGGCCAGTTGATGATGGGTATTTAAGAACGTTAACTGATGTGGGGAGTTCTTGACTCTAAATGCAATTTTTGTTTGTTTTAGTAGAGGTGGTAATCTAGTTACGCATTGGTCATTTAGTCAATATATGGTACTTTAATGTTCCAGATATTTATCTTGTTATCAGAGTTCTGTGCTACTTTTGATTCAAGTTGGAAATAAAGATGCAAATAGTTTTTATAATTAAAACTATGATTCATTTTAGAGGATCTGTTGTTATAAAGCATTAGAGTCTACAGAGTATAATGAAGTACAAACTACTTTGCACATAGTAGGTTGATAGAATATGATGCAGTCTTCGAATTGTCTAATTACAATTTAATTGCATAAGCAAATGATTTATTCGCTGATATATTTTTGGTTTGGCAACAGAAAGCTACAGTTAAAAGCCTTTTTTTCGTTTATAGTTTAAGTTAATATGCATACAACTTTGTTTAGATCTAACATATTCCTTACTGAAGCTAATCTAGACTCAACTAAACTTAGACCTAAACTAAACGTATCCTTAACCTAATCTAGTCCTAAAACTAACCTAGAAATAGATGAAATTTAAACTAAAACTAGACGAAACATAGACTTTATCTTGAGTTAAATGATAATATCAATAGTAAAGCCAATCCTCAAAACTATGGCTGTTGACGCAAATTCACAGACTTAAAAACAACACATCCACATAAATTCTATAAAGATTTGTCACCATGCATTCTGTCTCAAGAGACAAACTGTCATTCATTACCCAGAATTCCCGCTAAAGAAACTACAAAAAATGAAGAGTGAGAAAGTGAAAAGTTGAAAAATTTCAAGCTTAAATAAATATGTGTTTAAGGTTTTTCTATTTTGAATAATAATAAAAAAAGAAGTTCTCTCTTCATTTCAACATCTAAGTCAGTAAAAAAAAATTTGGTTATCCTCTCCACAGTCCCTCATAAAGTATAAAAGGGGAAAGCAAAAAAAAAAAGAAAGGAAAAATTTTAAAAATGTGTCCTTTAATGTGTCTACAGCTGTAGAGGGCATTTTATGATAATCCATCAAAAAAGAGATCCAGAAATTAAATTTTTAAGATTTTTCCTTGGTAATAATTAATGTTAAAATTGGGAAATAGAACAGTATCATTCTGTAAATGAAGTTTTTTCTCCTTCCATCTTAAACCAAGCTGAGCACATGAAAATAAATAGATAAATGAATGAACACTGAAAAGGGCTACGTCACGCAATTTTATTTAATTTTTTAAAAAAAAATCGACCCACATTGTTTTAAGCACTTCGATTTATTTTTTGTATAATCATTATTCCAGCGCATCTGGATGTCCAATTGCAAACAGAAATAAAATGAGAGTTTTAGAAAATGGTGGTACAATAGAACAACATAAAGCTGCTGTAGCTGCTGCAACTGCAATGAAATTTGATGGAGTCAACTGTCCATCTGTTGGATGTGATGGTATTGAATGAATTAAGATTTATTAAAACTGTAATAATTATTTATTTGAACTTTCATCTAGGAACAGGTCATGTAAATGGAACATTTTTAACACACAGATCATTATCTGGATGCCCTCTAGCTGCCCAAGGAATTAAGAAACCAAAACTTGATGATATTTCCATTTATCCAAAAGGATATATAACAGGTATGAGATAAATACTTTCCTTTTATCATTCAGTGTTGCCTTTTGTTTCTTATAAACAGACTTTTTGAGTCTTACAAGAAAAGAGAGAAAATCTTAAGTAATGAAATCATTTTCACAAAAAAAAAGAAGTAAAGACAGAACTGGAATCAAAGAGAAAAATTTCTTTTGAAATTCCTTAAGTTGAAACAAATTTCGAACCATTGAAGCAAAAAGAAATAAAAATATACTTTTCTTTAACTTCTTCAAGATGAGAAAATTCAATGAAAAAGTCAAGAGATTCTCTTCAAATTGCGTTTACATAGTGATGAATTCATTTCAGAATTTTAATAGACATTTTGCCTTTTGTTTTATCCTCCTTTAGAGTAATCCTAAGTGTTATGTGTGTGTTAAATATTCATAAACATCAATACGTGTGAAATTTAGCTCTCATTAAGGAACGAAACCGAAATGCATAAACATATAAAACTATTAATAATTATGGCATAAGAACAACAATATAAAACGTATATAAATGAGCTTTGTTCATACATTCATTATGAATCTATTATAATGGAAGTTACCTTAAGTTAATAAACAAATTAAATAATTTATACAATATAACACGTACGTTTTTATTGCAAATATACTTGCTTAATCTTTAGTGGGAAATTATTAGGGGAGCTCAAGCTTTAAGGAAGTTATTTTGAGAGTTTTAAGGGTTCAGTTCAACTGTTTTCTAGTGTTTTGATATTTTTAACCGATTTTTTTTTAAAATTTCATTTTCACACAAAATTGAACTTTGTTTTCAACTTTTAAAATTTTTCAGATCAAAATTTGAACTTCTAATAACCGTTGGTTCAAAATTTTAAACAATTAAAGTAATAATTTAAATTTTTAATAGCCTTTAGTTCAAAATTTAAGTCTCTAAAGTTCAAAAATATTTCTAAATCTACAAAATACGTTAAAAATCATTTAAATTGATAAAATTCACCATTAAAAATTCAAAGTTCACATTCCGCCTCAATCTAAATTGCTTTTTGATGTTGAAAATCCTTCCACCAAATAGCTTTATCCCCTGAATTAACTATTTAACTGCCTACTTTTCTCAAGCATTTAATGGCTTATTTCGAATGCAATAAACATGATCTAAATTTAAAGTGTGTTAGATTTATGTACCTATAATTAATCTGACACCGCAAAATGAGAATTTAGAATTGGAAATTATATTTATAGACATGGAATAGATAAATGAACTACTTTAAAATTTTAAAGATTTTTCAATCTTCTCCTCCGCTCTACCTACTTAATTAAATATCTCCTTTTCTTTCCTAAATCTTCATGCTTCTATCTATTCGTTATAGGAATAAATAAATTTTTTTTTTTTCGAAGAGATAATTTCAGTTTTACGACACACAAAAATCTCTTTTCTTTCTTATTTTCATTATTGATTCAAAAATTGTACGGAAAGGATAGAGAATGAGCAAGTTGATGAGGAAGTTGTGAGGGTGGAAAGAATTTTGTATGTTGTGAAAGGAAAGGAAGAAGAAAAAAAAAACCAAAATTTTCCATTTATCCGTCGGCATTTTTTTTGCAATATGGTCCATGACACAGAGGAAATTCTTTGTGTTCATTGTTTGATAGAAATGAAAATTTAAAATCATGCATTTTAAGAAAAATGACAAAAAATAATCTAAAAAGATTTAAAGTAATTTAATTTAAATTATAAATAGAGGACGATAGACATGCGACTAATTTTCTGCTTTTTCATTCTTGTTCTTACTTTGATTCTTCCATAGGTATGGAATCAATGATAATGAACGCACCCAACACAAATAGTGGTGAAGATTTGGTGACTTTAGAAGCTGAAATTACCGAATTGCAACGAGAAAATGCAAGAGTCGAATCTCAAATGATTAAATTAAAATCTGATATCAACGCGATTGAATCGCAAATATCAGTAGGCGATCGGGTACGTTATGCCAAGAACAGGTTGGTTGAAGCAGAAAATTAGTTGTAATTTAAAATTCTATTACCATGATTTGGGAGACACTATAGCTCATTGAATTTAGTAATGTAGTTTATATATATGTTTATTCTCTTTCTTCGAATATCCAAAAAAAAAGTCATAATAGAATTACGTGAATTTTAATGAGGCGGAAAAGAAAATTCTTTTTTATTTTATTTTTCAAACTCAATTGCTCATAAAACTCAGTAATAAAGCCATTGAATGATTGACTTGTTATTTATGTATCTCTTCTATTTCAATTCAATAAAAGGGAGTTTTACAATTTTTCTTCGTTTCGGGCCCCGACAAAATAGTTCTGCTTTTCTATTTTGCTAGATTTATTTCCCTTTTTTAATAAAATTGAGATTTCTTGCTGAAATAACAGCGAAAATTCTCTGTATTTTTTGTGAATGCTTCAATACTTAAGGTTTACTCGATACTTGATGTTACATCCAAACTTCTATATTTCTCTTGATTTTATAAAATTTAAAACCTTATAGTTCTTGGCTTCTGAAAATTGAAACCTTAAATTGTGAGTTTTTTGATTCTGAATTAAAATTTGAATAGTTTTCAAATAATTCAAATGTTGGAACTCAAATCCTTTAGAATTATCAAAACTAAGTTTGGTAATTCCAAAATACTCTCTTAATTCATTTCAAACTGTGTAATTTAGTACCTTAAGCCACAAGTAATAAAGCTTCGAATTTCAAAATGTTATTCTTTTAAATTCAAAAACACTCAAAAATTGATTTAAAACCTTTTTTTCAAATTTATTCTTAACTTTCAAAAATTTCCAATTTTTTTCCGTCCAATCCCTTTTCACATTTCCGATTGATTTCCACACTGAAATTTTTTAAAAATCTAAGTTTTTTTATATCTATTGAAACATTTTCCAAAGATATTGCTGGATATAAAAAAAACATACAAAGAAATTTGTTGCTCCGCTCCATATTATTTTTTATTATTGCAATACATTTTGAAATTTGGCAGTTTTTATTCCCTCATCTAATTTTTCTTCTACCGAAGCCGAGAGAGATAAAAATAATAATAACACAATGAAAAAACAATAATAAGATCTTCAAGAAATAAATTTCATGTTATGTGTAGTTATTGGAAATAACAGAAGAGAGAAAATACGTATTTTTCGGATATGTCAAATTCCTTGAGCTCTGTGTATTGGCCAAATTATTGGTAATGTCCTTCTGACTCATTTACATTATTGTTGTGTACTTTTTTGTGCTGGTCACAAGAGTATATCCACTCAAATAATCTCATAAATTGTGTAACGACGACACTTTAACTTTTTTATATATTTTCTCAGACTTTTTGTGAAAAAATTGATTTTCTAGAATGAAAAAAAAAATTTAAAAAAATTTTTTGAACTTGAAAAGAAAGTTTTAATAACTTTTAAACTAAAAACAATTGTTTTTGGTTTTTCATCTAGAAAGTCTAAAAATAATAATAATTTTTTCAAAGGCTTGTAGCTTCACTTACTTAATAATTGCATTAAAGTGTTATTGATCCAAAAGTTATGAGAAAATTTCATAAAAAAAAAAATTAAGGACATTAAGAATTTGTGCTGTGCTGATAAAAAAAATAAATTAAACTAAATTTCTGTTTTAAAAAACCATTTTTATATTGTAGACTATTTTGGGTGTTTTAGACAAGTTTTAGACATTGATGCATTAAGATATGAGCAAGATTGACACGCAAATAATTGTATATCATTTACACACACAAACTGATCATGAGAGTTGATACAACTGACTAAAAGTATGTATAATGTTAAAATTCAAGGACAATTATAAGTCAAAAATATACAATCATTAATACATGCACGTAATAAGAAGAATTAGAAGAAGAAAAAGTTAAAAGAATAGGTTTCCGTTGAATTATGTATAAGGACGAAACTAAGCGTGTTCTTCTCCGATAACAGTTCTTTGAAATTCGACACAACTACGTCAATTGGAATATTTAAGAACTATTCCTATAATTTGATAGTATATGGACGCCTTTGTAGACTAGAATGTTCTTTAATGTTCTTAATAGTCTGAGTAGCAAAGAGTGCGTAGATGGTGTCATGTTGCTCTTGATACGCAACAACACTGAAGAAAAAAGGAGTAAAAAATTCACGTGAGAAACAAAGGTGTCCTATTTAAGTGAATTATTAACGAAGGTCTGACTAGGTATACATGAATTTGCTGACGATACAAATTGTATGACTTGACTTCATTAAATTTATGCGTTTAAAATTTTCAATTTAAATAAATAAAATCACTTATATATCCTGAATTGAAAATTTTTGGAACTATATAACCAGTTTAATTTGGACATGCATGCTGCAATTTTTGTTCAGTTGTGACAATATTTAAGAGAAAATGTTGTCTGAACTCTTGAAATTAATTTTAAATGTAAGAATCGAGAAATCAAGTTAAAGATCTGAACTTATTTTAATTCTCATCCTCTAGTAATCAAAGATGATCCTTACTTTTGAGAATATATTTAAATATGCTTCCAAAGATGCTCACGCGTTGTCTCATGTTTATAAAACCCACAGAATTTTGGATAACCGTCAGAAAAATTCTTCCCAATTCCGCTGCAAAATTCGTATTGCGTAATTCAAAATTTCATTCATTCATGATTCATTTCCACCAGCTTTCTACGTGTACTGAAATGTCAGAGGTTGTTTCCTATTGCTGCCTCATCTTGACATTTGCAAATTTTTAAGTTATGAAAAATGGTGGTCTCAAGCAGTCTTGGAGTTTGTTGTGAAGTCTAAGAGTTTGTTTAACCAACAGCAGAACACCTTCTATGCTTTGCTTACTTACTTACTTCGCTGGCCGTACAGATCAATTGTGATCCATGGCCTCCCTTAGATGGCGCCTGAAGCTGACTCTGTCGCTGGCTTCCGTTTGCCAATTAACCATACCAAATGCAATACTGTCTCTGTCAACAGCTTCTTTCCAAGAGTTCTTGGGTCGCCCGCGTGTTCTTTTGCCATCTACAAAAACATTCTTAAAGACTTTATTAATGGGAGCTTCAACAGGTCTCCTAACGACATGTCCAGCCCAACGGAGTCTGTTGACTTTGATTCGTCGTACGATATCAGCTTCATTGAAAAGCTGATATAATTCTGCGTTACTCCTGCTTTTGTAAAAGTCACCTTCTCTCTTCGGTCCAAATATAATTCGCAAGACCCTACGCTCAAATACACCAATTGCGTTCTCATCTGCGATAGTCATATTCCATGACTCAGAACCGTACAACACTACTGGGCGTATTAGTGTCTTGTACATCACTAGTTTGGCATTTCTCGCTATTCTCTTCGATGTTAGTAAATGAAATTGCAATGTTTGCAATGTTGGATAATTATCTTTAAGCTCTTAGTTGCTTTTTAATGCATAAAAATTGAATATAAATTTGTTAAAAATTCAGTTGTAAGTTTCTACAAATTAATGGACTGTATTTATGCCTATTTTCAACAGCATTACAACTACATATTATATCAATTGATCACGGCGATGATATTTTTAAAAATGTTGATTTCAATCCAAAACCATTATATTCCAAAATGTTAAGTGATATTCTGAATTATCGTTTGATTTTGTGAATGAAAATTTTCTTCATCTAATATAATAAATGCATTAATTTACAAAAGGAAGAAATCTTTATGTTTTATGCTTCATTCATTAAGTTCAGTTAAGAACTAAGCCTGTATTTAATAAACTGGTCATTTGTCTTTGATCTTATTCTTGATTTTTCTGATTAACTCTCAATAAATTGTGAAGACTGAAAGATCAGAAATCGGTAGTTCTTAGAGTTTTTGAATAAGCAAAATTGCAAAATTAAATAGCTGATCTTACTTTGTTTGACTCTTTCTACACATTTCAATCAAAAAACAGCAAATCTTAATATTATGATTCTTGTTTTAACGTGGCAAAGTTAAAGTTCCTAAGAAATTCAAATTGCTTAAGATTCTTTACTTCAAACTTTCTTTGAAATTCTTTAAACAAAAGAAACAAATGGTTTAAAATCTTTATTCTAACAATTTACGAGAAAATAACAAACATTTCAATTTTAAACATCAAAATCCATTTCCTTAAAATGATTTTTATTACCTTTTATTATAAAACTGGATCTGCTTTTACGATTTCTTGGTGAAACATCATCAAAAGCATTTTCCAATCTTCATTCTTACATGAGAAAAGACTTGAAAGGAATCAAAAAAATGCAATATTCAAAGTTATAAAAATATGCAATTTGAGAATCCTAATCTTTCCTTCACCCCCTTTTTTTTAACTCACAACCAACCTAACATAATGTTAAATAAGAATCTTATGCGTCATAAATTTCAATTAAAAATCATTAAAAACATTTTACTTTGAAAAAAGTTTATAAATATCGCATAACAAAGACTGAAATTCCTTCTTTTACTCTCCTTTTTCGTCTCGAATCTTTGAGTTATTAAACTTTTTTTTTTTTTGGATAAATTAAAGCATTGTTTTTGTGCTGTGAAAAAAAGTTTTTCTTGTTTCAAAGTATAAAATTGTTGAATGAAAAATAATTTTACTGTTCCTCACCATTCTCGTAAAAGTTCAAGGTTTACATGAAAATTAAATTCGAGAGATTTTTGAGAACTATGTACAAGTTTTTTAAAAACATAAACTTTATCTAATATATACGCAACAAAACTCGACACATTTTACGCAACAAAACTCGTTGGTCAAGTTAGATAAAAAAAAAAACTTTTCAGCACAACAAACTTTTGTTATGTACAAATTTTTAGACATGTATATAAAGTTGGCAGGCTTTAATTTGTTGTAAAGTTTGATATTAATTTGCGTTTAACGTAGACAATTATTTAAAGTTTTGAGAGAACCTTCAAACATGGTTATTAACCCATAAAATGGAAGGTTAGAGATCAACTTTAAGATAATGTTTATCACACAAAAATGTTCAGAATAATTCCCGACGGCATATCATAGGAATTTCGTGCGCATGAGGAAATTCAAGGAGCCTACATTGAACTTTCTTTCTTTCCATACACATCATGTTATATCGTATTTTCTTTTTATGAAAATATATAAACTTTCCATTGGGCATGATCGTTTTTTTCTGAAAGAAATAAAACCGATAAAAAAAAGCATAACCACTGAAAAGCTTCTTTTTCTCTTGTTCGTGAAGATACGCCCTTCGTTTCGTTCGTATATTTCACCCACCTTGCAGATTTTTTTTTACATATTGCAAAAAGCATTTGAAGAACAGAAAAATTGCAGAATTGCGCACTGACAACGGTAATATCAAAAATAATATCTTAAACGATTTGATATCGTGCAACATTTGCACTCTTATATATGTTATATAGGAAATAATATTTAAATACTTGGGCGTTTCAAAGATTTCTCTCATTTCTTTCTTCATATATAGAAAAATCGATAGATTAGTGATACGACTTCAACATCAATTCGCTCATTTTTATTGTTATCTAATTCAATTATCCAATCTGTATGCATACATGTATAATCAATTGACAATTAGTTCCGTAATCATATTGAAGAATATTTTATGTTTTTTCTCTTTCATTCCAGGAAAATCTAATGATCTCTCAAAAGACTAATTTGAATGAATACTACAAAAGTTTACGAAATAATGTCATAACATTCCTTGGACACAATCGTTTACCAATTGTTGGATCTACAGACATAACAAAATGAGATGAAAATGATGAATTTTATGCAAAATACACAAATTGAAGATTGAATCGGCAATTAAAAAGTTTTTAAGGTTATGAAACGTTTTTGGAAGATTTGAATAATTGTTAACATACTTGAAGTTGGCTACAAATTGATATTTTATGAAAAACTTTGGAAAATTCATTAATTCACTGAAAGAAATGACTTTTTGATCAAATATATGAACAAATTCTAAGTTACAGCTTTTAAAGTTTTCAAGTCAACTTCAAATTAAACTTAATAAATATTAAAATCTCAAAATAACGATCAAATCCCAAACTTTGCTTCAAAAAAATATGGAATTTCAGTCTACCAAATTTTAAAGAATAAAACAGAAAATTTAAGAAATGAGAAATGTTCAAAAAAGTCCACACACATAAATATTGTAAATCATGCAAAAAAAAGAAGATAATGTATTGCAAGACTAAAAAGTAACTACATTTTTTAGTTAAACATAAAGTCATAAAAAATTAATGCAACAATAACATAAACGATAATTACGAGTCATATTAAAGGAAGATGAATGAGAACGAAGAGGTGTAAGTAATATACAATAAATTAATATTTAAATATCCCATTCCAATGTACTAGATATTCAAGCTGCTTAAAGTGTTACAAGATTTTACTATCAATGATTCAAGTGTTTAGTATACGGGGTGCTCTTTTATAAAATTAGAAAAACAAAAAAAAAAGAAGAAGAAATAACGATGAATTTGTCAAGTAATTAAATGAAATTATTTGAAAGAAAAAACTTTTCATTTTCGCATAAAGAAACTTTAACTTGAAGATCATCAGCATGCGGAGAGCTTTAAAGAATTTTAAATTTGGGCAAATCCACGAAGCTGTGGAATCACAAAAAATCGCATTGTAATTATTCCTCTACTTGGGTAAATTTTTTTTGAAAAATAGAAAACCGTTATTATTTGTTTACCTTTTTATTGAAAATAAACTGAAAAATTAATTTAAAGCACAGTTAATATTATTTGAAAGCCATTAAAAGGCATCGGAAACATCCATTTAATTAAAACTTAATTAATTATCGAAAATTGAATAAGATTTGAGCTCGTAAATGTCACAAAAATTTAACGGAAAGTTTTAATTCAAATATTTTAACGGTTATAAAAAATTTGAACTAGTATATTTTGGTGGCAAAGCGTTTTGTGTGACTCAGGAAGAAAATTTTCAAGAAATTAATTAATTTCTCAGCAAATTTCCACTGAGCATCTACATTTTGCTTAATTATATGATGCTCCAACATGAAAGGAATAGATCTTGTTGATCAATGTCGCTTAAAAACTTATATTTTTTGAGATAATTGAATTTTTAGATGTTTTCCGCTAAAATGTGACTCAGGAAGATTTACAAAAAGTCAAATTTCTCTTTAATTAACGATTATAGAGAAGCAATTTTTTTTTAAGATCTTCTACTCACATCATTGCATTTATTAAAACATTCAATCTTTTTTAATAATGTGACATAAGAGAGAAATAATTACTTTAAATTGAAAAATTTCGGAAAAAAAAAATTTTTGTTTCGTGGATTTGCCCATTTGCGATGTTGATGAACTTTTGAAAAAACTTTTTTAGGCAATATACTCAAATTTAATTTGGTCGACTAGGAATTAAAAGTTATGAGTTTTATGGATTGTAAGTTTATATTCCGGAATTTCCGCGTCTCGACCTTGTCTGCTTCACAAATAAGAAGTTTGGAAATAAAACAGAACTTGAAAAGTTTTAATGAAATCAATAATAAGTTATAAAGGCAAAAACTTTTAGTAATCAACAGTTTAATAATGAAAATAATTGTTTTAATTTATTTTGAAATGTTTTCATCAAAATTTGGTGCCACGTGATACGTCCGACATGTGACTCGCCATCAACATCCTCAAAATATTCTTAAAAGCTCTTCACATTCGATAAATTCTCAAATAATCTTCTCGTAAATTGTAAATATATTGTAAATCTAATTGTTGTTGGAAGATTGGGTGAAAAATAACAAAAAAAAAGTCGCAAAATTTTTTATAAGCTTTACAATAAAATTTTAATTTGTGCTAAATGAATGTCATAAAGACACACGGCTCAGCTATTTTATATTAAATTTAAAAATAAATTGTTTAAAAAAGAAATGTTTAACAACTTTCTAAGATAAATTAAAATCAAAATCATTCCTATTTAGGTCCATATTAGATTATTGATATTCGTGCAATATTTATTTTTGTTTTATTGACGTTAAATTTTAAATTATAAAATTTAAAAAAAAATTCAGAAATTAAAGAAAAGTTGATTTTTCTCGACTTTGGGGATATAATTTGGTAAAGTATTGAACCAGAAAGTCCAAAAATATGGATTTAGTCGCTACAAATTTATGTTTTAATCAATTTTGATCGCTTCTTCATACTTGCCACATAAGCAACTACTAGTATTTAAAAAGAATTTTTATTGAAGACTCAAAACTTTCAATCCTTCGATCTGAGCTGTAACATAATTAAAGATAATCTAAATGATTAATTAACAGCCTCAAAAACTATTTATTGAAGATCATCTGAGAAAATAAATATATTTCAAATTAAATCTAATAATTTCTCTGCAAAAGTCTCACAATTCAACTAATAGAGCCCATCCAAAGCTGTATGTGTGAATACGGAGATCTACTTTCTAAAATGGTCAATTCTGAGATTATAACACTCAATAAACTCCTTATCCAAATAATCCTTTAAAAAACCTGTAACATATAAAACATCAAATCATCAAGTTCCCCCCAAAAAACATCCAATTTTGAGAGAAAAATGACTTTGATTTTAATTTATAAAAAAAGATTTTCAATTAAACTAGTTTTCTCGCATTTAAAATATAAAAGAAGGGATAAAAAGCAGCAACAAAATAATTTTCTGTTGATTTAAAAGCATTAACTCTAAATTGAAATTGAAATAAAAAAAACATTTCCTTAGATTTTCCTTTTTGTTCAGTTCTGCTGATGACATTCAAATTATTTGTAATTTTTAAAACGGAGAAAAAATTTTTAAGGAAAAACAATGGAAAAACAGGAAAATTTAAAAATTGCAAAAAAAAATACTTTTTGATAGTTTATCAACTCTTTTATTGTGGAATTTTGGGAAATAAAAATAAAACAAATGTCCATTAAAGAAGGAGTTTGGATAGTAAAAAACTCTAGTTAAATGTAAAAAGTAGCATTAACTTAAATCAAATAATTCAATACGTATGATTATATAGATTTTTATATAATTTAATAAAAAATTATATTATTATCGAAATTAATGTAATATAAAAAAGTATACAACAATTAGAGGTTATAATTTTTAGTTCAAAATTTCATTTTCATTCGAAAAATGCGAGTTATTTTTAATTATTTTATTGTTATTGTGTTATCACATATCACATGACATACACACAAATGGTACGCCAACACACACACAAACGTTTTATGATTTCCAAAGAGGACATACTATTTAAAAAAAATTACATATACTCATATAAAATAATATTTAAATGTTCACTATATAACACTTCAGAAAAATGAGTATACTATAGATCAAATAAAGGAAGAAAAATAAAGAATTAAAAAAATAAAATAAAATGCAATCACCTAATGATAATTGAATTAAGTAACATTGATTACAATCTGTTTTTATATATTAAGTCAACAAAAATTGTATAAATGTAGCATATATTTCATGAAATAAAAAGTTTCAATCTCTATAAGAAAATTTTAATGCATTTTTTATTCCATTTTTATTGATTTAAGTCGATGGAAAAACATACTGGAATGTCTTGTCTTACTGGTCAGTGAAAAATGGATTTTATCTCCAAGGTAAAGAAATCAAGGATGAAAAAAATCTTTAAAATGTTTGCATAATGCATCTTGTATGTTTTTGGTCATTTTTATCGTAGATGCAGTTTTAATTTCGTTGTTTTACAGCTACGTTCTTCGTTGTGACTAGAATTTTGCAGAAATCTAAAGAATCGGCATTATTCATATAATAAGTCCTATCTATCTTACTGAAGTCTTGTTTATTGTTAATGTATAAAATGTTAAGCTAGCTAATGTTCCAAGAATATTGTCAAAACTTTCAGTTTTTGGAATATGGAATGAAACAATAAGTTGAAAACAGATTTGCATACGACGCTAAAGACGATGTGCAACCACTAATAAGATGTAATGCAATGGATCTCAAACTAATGAGAACCACTGATCTAATTCAAATTCTATTTCTGCAAAATAACCATTTAAAAAAATAAATTTTAGCATCTCCCCTCATCAATCCAATAAATTTGCTCATAGTTGGTCATAAATATTAATGCATCAGTACACTACGAAACCACAAAAAAAAATATTTTTTGAGAACATCAGCTCTCCGGTGAAGAAGCTACGATGTGTAGATATTGGGGGTCCTCGATTTGAGTAGTTGTTTTGTTCCAAAAAATTTCCACTCAAATCGAATCTATTCAAATCGAGGCAAAGAATCCATACAAAATTACATGTTTTGTTCCAGAGTCCAAAAAATGTATCAAAACAATGAAAATTTTTGATCATTTTTTGCACATTTTACCTCGTTTCTTAACTTTTCTTATGTGTTTTAGATAACTTAATTTATTTCAACGCATATTCATATTATTTTTAAACAGAAATTAACAAAAAATATGTTTTTGAAACAAAAATAAAATATGAGAACCTTGCAAATGTTATTTCACCGAACAATTTGTAAGGTTTTTGAATTTGAACTTTTTAAAACCGTTAATTTTATATCGATTTTTTAAATTTTTACTTTAATTTTGTAACTTTAGTATTGATTTTTCTATCAATATGATAAGATCTTAATAAGCTTATTGCAGTAAAATTTATGTTTTAAAAATATTTTCTTAAATGTTTTTATCAAAAATATTTGTTTTGTAAACAATTCAAATCGAAGAAAACAGGACGAAATCTACTCAAATCGAATATTTTGGTGGGTAAAAAATTTCTGTTCAAATCGAATCTACTCAAATCGAGGACCTCCAGTATCAGGATTGAAAAATTGCCAGCTTAACATTCGGAACCAACAATAGAAGTCAGATGAAAAGCATTCAGTAAGTGGAATGGTTATAGTAATTAAGTAAGCATTCAGGTTCCTTACCGATTTAATAAGCGAACGACCGATTTTACTTTAAAAAAATTGTTGGAATTACGAGAATTTCATTACGTTTAGTGTTTTTACAAACTTAATTTTCGTAGTATTACTGTGCATTTTTAAGAATTTTCTAGATATTCTATTATCTAAGAATGGCTAACAACATTATGAACCTTATTCAAACATTTATTTTTCCTTATGGTCAGTAACTACCCTTCAATTTCCGTTATCCTATGTCTTATAAATTGCATAACATTTTCAATCAAGTGAATAAGAATTACATGCATAAGATCCTGATTCAATAAAAAACATCTCTTCAAAATAAATATGAAGGAATGAATCCGAATGAAGTTAATAGAATATTCAGCATGTGAAGACATAATTGGGATGGAGGAATATTGAATGAAAACCTATTTTGTTTTCTGCATTGTCATGACACTGTTGCTAATTTTACCATCCTTTACACTCAAGAACCCCATAAAGTTTGCGGAAATGATAGTTCAATTTTAATAATTTCCCACATTAAATATTCAGGAACTAAACTAAACTTGTTATGCACACTCGCTGTGAAGAATTCAAAGAACATGCTGTAGACAGCACTGCCATCTGTTGAAAAATAAAGTAAATGATTTGCACATTTTCATCCTTGTGAGTAAGCGCATGACCTTCCAGCGATACTTTTTCCAGATTTTCTTCCTTCTTTCCTTCCTGCGATATGTGTCAGTAGTTTCAATGCAATCAAAGTTCAAAGATGTGAATTAAGACAAAAGCTACAGAAAAAAATCTTAAATTAGTTTTATTTAATCAAAAATTGAAGTAGCAATTGGATATAACTCGTTAATGGTTGTGGAATCAGTGGAAGGAACTGAAAACTTTCTCATAGTAATAAGTCAATTTTACTGAAAGAAAAAGTTGCACTTTGTACAAAAATAAGTCACATTAGCGAGAGAAAGTTTATGTAATTGAGAAGAGCATAACAGGATGCATTTATAAAAATCTATAAAGTTTAAAGTGCAACACAATTAACGCATGAAAAAGTAACAGGAAAAAAATGCATAAAAAAATTGTAAAAAAAAATCAGTTGAATCTGCGAGAGAGGAAGAAATGAGAGGATTATAGGAAAGGAGATGAGAGAAAATGAGAATTTTCCTTTGGATACAGTACTAGATTTTAAATGAAAAGTTCCTTGTTCATTAGAGCTTTTTTATCATTCCATCTTGCAAGATGAAAATATTTTCTGCAAAGTTAATAAAAGTGTAATAAGTTACAATGAAAAAGAAAAAGGATTTAATTTAGTTTTAAACATAAACTTAAGCATGAAAATGATCGAGTGCTGTTGAAAAAACATTAAGAAAAGTGAATTTAATGAGTTTAATAAGAAAAAGTAAATTTTGTGCATAGCTGTTGTTGTTTCAACATGGGTGTGTGAAATTTCTTATAAGAGATTATTAATATGTCATATTCGTTAAGATGATACCCGAATATAAATGCATAAAAACTGTATATTTAATGCCTAATGTGTCCTTTAGCATTCTTAATGAATCAAAAAATGCAATTTAGTGAAAATTTTTAATTAGCATCTACAAAACACTTCTATAGAAGCAAAGAAATCAAACTAAAACATTTTACCCCAAAATTTGCTGGAAAAAAGAACAAAAAAAAATTAAAAAAATAATAAAAATGAGTCTTCAAAGTGAACCAAAATCATTTAAAATGATAATTTTTGCAATACTTCTTCAAATTTGTTCCGTAATATCGTTAGATGGAGTGCATTTACACTTTAATAAGCGAGGTAAGTGAAAAAAAAAAATCATCTCCATACAACCCACAATAATTGTGCAAAAATGTGTAAATTATCAACTGGGCGTCATTACATCACAATTTATAATAAATCTCTTTTCAAGTGATTGAGAATTTTTTTTTTTCATGAATTTATGAAAAAAAAAAGATTTTTTTTTCTCACTCAACAGAAGAAAAAAGCTCTTAAAAAACACTCATACATTTCCATATTCCCTGGATGTATATCCTTGAGGTTCTTATAACCCTCACAACCCTGGGAAATGAAAATTTTTGCATGAACGGCGACTGCGCCAATTTCTCTTTTATCATGAAAAATTATCTCATGAGCAGCACACAAAAAATAGCAGCGAAAATGAAGAAATAGAAAAAATTACAAAGAAAAAAAAATTATTAATGATATCAGAGAACAACAACGTGCGTAAATATTCAATCTATGCGATGTAATAATTAGATGCTTATTGAATAGCTAGAATAAAAAAAAATTCCATCAATACGCACACACACACAATTTTTTTTCTTTTTTATTTCAATGATGCTGGAAAATCTGTATCTACAAAAAAAAATTATTCTCTTTCCTTGTTTTTCACTTTCAGGTGAGCATTTCTCCTACTTCTGTGCAAACATTAACTCACTCTATGATGAAATGAAAGAGAGAGAGAGAGAGAGAGAGTAAGAGAGCTTTTTCAGCGGGGAGGTACAAAAAAGAAGATGGCAATTAAGATATTACAAAGTGATTTCGTTTTGATTTAGAATTCCTACGCTTTACCTTTATGCATTCATCAGTCGATGAAAAAGTTATGGCAAAGCGTTTGGATTCTGAAACAAAATAAATCAATCAACAACAAGCAGCATCGTCCAATTATCAAAGTGGCTTCTTTCTTCTTTTAACTTCCTTTAATGTTGCGCATCATTTTTATCTACCTTCTAACTCACGTCATTGTACTTACAGAAGCTGACTATACGTTAGATGATTCATTTTGGAATGAAGAAAGTCCAGTTGGTAAGAATCAAATGAAAATTAATTGCTTTTTTTTTTGTCTTCTGCTGATTTTTAATTGAATTTTTGGGTTTATTGGTTAGACGGTTCATTTAAAAAATAATATTGAGGACAGTGGCGAAGCCATGGATGTGACTGGGTGGAAATATAACCAAGTTTTCATTAAGTTGAGATTTAAAGTATCTTTTACTCAAAACCTTATAAAATTGAATTTTCTTGAGATTTCACAAAATCAGCTCTTTGGCTATGCCACTACTCGAAACAAAAAAAAGTTATTCAAAATTGCTAGTTCCCCCCCCCCTCCCTTATTTGAAATTTTGACTACTCCCCTGACTCAACATTTATATCCATTAGAGTTGATAAATCTTAATTGAGGATTTTAATTTAATTTATATTCAATTTGTTTTCGGTTAAAAGAAGTGAATTAAAAAAGTTCAAGGTGTGCCGCCTTTGAACAATTTTTCTTGGAAAAGTATTAAAGGAATTAATTGCGTTTTAAACATCCAACATGAGAGGAATGAATCCATTTTGGAAAAATTCTTGAAAATCTCAAGCTGTTCACTTATTGTGCAGCTAGATAATAGAGATATCACTTGATACTTTTCATGTGCTGTGCTTTTATCAAGAGGTATCACATTCTGCATTTCCAATCCTTTTATCTCTAAAATATCGATTTTATTTTAAAAATCCTTTTTTGCCGTTGAGTTTGAGCCTTTATAATATTCAGCAACAAACCAATGTTACTTCAACAAGCTATATACTTAAGCCTAGCTCCCATAAAACTGTTTCATAAATGACGACAACTCACTGCATTGCGTGGGTATTAAATTGATTTTCATCTATTCTATGGGAATGAGATAATGGTGACTTTGCATGTAATAACCAAGAAATGAAGTTAAATGTTTGGGGTTGAAATCAGGAAGAATGCTTAAAAGATTGTCTTTACTAGGATTTTAAAAAAATTTAATTATGTTTTTTTCTTCCTTTCTTATGCTCAGGAAACCTATCAAATCTAACAGGCGATTATTTAGGTGAAAAATTATTTCCTTATTGCTCAATTTTTGTCTTTAAAAATGGCTATTTTTACTTTGAAAAATCCAAAAATTCAATTTAATTAAAAGTCATTGTCTAATTTTAATAAAGGATCGTTCACTAATGACGTTTATTACCTTAAGGTAGAGTTGAGAGTGGTGCTCAAACTTTTTAAGGTTCGACACACTATAACAGAGTCAATTGTATCATTCCCGAATAGCACAAGTCGGTTAACCAAATAGAAATATGGTGCCAAGCAGGCATGACTCTGGCATGATGCTGGCTTTGATTTAAATCCAGCACAATACCAGAGTCACACCGGCTTAGTGCCAGATTTCTGATCGACTAACCGATTTGTGCCATTCGGGATTAGTTTGATTCTTGAGTTAATCTTGTCTAGTGTAGTGTGTCGCAAAACTTATTTTAAGCAGCACTGTTAATTAAAATCATTAAGTTTTGATAATGTTTGATCAGTTCCACTACCTCCTGAAACGTCATTTGTGAACAACCCTTACAATTCCACTCGAATTCTGACAAATATCCAATTTTTACTCAATAATTCTTACAGGGGAAGTAGAGCGACTGTTGAAAGAATATAGACAAAACCAAGAATTGGTTCGAAAAATCGGAGGGAATTTTTACCAAATAATCTATCCAGTACAATTAAGGCACCATGAAAAAATGGGTATTTCAACACGTGAAGTAGGAGGATCAAAGGTATGGTCTTCTTTAGGAAAACGAAATATTATGAATTCAACGGTATGTCATCATCAAACCATTATTATCATCATTGTGTTTCTCATTGTCATGTTACTTATTTTTGTAAATTTTCATTAAATGCCATTCAAAATCAGTGCCATAAAGTTTCGTTTTCTAATATTTTTTTTTTCTTTTATGGATATGCCTTTATAGGGTGGAAATAGTGGTTATGGTTCAGGAAGAGGACGAACGAGGGTAAGATTAATGTTTACTTGCTTGCTCATTCATTTACTCAATGCCTTTTTGTTCACAGACGGGAAAGCACTTTCATCGTACTTCTCTTTTAATTAAAGCATTTAATCATAAATTCCGTCTAGATCTTGAGTTAAACACGTAAGTCATTATTTTGTATTAAGTAGCTTTTCACGATATCTTGATTAATTTATTACAGGCAACTATTAGCACCTAATATACAACAAAAGCATATTCTGCCAAGCGGATATCCTCAAGATTCCCATCGAGTAAGTTATATTTTCATCTTATGCTTCATATTCCATGCAATTTATTACTTTATTTCTCCATTTCCATACATTAAAGGAAATTGAACACTGCTACTATCATGGCACAGTTAAAGGTAAGAAATCTCATCATCAAAATTGGATTTATAAATCATGAAATTTATGTGAATTTAATAAATATTTCACAGATTATCCTGGTGCAACTGCTGCATTTCATACGTGCAACGGAGTCAGTGGTGTCATACACGTTGGAAATGAAACATTCGTTATTCATCCGTTTTATGGTGGAGATTTATCGGTGAGTACAAGACCTTAACTTTTTCACAAATGCGGTTATCGTACGAATTATAGCTAATGTCTTGATTACGTGATTTACATTCATCATGAATGTCAGACAAAACGAAATGTTTGCATTATTTTTTGGGGATATGATTCATTTGGGATTGAGTAAGGGATTGTTTTGTCTGTCATACTGATTTTAAAATTTTTGTGGCTTTTTTGTGGGGTTTCTTGGCTGCTTTATAGAATAATACTTGATCCGTAAACATTGAATTGCTGTTCACATGACAGTAAAGCATATAGTGTACCCAGAATAATGAAGCAGCTGCTTGGTGAATTCAAAAACATGGATTTATTTAAAGTTGACTACTAAGTCACTGTCGCTTGATTCATTGTATCCTAGCAGGTTACAAGGTTACAGGTTACAACCTAAGGTTCTTGGCTTTTGCGGAATCATCTCTCGCGTTTTCCCAAGGATCGCTAAAGTATTTAGTGGAAAAAAAAAATATATCTACGCCCCTAACCCTTACATCTCCTATCCGTTTAATAAGCCATCAAAGTCACCAAAAAACTGCTTCATTCAAACCACATTTCCAACTTGTTGTTTCCTTTTCTCATTTCTTACTTATTCTTATTCCTGATGTCTGTAATTTATTAAATTATTATGTCTTGTGTTGTTTGTGACACAATTTACTAAGAAATTTGTGACTGCATTACACCACTTTGTTCCAACAGAAACACCCACATGTTATATTTGAGGCTCGCACAAAACAAAACAAAGGATGTGCTAATTCTGGCAATTTAGAATGGCGCATTCCTCGACGACAACAGCACTTTACTGGATTTATGGATAAGCCTGATAGAAATGGTGCTGGACGATTCAAACGTGATGTTCGTGATGCTACAAAATATATTGAAACGGCTATAATTATAGATAAAGCAATGTTTGATAAGAGGAATGGAAGTACGCGAGCTGAAGTTGTTCATGATGCAATTCAAGTTGCCAACATTGCAGATCTTGTACGTTTATCTTAATCATGTACTTTTCATGCTTACTTAATAATTTTTTCATTAAATTCCTTATTAATCAGTACTTCCGTACGTTAAATACTCGAGTGTCTGTGGTATACATTGAGACGTGGCAAGGTCAAAATCAGGCACAAATCGATGGCAGTAAGGATATTAGTAAAGCTGTTAGTAATTTTAATGACTATACAACCAGAAAGTTGCACTCTATCGATAAAGACACAACACAATTGTTAACGTAAGCAGCCACACATAAATATTAGATTCAATTGCCATAGAACTAAATTTATATCCATAAATAGGGGTGAGATGTTTGTAGGCGGAGAGGCTGGAATGTCAGTACCCGAAACTGTATGCACGCCAAAAGCTGTTGGAATAAGTGTTGATATTAATACATATGAGCCGCATTTATTAGCTGGTACGATGGCACACATGATTGGTCATAATATTGGCATGGGTCATGATGACAACCGTACGTATTTAAAAATAAATAAATTTCCTTTTGTTTTGAGAAGCAGTACGAACTTAATTAACCAACTGTTGCAAACTTTTCCTTTCTTCCCCATTCCCACCCACTCTCATAGGAGATGAGTGTTACTGTAGAGACTGGCATGGATGTATAATGGCACAATCAATTATTGGTTTAGAGAATGTTCAACCATACAAGTTTTCCGAATGCAGTCGCTCAGATTACATTGATGCACTCCGTATTGGTCATGGCTTGTGTTTATTAAATAAACCTAATGAAGTTGGGGTAAGTAAATGAATTCATAAAAAATTTATATCCTTTATAATCCACTCCTTCAATAATAATAGCTCGGTTCACGACGAAATTGTGGCAATGGCCTTATTGAAGATGGCGAAGAGTGTGACTGTGGATCATTTGATGACTGTAGCAAACGAGATCCATGTTGTGACCCAATTACATGTAAACTTGTGAAGGAAGCAGAATGTGCAAGTGGTCCATGTTGTGAAAATTGTCAGGTAACATGATAAGCTAATCTACAAAAATTTGCGTGTGTAGTCCTAATATTTTTATTATGTTAAAAATAGCTTAAAACACCTGGATCCATATGTCGTGAGGCGCATAATGAATGTGATTTACCTGAAATGTGTACAGGAGAATCAGGTCAATGTCCACCAGATGTATATATGAAAAATGGCAGTCCATGTGGAGCAACTAATATTGAAAAAGCATCAGGTAAGCCAGGAATAAATTTTTACGTCCATTAGCATATATGCTGCAATAATTGTTGTACAAATAATATGAGAATAATTCCCCCCAACAGGTTATTGTTTTAATGGCATGTGTCCAACGTTGGGTGTACAATGTGAAAAAATTTGGGGCTATGGAGGAGGAGCTGCTGAAAAGCAATGTTATGAACAATTTAATTCCAAGGGTTCAATGAATGGCCATTGCGGTATGGATCAAACAGGTCGTTACATTAAATGTGAACCAGAGTAAGATCATGGCAATTTATTAACCTCCCAATTATGCCTTTTTTATGAGAGAATTTTTTTTGTATTTAGAAATGTTCAATGTGGATCTTTACAATGTAAAGATGGTGATTCAACCCCAACAATTGAGGGTATGGATCAACTGTATTCTAGAACAATAATTTCAATTAGAGGCATCGAGTATGAGTGCAAGTAAGTCAGAGAATAAAATCATTAAGTCAATATGTAGTCAACTGTTAATTTAAAGAAATTTCCTAACATCTGCTCGAAACAGATCCACAAGTGGAACTCTTAGTGAACTCCATGATTTTCCTGAGCATGGCTTAGTACGTGATGGAACTCCCTGTGGCGAAAATCTTGTTTGTGTAAATCAAACGTGTGTTAGTATATTTCCTTACATAGATACATCAAAATGTCCGGCAGGCCATAACAATTTAGAGTGTTCAGGAAATGGCGTAAGTCATGACATCATTTAAGTCATTAGTGATAATTTTAACTATTTTCCTTCTTATACTTAGGCTTGTACAAATACAAATAAATGCCACTGTGAATTCGGTTGGACAGGAACAGATTGTTCAGCAGCATTAGCCGTAACTTCGACAATTGCATCAGCAACAGCACCAGTAACCGAAGGGAGCATCAAGATGGAAAGAAAAGAGACACCATACGGTACGTTGAATGAATTTAGTTCAGTGCTTCTTAAACGTTGTGATGTGACACACTAATATGTTGCTAAGACATTCATTTCTTTCGCGACTTCACCAATTTTATACTAGATTAGGGGACATTCACTTATTATGTATGAAATAGCGGGGGGAGGGGGGGTATTAAATTTGGAGGGGTGTGAAACTCATCAAAAAATGTTTAAAAATTAACTTGCATAATTAGTAAACAGCCCCGCAGTAGTTTAGTGTGCCACATTCGAAAAAAGTTTGAGAACCACTGATTGTTTTTTTTGATTGTCCATCAAAGAAAGATGCTTTTTGACAGATTTTTTAAAATGAGACAAGTCTTGAAAAATTTGAAGAAGTGAATTTATTCGATTAATGATGAGTTTTATGACAATGGTAATATTAATGTTCGTTCAAAATCAAAATCAATAACTTATTGAAGACAGACCTTAAAAAAATTTTTAATGGATTTTCATAAAAATTTTACAGACACAAATAATACAGATAAGTTCAGCACATTATCGATGGTGCTCACTTTAGTGGTAGTTGTCTTCTTGTTCTTCATATTTTTCACATGTATGGCAGTATGCTACAGGTGTGTACAAACAAATAAAACACAATTTCTCAACAAAAATTTTAAAAGAGTGAAGCATTAATGTTCATTTTTGTTGAGTGTATTTGCATAAATGTTTTGCAAAAAAATATATAATAATATAATTACCATAATTCGTACTGATTCTTATATAATTATAAGAAAAAAAAGAATATTTCAATATTACCAGGACGCGATATTTTATTTGTGCTTTGATTGAACTGTATGTATTTAAATGTATTTTCTGTGAAAGATATATAAAAATAACCAACTATAATTATATTGAATTTGGGAGTTCGAAGTGTGTACTGTTCTTTTTGATCATATTCTGCGTCTATCTTTACAAGGTGGGAAAGTTTTATGAACATTATAAGTTTGATGCTATCAAATTATATTAAAAACTATAAGTTGGATTGATGACAATCATTTTTTTCGAAATTAACATAAACCATTAATAGTTAAGTAGCTACCAAACCCTATAATTTCGAACAATTCAGATCTGTTATTATATGAATTGGTCCGTGAAAGTTGCGTAATTCTTCCTTTAACTGATTTCTGTGCTCATTTTATACATTTGATATTTGACAAAGATGACTATTAGCTTTTCGTAAGAATATGAAGCACAGTTCTGTACAAATACTCTTTGACTATAGATAGTCATAATAACTCTGAACGGATGCAAAGATAGTTGTTCCCAAAACCTCCTAAATCGCAACCACTGGCTGAAAATTGACAAAAAGTTCTGTAAAATCCTATAAAAGGACTACAAATTTTCAAATTTTGCTCAGGTTCCAAAACTGCTCTCTATACCACAGAATAAAATTATATAAGAGTGGTTTTAAGTCCATACCAAAACTTTTTGTTTCATAGATTCCTCCAAATTATTCTCAAACCTTAAAAGTCTCGAGATATATAATCCAAACTATCATAAAGAATATCATTCAAATATTTAAACAAAAACTTCATAGTAGAATAACGTAAGATTCAATTTAAGCTTTAAAATCTAACTTTGATGACATCAAACTTCAAACAAAACAAGAATCGTCACAAAAGTTTGCCACCTTGAACTATCTTATGTTTTGTTACACAACTTAAATAAAAATAAGCTTTAGATCTGGATCGATCCCTTCCTCAAACTCATTATCCTTAATGTTCCATTACAATTGTATATTCAAGATAAAATATAAATCCTTATGACTTACAAGCCGTTATATTCAACCGAAACTCATTATCAACCATCATCTTTTCCCTTATTTCTATTTCGCAACTATGTATGTTAAGGATGAACGTACATACAATTCCATTAAACGTAATTTCTGAAAGGTTTTTGCACTACACAAAAAGAAAAGATATTTAATAATAATAAAAATAATAATAATAATAATGTGCCTTATAGGAGATAGATACAATCATAATCAGGTGATTGGAAATATTTTGCTCGTATTGTTACCATTGTCATAACTTTGATTGGATGAAGTCATAAAAGATTATCATCTTTTGATGCAACATCACCAAAACAAAACAAACAATAATAAAAATATGAAAATATGATGTAATGCTCATGACTATTGAACTGTGTATTTTGCAGAAAATTATCATGGTTCAAATACAGGGTTCTTAGTTGCAGTTCTAGTTTCGGTTGTCAGCGGTGTTTTCATAACATTTGCTTTAGTCGCTTTGTGCTACAGGTCAGTTGTAGTACACAAAAACATCGCCTTATGCTTAAGGTTAGTTTATAATTAAAAAAAAAACAATTGATAATTAATATCAAATCACATATAGAAATAATAATTTTGTAAATTTTTATAAATCGATCCAATCAATTTTCCCTAAATTAGCCACAAAAAGTGATACAATTAAAATATTTCTAAAATACAATATAGTTGATGCATGTAAAATATCATTAAAGCTTAGTTGGACTTAGTATCATTCATTAATTAAGTTTTGAATTTTTAATTGGCATGCGTTTTTCTTTTTTAATTTTTATAATTTTTCATTCTATCTTAGATTGCTAGCTAGAAATCAATCAATACTTAACATAATCATATGCGATGTTTTCTAGTTGCTATGGATACTAAATGTAAAGTTTCCTCATTTCAGACACACTACATGTCATACTCATTTACAGTAATAATGTTTTATTTTGCAATACTGCATAGTGACAATGATCGAAAACTGTAGTTAGATCCAATGTGTGTGCGTCTTTTTGAAGGGATTGGAAGATTGACTTATTAACGACTCTTCAATTTTTAAATTCACTATATTCAGCTGAACTTAGTGCTAAACAGCTGTATTCTGTATAATTTAACATAAATTCAGCTCTGTTCAGCACTATTCAGCTAATTTCAATAATGACCAGAGTTGTTCAGCTCGATTTCGCTTTGTTATGCTGAATTTGGCACTGCTCAGTATTATTACACGCTTTTTATTTAATTATATTTAAATGAAATCGGTATAATTCAGAGCTATTCAGCAGAATTCAGTGTAATTCAACACTATTCAGCTATTTTTACAAGCAATTCAGCTTATTTAACGATCATTATGCTGAAATTATTAGTAATGAAGCTGAAACTAGTATCATTGAGCTGAATTCTGTACAATTAAGCACAATTCAGCTAATTGTAATGCTAATTAGAGTTGTCTTGATGAATTAAGCATTAATCTATTCTATCTGAACACTGTTTAACTTAATTTAGAATTGTTAAGCTGAGCAGTTTGCAGCACAATTTAGATCAATTCAGCACTGCTTTACTATATTCAAATCCACTAAAAGAGCGCATTTAAGCAAATTATCCGTTTTAAAATTATTTTTTCGTCCAGAAAAGATGTAGACATGCTGGTTTTTAGATTGATTTCAAGATATAACGATGTGAATTCTTAAGGGCATTTCATTCAAACTTTTCAGTAAGAAAATATCAGAATCTAGTTTCTTCAGAATATTGTTTAACGGAACCATTGTTACATTACATAAAGTCCAACATAACCTACTAGAATGCATCGATATATCTTGGATCAACTCTATAATATTATTGTCATTATGATTTTTTTATTTTAAAAAAAAAAGTATTAAGCATGAGAGATATCTTACATTTGCGCTCCATCACCTCTTTAAAATTATAAATCAGAAGAAATTAATATGAAAAGTACACGCATAATCTCATGTCACACATAAAACTAATTAGTGTAATACACTTCATTCTTTAAACATTTAGACGAAAAACGACTAGATTGAAATATGATCCACCATATGCTAAAAAGCCGATGGCAAAATATGTAGCATCAAATTCTAATGCCAACCATCACACAATAGAGGAAATGTCCTTAGATCCAACCAATAAATACAATAATCAAATGTTCAATAATCAAAATCAATTTGGGTATGATTTATAGACATTAATAAAATAACATATAATAGAGGGTGGGGATTGATGCATAGTGCAATTAATTAATTAAAATTTAATATATTTTCACAGAACTCAAAAGTTACAAATTCGAAGGATGACAGGTACGGGAGCAGAAGAAGAGCCAATGCATTCAGGTTAGATGAGACATAATTAAGTATATCACATTCCTAATATTGACCGAAATAAATCATATATAGGAGCCAATGCGGTATCGGATGTTGAACATACACTAAAGACTTTAAATGGATACCATGAAGATATATTGGAAGCTTTAAAGAATGCGGTACAGCAAAGAAGTTCAGGAAATACACCATCAGGAAGTATTAGTGAAGAAATATTAAGGAAAACATTACAGGAATGTGCGGCAGGCACATTAGGGTACGGTCGCGGTAGCTCAAGAAATAGTTCTAGAGAAAATATTTGTGAAAATAATACACAATTAAATCCAATTTTAAATGACGGTGCTGGAGCAATGTTATTCCATCATCGGTCCCAGCAACAATTACATCAACCTCAACAAGCACCAGTAACAAATCCACAGCAATCTATGCAACAACCGGGTCAGCAATCAATGAATCCTGACGACGAGGTTGGTCCATTAAGAATACGTAACTTAGAAGATTTAATAAGACAATTGGAGCATCACTCATCGCGTCATATGAGCCCGACTGCCTCCGAAGACATTAACAATAGTTATGGGTAAGTAAATATTCCTGTTTATATTATACATCATGTACCATTCCATTCATCAATTTATCTTAATTATATTCCAATACATCACAGTATGTCCGAAACGGAGGCTGATAGACATTATAGATTAGAAAGTTCTGCTGCATGCAGTGAATCATCTCATGGGTAACATTTCTTCTTTTACTATCTTTTATGTCTCGCGTTTTCCATTAAGTTCCATTTAAAATTCCCTAAAACTATTCCAGGGGTGTAGCCAGAAATTTTTTCGAGAGATGTGGGTGTTCTGATGTGGGGTAGGAGGGTGGGCTGTGAAATGTTTTGTAAAGATGGAAATATTGTGGAAGTTTTAGAATTTTTGTTTTTAAAATCCATGCTTAATCGAAGAAATTTTCGCGTCAGGGTAGAGGGGTATAGCAAGATGGGATATCCTCTACGGAAAAATGTCTTCAAAAATTTCAAAATCCCTTCCTCAGAAAATGTATGGCTACGCCCCTGTACAATTCATCAACAACACCAAAAGTTGCGCATTAGCACCAGAATTCATTGCACCCCATTGCTCATAAATTCCTTTTTTATATCTCAATAATTATGTTTATAGTAGCCGTTGTCGACAGCGTTCATCAGATGACGAGAATCGATTTATGAGCTATGGACGTTATCAGCAGCGCTCAAATCGACATCAACACCATCAGCCTAATTCACCACATTCCTTTAATCATATTCATCATAGTCATGCACACCTCTCATCGCATGGTCATTCATCGCATCATTCGTCACATACGCACTTACATCAGGATGAAGAAGGCATTTACGAAAGTGCTGATCCTCGGGAGCGTAATGCTATAGACTTAAGAGACGCTAATGATAGTGAGAGGTAAGGATCTTAGCTTAATTGTTAAGAAACATGCAAATTACTGTCTAATTTACAATATTATTGAATGAATCATGCATTTAGTAGATTTATATTGGATTTTGGAATGGCTATAGCTTAATTAAATGATAAATTAGACCAAATAATTTGTATGTCGATTGCAATTATTGCATTCCCAAACATATTATTTTTTAGTGATGACTTTATTCAAGCTCAACAACAATTAGCCCGATGGGCTAGTGAAGATGTCGTTTCCGTGGTGGTCATGGAGTCAGATTCGTCCGTAGTCGTTCCATCGCCAGTAACCGTAACTCAAAACATCATCCCCCACCTTTCCACGCAAATGCCTCAACCGACTCCTCTCATTATCAATGGGTTAGGTGTAGGAGTTTCCCGGACCGACTATTATCCATCACCGCCATCGACGACGGAAACAGAAAGCAGCGGAAGTGTGATGTTAACACAGAGACGAGGAATCGACGTAAGCGGAGGACCACAGCAGGAGAATACAGGACGATATCCAGAATATAAGCACTGATAGTTACTCAACGAGTTAAAATTTAATTAACAGAAAAAATGAAAAAAGAAATAATTACTTAATTAAAACGAGTAATATCACTCACTCACTCTCTAATTCTATCTCCTTATCTCAAAAACTTCAACAATATAACAGACTCAAAAGAAAAAAAGGGAAGTTTTTATATGCTTTTGTCTTTTTTGTTAAGGGGACCCGAGAACAAAGAAATCAGTATTATATACATACACGCTCAAGAACATTGAGGATAAATGAAGTTGCAAATTGATTGATTTTCTTTTTTCCTCAAAATTTGATGAAATAATAAAATTTTATTGATAATAGCACACACAAGACATGAAGAAAACAATATGGAACTCACACATACAGAGTCATGCAAAACAGATGCATCACATGTGAATCTAATTTGAAATGATTTTAATTATTAACATGGATGACAAATACTTTCTTCAGAAATTAAGCCCCTCTTTCCCCAAGCAGAAACATGCAAACACACAAACACAGAATGTAATTTAGGAGAAAAAAGTTTAAAAAATAATTGTAACGGAAATTTTGAATTTAAAATTTTTATGCGCGCATTATACAAGAGTTTATGAGCATTATACATGAATCGGTGCGCATTGTACGGGTGTTTTTAAAAATTTAACTGAATCTGGTGCGCACTATGCACATGTCAAATAAATGCATTTAAATAGTGCGCGTACAATTTGTTATTTGTATAATACGCAATAAATTGACAGGATCTAAAATATTTTTAAATCCAAAATTTCCGTTGCAAAATGTGATTAGTTTTTAATACCAGAAGCTACTTAATAATAGTGAATGATAGATAATATTAATAACAATACACTTTGTTAAATTTAAGGATTAATTTTATTTCATCCCCAATTTCCCCATCTTCCAAAAATATGATGATTTTGTACTTACAAACAAAAAATGTACTTTCTGTCTGATTGACGTCGTTAAATAATTTAATTAATTAAATTAAGATCGAAATAAACAAAGAATGAATGAACCTTGTGTATAAAAGAAATCCAATGAAAATTCTAAATCTTTAGCATCAGTAAACAAAAAATATGAAATGCACTAACCCAAACGTAATGATGAAAAAAAAAATAGGAAATAGTATTAAATTAAGCTCGTGAAAATATGTAATCATAAAAGAAATCCACGGTTTTCATTTGATTTTTACAACTGAACGGTAACGTGCCAAGATAAAAAGTACTCAATAGGAAGCACACAGACACGTTAATCATATGTGCTTGTCGAAATAAATAAAAAAATGCTCACAACAGATTTTTCTTTAAGAAAAAATAATTGTTTTATTTCACTGAAATGAAAGAAGGAATAAAGAGAAATGATGATTTTTGACATAAGTTACTGAAAGTATTAATTTCTTTTAATCTAGTCATACATATTGATACGTGCGATATCAATTTTTATGCAATTGTGTGAAAACTGCATGAGTTGAATTTAAATTAATTGAATTTTCAATCTGTAATTTTTATAGTATTAAATTAACAAGCAACACGTATACAGTATATCCGACAAATGAAAATCTTTTGTACCTTTATTCTGTGTGAGTTGAATTAAATTTTTTAAAAATATGCGAGAGGTTTATTGAGTTAAAATGGATCAATTGATTTGATAAGTAGATTTACGAGCAGACAAATTGAATCAGGATTAAATCAAATTTTTTTGAAATTGTTTATATCCTGCGGGTTCAATTTCAAATGTGTGAAAACAGTCAAAAATTAAAGTTTAAAAAACAACTGTCAAAAATAATTTGAAAAAAAAATTGATAGTAATTTGAATTATTCAAACAATTTGAACCGGGTCAAAAAGGTTTAAATTATTTTTTTCCGTTATTTTTCAAAAGTTGCAAGTTTATTTAAAAATAAAAATCTTTGCAGCTTGATAATAAAAAATTCCAATCGATCAAATCAAGATCAAGGTTGATGCTAATGCGCAAAATCTAAAATTCAGGATCAAAATAATCCATTTTATCAAAAAACCTAAACGTAATTTAACCCCCCCCCCCCCCCCCCCCCCCGTCAAATAAAAAGAAAGAAAAATTATCATTAAAGAAACTTTTTAGCAGGTCAGTTTACGTGTAAAATGCACGTACAATCATGATTCATCTAATAAAGCACTTAATACCTATAATTGTTCATTTACCACATTGCAGTCATTTCCACTGAAAAAAAAAATTGGCAATTATCTGTCCTATACACTATATTTTAATGTCTCTCATAATGCAATTGTAAGATATGAAATTTGATTTACAGCAGAATTGTAATTTTAAACACATATAGCCACACAAAATGATGAGAATTCCAATTAAATTTGATTTTAAAATTTGTGCCTTGTTTTCTTAAAAAAAAAGTAATGAAAGTATATTTAATGTGTATAAATAAAGATGTTGAAATGAAATTAACAGAAAAATTGATTGTTTTTTGAGAATAGCCGAGAATTTTAAACATCTTATTTGTGTCATGTCAAGGACATTCAAATGATAATGATGAAAATACAGTTTTTGCACGTTTGGAGATTGTTTAGGCGACATTTCACAAAAAGTTTTATCTTTAAACTATAAAAAATTATGAAAAAACTTTTAAAAAAAAGAAAACCGAGGCTACTGCAGATTATAACCTTTGTACGTAGAGATTATGAGGATTATGATGAGCGAGCCTTGAAGATAAACCGAATAAAAATAGTTAAACGAATGAAATAAAAAAAGAATTTATGAATTAAAAACTTTTTATTATAGGTTTTTATCGAGAAAAATTAATAATAATGAAAAGATTTGTAAATATGCTGAACGTAAATTAATGTAATTAAATTAAAAACACTGCCTAAATTAAATAAAAATGAAGAATTATTTCACGAAACAAGTCATTTTCTATTTTCTTACGACTTTACAATGCAAAGTTTAGGAATCATATTTACATTTCTTTATATTCATACTTAATTAGAGTGGATTTTACTTCCTCTACATTTTCGAGCGCAATTTTGCAAGTTTTTAATTTATTTTTTTTTCTACATTGTCGACGTAATTTCTATTCTAATCTAAACTACTTAACATTTTTGTACTCTAATATAATTGCCACAAAAATGTTTCTAATGTGACTCGTCAAAAACCGTTATTTTTTACAATTTTGAATTTCAGAAATCCGTTACTTAAATCTAATTTTTTCTATCTTTTTAATTCTTGCAAAAATGCGCTCTATTGAATTGAACATTGTTTTTCACTGATTGCATTGTAAAGTGACTACATTTTTGAGATCATATGAAAGTCTCACTTTTTTCTCATTTCCTCTTTAACGAGAAAACTCGAAATTATTGTTTATTAACATGCTAAATATCTATCGAACTATAAATCGGAGTTGAAGGTAGCATAAAAGATAGAAAGTTGAATAAAAAAATAATAAAAAGTACTTGAGTTCCACAACAATAGATTTGTCAATTTTTTAAGCATACTTTTCTTGAATTATGGATTATAAAAATGAAAAATAATAAAATAAACAGTATCGGGTTTCGTAAGAAATAAATGAAATTGGAAATTAAATAATAGAAGAATTTCTAGAAATTAAAGTCTCTTGTAAAAAATAAAGAAGAAACAACGAAACACATTATTATATAAAAACATTATTAAAAAATATAATATTATAAATAATACAACATTAGCTCACCAATTTCAACGAATTTGTGGCAATGGTATTGATTTTGTTTCTATTTTTTGTTCCTTTGCATTCCTATACAATGCTGACTCCTTACTGTTCTCATTACTTGACGTTGACGACGAGCACGAAGCGATGACAGACTGATAAGTGAGATTCGTAAGTGTAAAGTTCTGTGTTACGTCCGGAAAATTCTCAAATAGTTTATTGATATCCAAAAGTGGAATTTTTGTGACTTGATGAAAAATCTTGTGAGAGTATTTGTTCCTTACAGTACTTAATGTTTCCTTTGGTTTCTTGTGTAAAATTGTATTGAGCAGCACAACGATTGGAGCAAAATCCATTAATCGATAACCTATTGTTTCAGAAAGTAGGGTAAAATGGTATTAATAAAGGTCGTAATTACTAAAATAATGCTTATTCGTGGCTGACAAGTTATATTGACGAATGTATTGATCAAAAAACTTTTTTGAAAAATAACGGGTAGAAAAAATTTGAAAAAATATTTCCAACCAAAATACAATTTTTGAAACATAAAATAACGGTCCAGCATGTGAACCAAAGAATCGACAGTCAAATTGCAAGCAGCCTGAGAGAAAATGGTGCTGATAATCCTCAGGATTAAAAATAAACCTACAAAAAATCAACATACCTGAGTAATATTCTAAAACTTCATTCCATCCCTCGCAATTATTCATACGAAGAGACATAAATAAAGCAGCACATGCCATTTTTGTATCCGACAATTGAATAGTTGAGTAATCCATTAGCGAGTATTCGAGGATATATCTAGCAAGCGTTAAAGTCACCATTGATACCTTTCCACACTGCAAAAAAATATAATAAATTTATTTATTAGTTTACCGAGATTAGAGGATTAGCTTCATGCTGCAACATACCCGAGCGTAACGACGTAAAAATCTGTATGAGAGCGGAAATCCTAAATCATATCGGATTGCTCGAAAAACATTCGTTTCCATTTTAAGCAATTGATTTCTTTTATAAGCCCCATCACATATAAACAAAAAGTCATCGACAAGAGGAGGTGTACGTTCCTGTTTAAAGAGATAAATTGTATTAGTTTATATTTCGAAAATAATGAGGAATAAGGCATAACTTACATCATATTTACAAGCAATTAACAAGGAAGCAGCACCAAGTAATTGCAGAGAGTCTTTCGATACTCGTTGATGCCCAAGATATGTATCAACGATTTTAATTGCAAGATATAAAGTTTCGTGGTTCAATTCAAAGCTTTCTTGTACTTCGACCATCCAGTCAACAAGTAAGCATCGCATCCATTTTGTGATTTCTGGCTGTTGGCTCATATAGTCTTTAATTTGATATTTAGCTTCTTGGTGCTTAAGATATTCGAATATATCCATTGCATAATGCGACACCTGGAATGGATCGTTCCAATGTTCACGGTCAAAATGCTGAATGCCTTTTGGTAATTTCCGGCTAATAGCATCCTCATAAATATCTGTATCAACTGAGGTATCAGATGCTGTGGTAAAGATTGATGCCTGAGATGAGGTAACTGTTGAATTAAGGCTACTGGCACTGCTTGGTAAATTCTTTGTTCTATTATGCGAGAGTCTTGATGCATCCGATGAAATATCTTCGAGTGCAGAGACATAAAGGCTCTCTTCAGTCTTTTCAAAATCATTAGAAATTCGGCGTGTACTTATTGATCGTTTTGATTTGTCTACGTTTACATTTGCGTTAGTCTTACTTTTCACTTCCTTATCCTTTAAAATAACATTTTCTACGTCAATTTTATGATCATTTTTAACTTTCTTTGGGACTTTAATTTGAGGCTTGAGTTGTAATATTGGTTGCACATGTGAAGCAGCGACTGATGCTCTTGTTCGATAACTTATTGGCTGTATATTTGCTTGATTTTGATTATCATCCTTATTACCAAATACTGTCACTTTCTTTAAATTCTCATCGTTTTCATTTCGAATCAAATTATTTGTAAGATTTGTCAATGCACACCTTTTGATCCGTTCATTCTTTCCCGGACTGGCTTCTGCCTTCCTTTTTCTATTGTATTAGAGAAACAGATTGTGTTTTTTTATTTATAAAGAATTGCACACATGATAATTATTTACGATTAATAACTTACGCTGTAATTCCTTGCTGTTGTTTTGGATTTACGGGCAATTTGAGTGATGCTCTCGTTGTTGCCATTTAAATTTTTTGTTTTTAATCTCAAAAAATGTTCGTTCTTAATTGTTTACTTTTTTAATTACACTATAATTGGACTAGTCAGCAGTCAATCACTTGATAACTTTTAATAATCCGTCCTCATATATATAAAAAATATTTGTTTGATGTTCCTGAGAGAAGAAAATGTGGAAAAAATTGAACGTTAAAAATGAGTACTACCGAAATTTCTTATTGCTGCTTATGCCTTGCAATAAAGTAACTATATTGAGTACATAAGGAAAAAATATGTGAAAAAGTATTGTACATAAAGATCCCGAAAAAGCCAAGTAAAGAAATCATCCCCTTCTTATAAAAAAGAACACATGCACATTTTGCTTATTGTCCTATCTTTTTTTCCTTTAAGGATATATTTCGTTTGAATACAGGTAAGAAAAAGTATAAACTTTATGATCAGCGCCTGTCTGACAAAACAATCTTAAAAATTTAACTTTAATTATTTGCAATTGCTTGATATAACTTTTAATTACTTAAAATGCACTTTTATAGTCCATAAATATTCATCTAATGCTTCCTAAACATTCAGTCCCTTACAGTAATTATCCTTTCAACAAAAAATAAACGGCAAAAATTCACTGGATGTCTGAATTTGCAGTTTTTATTTCTTTTTTTCGTGATATTTCATTCACTTCTGATAAATTAGTGATTAAACATTCTTTTGTTCTTACCTATTAATTAATTAAGCCAGTCTTTATGCTTATTGTTGTTAAAAACTTGTTAATTTATCCATTAAAATTTATTTACTGAAGCTGTTTTGTTCGTGTTAACGGACTTTGTAGGGGGAAATAAACTACGGTCGTCAATAACTTTTATTTTCTTTTGAATTATTAATGACGGTTGATATATGAATGTGAAGTTTACTGAACTAATTCAACTTTGAGAATGATTTACTCAACAGATAGCTCAGATTTTATATTATTGATTCTAAAGCTTGACAGGTCATAAGAGTCAATTTTGGTACCTGAATGTGCTTAACTTTGATTCAAAATTCTCAATAACGAACCTTTTATATTCACACCGTTTTCATGTGTGAATCTATTGGTTTTGTTCAGATTGAAAAATCAGTTTTTCGCATTTTGTGAGAAACTTTGAAAGAAAAGTTTGTGCCTGAAATTTTACATCATTTTCAAAAAACAGATTTCAAATTGGTTGTGGCATTGCTGAGAAAATTGCAAAATACGCTTTCTGTAAGCAAACAAGCAAGCAAGCAAGCAAGTTAATCAGCAAGAAATCTCAAGAACGAGACATTGTAGAGACTTCTAGTTTTTTACATTTGATCCGTGCTGCTCTATAGAAGAGCTGTATTGTTTTTGGGCAAGGTAGGAACAGCCGTTGCTTCAGAAATGGCAAAAAACTTTCCTTTCTTACGAATTTTTTAAAACAAAAGTTGACTGTGATTTTTATAAAATTCAACTTTGGATGAAATTTTTTTTTAAAAAACTTATAAAGAATATTTGGCATATTCGTCAAGCTTTATACCTTCAAAATTATGGTGAGCATAGCTCAGCTGACTCGATAGCTTTATATCTTCAAACTTATGCTGAGCGTAGCTCAGCTTACGCGATAGCTTTATAACGTCAACTTATGCTGAGCGAAGCTCCACTGCCTCTCTAGCTTCATATCTTCAAACTTATGCTGAGCGTAGCTCAGCTGACACTCTAGCTTTATATCTTCAAACTTATGCTGAGCGTAACTCAGCTTACGCGATAGCTTTATAACTTCAAACTTATGCTGAGCGAAGCTCAGCTGCCTCTCTAGCTTCATATCTTCAAACTTATGCTGAGCGTAGCTCAGCTTACGCGATAGCTTTATAACTTCAAACTTATGCTGAGCGAAGCTTAGTTGACTTATCAAGCTTCATACCTCCATACTACTGATGGGCAAATCTTGGTCTATCCATAAGAGTTATGATAGTACGGTGTGAATATAATCCGCATTGGGTTTCTACCCGATACACTAGTTTTAAATTAAACTTTGGATGAAAAAAAATTTTTTGAGCAAAGAACCAAGAAGGAAATACATTTTCAATTTTGGACTAGGGGCGACCCTAGTCAAAATCAATTTTTTCACTTTTTTTCTTCGAGGGTTTATACAAATGGATTGAAACTTTGCATAAATATTCTAATGCTTAAAACAAATACAAATAAAACATCCTAAAGTTTTTTTGAGCAAAGAACCAAGAAGGAAATACATTTTCGATTTTGGACTAGGGGCGACCCTAGTCAAAATCAATTTTTTCACTTTTTTTCTTCGAGGGTTTATACAAATGGATTGAAACTTTGCATAAATATTCTAGTGCTTAAAACAAATACAAATAAAACATCTTAAAATTTTTTTGAGCAAAGAACCAAGAAGGAAATTCATTTTCAATTTTGGACTAGGGGCGACCCTAGTCAAAATCAATTTTTTCACTTTTTTTCTTCGAGGGTTTATACAAATGGATTGAAACTTTGCATAAATATTCTAATGCTTAAAACAAATACAAATAAAATATCCCAAAATTTTTTTGAGCAAAGAACCAAGTAGGAAATACATTTTCAATTTTGAACTTGGGACAGGTCTAGTCAAAATCTAGTTTTTCACTTTTTTTCTTCGAAGGTTTATCCAATTACAGTGAAACTTTGTGTGAGTACACTAATATTTATACAAAACAGTTTTAAATATCTAAAGCAAGTAATGTATTCTATATGTCGTCAGACCCAAATATTATAAATTTGGTTGTACATTCAAAAACAACGTGACTTATAATTTTGTCCAGAAAAATGATTTTTATTAATTCAGAAATGTGTGACCTGAAGATTAGAATGCTCATACAAAGTTTTACTGTATTTGGATTTATCCTCGAAGAAAAAAGTGAAAAACTAGATTTTGACTGGACCTGTCCCAAGTTCATAATTGAAAATGTATTTCCTACTTGGTTCTTTGCTCAAAAAATTTTTAAGATGTTTTATTTGTATTTGTTTTAAGCACTAGAATATTAATGCAAAGTTTCAATCCATTTGGATAAACCCTCAAAGAAAAAGATGACAAAATTGATTTTGACTAGGGTCGCCCCTAGTCCAAAATTAAAATTGATTTTCTATGGTGTACTTTTGTCAAAAAAATTTTTTGGATGTTTTATTTGAATTGACATAATTCTGACATAAATCACATACCAATAAATTTCGACTACCCCATCTGAATTTTGTTCATACTCTTCACTGTGGAAACCAAAAAACAAATTCTTTATCTTAAAACACTTGACAAAATAGAGACATAATTCAGGATTAATTACTTTTTAATAATATTTTAACATTTACGAGAAAATGTGGTTCAAATAAGTGTGAAGTATGGCCGAGATTTGGACCAAAATCAGCTATACTGGTTCATAGTGTTGCCGAGGGTGACAAACTTCAAACTAAGTGTTTTTGTAGCTGACATAATTATGACATAAATTAGGTATAACTTTTGAACTGTGTCGATATGGGTCTCGGCCGTACTTCACGCCCACCCTTCAAACTTATGCTGAGCAAATCTTGGTCTATCCATAAGACTTTTGATGGTACGGTGTGAATATATCCGCATTGAGTTTCTACCCGATACACTAGTTTAAGATTTGCCGAGATGTAGCATAATTAAAAACCTATTGCGCAATAAAATAATAATAATTATGGAATTAATTAACATTGAAAATGAAATCTAGCTTTTATATCCAAGGTTTGATATTTTTAAAAAAACTCAAATAAAAATAACCCGCGGATAATGAAGGTATCCGTGAATTACTTTCAGTGCTTTCAAGCTACAAGCAGCAAGTGTTTTTGTTTTGCTGAGACATACAAAAGTCAGTTACCATATTAAGCGCAAAGTAGACACAATTAAGGTCTAGTGCGGTAAACAACTTAAAAGTCTATCCAAAAGTAATTAATTCACAGAAAAGGTATGTGATTTATTGGAATTTAGTGAATTTACGCAGAAAAAAAAATTTCATCAAACAGCAGAGAATGAGACATCAAGTGCTATTTTAAGAACGTTCACTTCATTTCATTCGAAATGTTTACTACACACCCTGAGAATATCCAAAAATCAATTTATATACATCCATAAGAAATATTTCGTGTATTGTATGCACATTGATGATTCATGCTTGCTTGCTGTCTTCAAGATATTTTATTTTCGCATCGAATGACTTTAAAAACATTAGATTTGATTATTTCTAAACTTGTTGATTTGATTCGGGCTTCCTGCGAATAGCTTCACACATAAACAATTTATATCAGCCGAATATGTAGACATGTGTCTTGTGGTTAGCTGTTTGACATTCTTGTGGCATTTGCTGATGATGATTTAGTATTGTCTGACAGGGGTGTGGTATCGGAAGTCATGTTGATAGCTTATGCTTCTTATTAAACAATTTCTGAGGTCATTGACTTTTGTCATTCAATTTGTAAAGGGTTCAGCGAATGTTCAATACTGAAAACCATGTGACAATTTACTGTAGAAGAAGGAGAAAGAATCTCTGTGACTCTCTCGTGCAGTGTCAATAGAAAAACTCGATACTCAATCCCTGTATGGATTTTTATTTCTTCAATGCTTCATTGTTTGTTCTAATAAGTTTTCTTCAATAAAAATAACATCGTCTCCATTCGTGCTGCTTGATGTAAATTTCCAAGGTTTGAAAAAGTAATAAAAATAAAAATTGACTCAGTTTTTTGAAATTTATTTGTAATATTTGTGTGTCATGATGCATTGTGTAGGACGTGATGGATGTTATGTTACATGAATATTAATGCTTTTTTTGAAACAACCAAAAAAAATTAAAACTTAAGTGTCAAAAAATTTAAAGTTGAATTTTTATCCATCATAAGCCTACCCCCAGTTTTAAGCCTGGTTCTAGGTTCAAGGGGTAGGCTTATAAAAGAGAATTAATTTTTTGATATCAATGTTGTCAAATTCAAAACGTTATCGCATTGTGATAAGAAAGACTGTTACTGTCAATAAGTTTCTCAGTATTTCTATTCACACAACATTTTTGATAACAAAAGTTACTATTTGGCTATTTGTAATGATTTTTGCACAGTTTAATTCTTGTTATTGAACACTAAAGAGTTATTTTTGGTTATTATATCATTGTGAACATTAGTTATAAATTTCCTACCTCAACCATGAGTCACGCAGTCACGATTACCCGTACCACCACAACCCATTCATCAACAACATCGGCTCTTATCATTAATACTGGCTATATGAAGACTATTCCCGGTATCCTAAAGCTTCTTCAACTGGTAACTTGTTTTGTATTTAAATTAAAATTTCTTAACTCAATCCAGCTCTCCTAAAACAATCCATAGATCATTGGAGGCCTTTGTGTATTCTTTGTCAGTTGGAACTTCTGGTCGACTTATACAAGAAATACAGAATTGTTCTTCCTATGCATGGCTGTTGCGTTCTTTATAGGGACGTTTTGTCTATTAGTATCTTGTTTAGTTTCCTTAAGCACTGGAGGTATATTTAAAACTTTGTCATAACACACAGCATGAATCACAATGCAAATATTTACAGGAATCATTTCCAAGACCATTTATGAGCTCATCTATCATTCAGTTGCATTCATCTTATACTTAGTTGCTTCCATATTATTAATGATGAAGGCCTCGGATTATCGTCTTTCAAGTTCGCATCCATTCATGATTGCTGCTGTAAGTACCTTGTCTTTGAACAATTTTTTATTATTTTATTAATTATTATTTTTAATTTTATTTCCTAGATACTTGGACTTATCAACTCGGCATTGTACTTAGTGAGCACCTTTTATGCTCAACGCTCATATAGAGGAATCTAAGAAGCTTGAAATCTTTCGGACATGACAGAGATCGAATGAGCACAAATATTACTTTGTCAATGTGTTCTCATCGCTTTTTTGATATTTTAAGAATTTTTCGTACTCATCGTCAATAATCTCGCTTACCAGTAATTTTAAAGGAAACTAACAGCCGTGTCATATTTTTAAGGAATTTGAAATTATCACTCTTTTAATCAGTTGTAGTCCAGTTTTAGCACATGATAATTGAGCATATTACGGTAAGTGTAAGTGCTCAGTTAAATGAACTTTTTAATCTGGACTAGATCTTCAAAAAAAAACTTTATTAATCTAGTGATTACCGGAACAGCATTAAAGACCAACTTGTTGATGCAATTTTGGTAAAATTTCAAATTCCCAATCATTTTTTTGAGCTTATTAAAGTAAAAAAGTTGTATTTTGCATTTTTTTATTCATTTTGTTAATTAATTTATTTTTTATGTATAACAATAATACACATTTATTAACGTTAATAAAATATAAATGTATAAAAAACAAAACATCTTGCATTAGTAATTAAACAAATCTTTAACAAAATTGTTCGACTTATGACACTTTGGAACGATGCTGTGCTGAAGTTAGTGGTATACTCAACGGAAGCTCTAATTTCTTAAAAAAAATTGGGGTTCATTCACTTATGACATATAAAGGATCACCAAACCTTAAAACTTCTTTCTGCGTTAAGGATGATAAAATAATATAACCCTCCCAACCCACCCCCCCCCCCCACCCCTACCCCTTCAAGCTAATTACAAATTTACATGAGGAATAATTATTTTGTTTGCAATGTTTCAAAATCGTCAAGGTGGACACAGTTTCATGCGTTGAAAATCTTAGAACCCCCACCCCCCCCCCCCCTGCCCGAAAGAGCGAACGTAATAAATAAATGACTCCTAAGAATTTTAAGAAAAACTTAACCATTCGCTAGCTCCACCGCTGACAATAATACTGAGTACTACTTAAGTACTTCTGTCAAACTTATATTGAAGATATAGCATGTGTGCAGAGAGTCCAAAAGCAATTGTGTCTATAATACCAAAAAATGCAGCTGCAATATTTCTTCCTTGATACACTAGATCCACACTCAGCCATGAAGACAGTTGAATGATGGATCCAAGAAACAAAAGCATGGTTGCAATCACGTAGTTCACAAATTCCTAAAATAAACATTTAATTAGCTTTTAAAATACTTATTTATATTTATACAACTTTATAGATATCATTTTAAGAACTGATTTGAGGGTGCTTAATAATTTGAAGCATTCAACACATGACCATGACTGATTAAAAATCTTAAGAATCCCAAATTGTTTCGAATGCTGAAAATTTTTACATAAAAACTTTCAAATGAAGCTTTAAAATTTTAGTCCACATGACAAATCGTCTTGCATCGACTTTTATAGAAACAAATTTGGCAAGCAAAGCTTATTGTTTTTGATAATTAAAATTATTAAAATTTGGGTGTGGATAGATAATGATAATTGTGTCTCGGTTATGATTTTTAAATTCTTGTATCAAGAAATAAGCAATCAAGCTAATATTCTTAAAACCATTTATGGCACTTTCAAAGTGACAAAAATGATGCAGCTTTAAATTACCCACAGACCAGAATCCCCACGCAAATTTCCCCGAAGCACCCACAAAACGAAAATCACGGGTTTCCAAAACCACCACTTGAAAATTTATGTGGTGTTTATGAAATACACTGTTTTCCAGAAACACCACATACATTTTCAAGTGGTGGTTTTAAAAACCCGTGATTTTCGTTTTGTGTGTGCTTCGGGGAAATTTGCTTGGGGACTTTGGTCTGTGGGTGATTTAAAGCTGCATCGACAAAAATATACTCACACTTAGCGTCCAATTAATAGGTAAACTGAGAACATCTTTGATACCCAAAAAGTATGCGAATGACCATAGCACGACTCCAATAAAAGTAATGACAACGGCAAATAAGAAGAAATGAGTCGCATTTAAGTAAGCCGGAGCCGCAAGAGCCATGCAAATTATGGAGAGTACCTACAAACAAAAACAAAAAATCTGATCATGCTTCTCGAAATAAACAACAAGAAATAAATCAGAAATGCAAGCCTCAACATTTTCTACTCTCCGCTTTCAGTTTCACGATTCTGTTTGCACATAATACGAAAATACATTTAAAGTGTGTGAAACTGGAACGTTTGAATGAAAAATGAAAAGTTTGAAGGTGTAGCTCGATCTTGAATCTTGTAGGTGTTAAAATTCTTAACATTTTTTCACACTGCATCTTAGTTCCTCAAAATTTAGCAAAAAGCTAGTGACTAAGTTCAGCACTTACCATTTGTATGACTTTAAGGATGCCGCCATTCGTTTTAAAATAGTCAAAATTAAACTGAATCCAATTAAGACTAGCTGCATCATTTCGGGAATGATTTGATTGATGATCAATTGTGATCGGTGTCTCTGACATTCTTGACATCTTTGTCCTTATTAAGCTAGCAATTTGTATAAATTAATTAATACTATTATCGTAATGTTAAATCAATTTTATATTTTAATTAAAAACTATAAGAAGTTAAACAGCTGACAATTAAATTATAACTAAAGAGAAATACAAACTAAACTGGTTTCTGTGCTGTCCAAAGAGAAAAAGTATAGATGACAATGTATATGAGCGTGTAAAAATAGCAATTTAACTTTTTTTCTTGTGTATATCATAATCAGTTTAGACATATAGGCAGATCTGAAATCTATTTATTTATAGCTAATATATCTTTGATTTATCATCACCTTAATTTAATGATCTTAAAAGATTGTTCAAAAATTAACGGATTTTTTATTTTCAAATGTAAACTAGTGTAACGATTTTTTTATTTTTAAATTTCTTAATTTCATGCAATTTCATAGTTTGAACCCCTGTTCTCGCTCTTTTCGAAAAAAATTGCTGTAAAGAGCAATACTTGATTTTTCATAAGTAAGTGTTTTTAATGGATAAACAGCCTGATTTCACTTTAATTAAAGCATAAACTTTGAGATAAGTTGAATAAGCAGTGATCTAAGATGAAAATTCTGTGAAAAACTGAGTTTAAATGACAAAAAACACGAAAAATATTTTTGTGAAATTTTCATCATTTTTAAAATGCAGTTAATTTGAGTCATAATTAGTGTTTCCTGTCCACCCGACATCTTTTAACATTGTGTACAGCATGCTTATAATTTATCTACTTTCAAAATGCAATTTAATTAAAGTGGTGAATTTATATTGACAAAAATGATCGACTAACCTCAACTTGTAAACAAATCCGTTCTGAATTTTATTAATATATTTATTTGTTCTTGTATCATTTTAGTGGTTCGTGTAAGCGTATTGGCAGATGCTTTGAAATGCATTAACAATGCAGAAAAACGAGGAAAACGTCAAGTACTCATTCGTCCCAATTCAAAAGTTGTCATCAAATTCCTTACAGTAATGATGAAGCATGGCTATATCGGAGAATTCGAGATTGTTGATGATCACCGCGCTGGAAAAGTTGTAGTTAATCTTACTGGACGTCTCAACAAGGCTGGAATTATTTCACCAAGATTTGATGTTCCAATTCTTGACATTGAAAAGTGGACAAATACGCTCCTTCCATCTCGTCAGTTTGGGTAAGATCATGCAATTCTGACTCATCAATTATCATCGTTATTAATGTTATTCTATTGTCCTTTTAGATATGTTGTTTTAACGACTAGCGGTGGTATTATGGATCACGAGGAAGCTCGTCGAAAACACTTGGGAGGAAAGATTTTGGGCTACTTCTTCTAAAGTAGTTTCTGAATAATATTGAATAAATATTAATTTGTCAACAAAAAAAATTTAACAAATCATGAAGATCTTAATCTCATTCATCATTGTTGTGTCTAGTGCTATTTTTCAGATGCTGTATTTTCTAGATCTAGACGATCTGGTTCTTTTAGAAATTATAAAATTTATCAGGAACATCACTTTAGACTGCTTGATTGTTTTCGATCAAAGTTGTAAGTCTGGAATTGATTTCAATTGACTTGATATTTTTGAGTAATTAAGTCAATTTAAAAAGCAAACAAGCAAGATAATTTCTATATCTTGATAATCGTAGATTCCTTTACTGGATGTTCTTAAATATCCAGCTCTGGATCTTGTTCAATCAATGATAGCTTTTCAGATTTTCGACTTTCAACCCTCGTAAAATTCAATTGTAAGTAAAATGAGTTCAAAGGTGCTTAATTTGTTAATTAAGGAACAAAAATGAGCGAATAAAACAGTCTTTAATGATTTGAAAAGTGGGAAATTGGGTAATATCATGTAAATATTGCCCAAAAACATCGAAACAAGTATAGAAGTACTCATTCAGGACAGACAAAGGTGCATTTTTCAGTTTCAAAATTCGAATTTTAAAAAATTTCATCTGTCAAAAAATATTTGAAAATCTGCAGTTGTGACTCTAGAGTAAGATCCAGCAGGAAACTGACCTGCTTAAACTGGAGATATAGCTGCACGACAGACAAAGTGCTGATAATAGAGTCAATAAAATGTGCTAGAAAAATAGAAAAATATCGAAAGTCAGCAAAATCATTCAATAATAGTAAAATTGTCAAAATTAAACAGTTTTCAGATAGATAGTGCACAATTCCTTTAATTCAACGTAATAACAATAATATACTTTAGATTTTAATGTAATTAGTAAGTAAGAAAGCTCAGTTGATGAACGGAGAATTGACATTGAAAAAAGTATTGTAAATTTTTTAATTAATTTTGAAATTGACTAAGCAGTAAGTAGTGTCTAGATATCTTGAAAATCATATTACGTAGTGTCAATAACTCTGAAAATTAAAAAAATCATTATGAAAGTGGAAAATTAGTTTATTGCGATTTTGCAATTTCCTTCAAGTTTTGTTTTGGATCTATTTTAATATTATTTTACATTTTTCATCCATTCTGTCGTTGTCTCTCTTCTCTTCTCTTCATACTTATTTATTCCTCATAATTTTTCAGATAATATTTTACTGACAAAGAAAGAATAACAAAATAAATCAAAGTGAGACGTTAAAAAAAGATCCAGTGAAATAAAAAGTTTGTGAATTATACTATAAAGCAGATACAGCAACAGAGATCATGAGAGGCATAAGAAATTCCATAAGTCTTCATAAATTTGCAACATCTCCAAAAAATCGAACAGGTAATGTAGCTAAGTGAGTAAGTAGTGTATAGCAGTAAGCAGCAAGTGTGTGGTAATAAATAATATTAGGTATATATTTTTTTCTCTTCTATTATTACGTGTAAAGTTTCTTTTCTTTAACGAATAATAATAATATTGAGTTGATTGCAACATATATGTATATCTTGTGGCCTGCCTATATGGCGAGCATTTAAGGATGTTAATTTAAGAGAATGCCTTCATTTAATGTTATTGTTAAATCTAGGTCATGTTAAATTTTTATAAAGTCAGCCTGGCCTGTTAAAGAATTTCGTAAAAGTGAATATACCTATAAGAAGGAAAATAAGAAGAAAAAAAAATCAACCATAGTTCAGTCTTGTCTTGCTTATAACTGTTCTTTATTTAAAGAAAAGAAAAAAAAAATATACTTTATTTGAGCGAGAGCAAAAGAATATATACTTAATAAAGCAAGAAAAGAAAAAATCTCAATGCTACCTACCCAGTGAATGACTTATAATGAACATACAGAATTTTTTTATTATTCGACTTGATAGCATATACACAATCAATGCCTGCCTTAATTATTTTCATATACGTCACATACGTAAATTGCGCTAAGTCGTTCGTTTTGGTAGGATAGCTGATTTGACAGCTTTGTGAATTCTTGATGATCCCTAGAATCAAGCTAGACTAAAATAAATCGTGAGATTAAAAATAAATTCTTGGATTTAAATATTCAGACTTAAAACCACAAAAGTGAACCCAAAAAATTTCTACAGCCACAGAAAAAAGCGCTGCTCCATTCCCACAGCAATTTCGTCATATTAATTTTAATAATAATCTTCGTCCATTCATTTACAGCGTACTTGTGCTTAGTGGCATCACAGCAACTTCACAACAATAATAATAGTAATAATATCTATAGCTGCTTACATCAAGGAAACTCAATAAGCCTAACAAATGTTCGATATTTTCATTTAACACATGTCTGTGATAAGTCTTCTACAAAGGATCCCACTAATGGAAACGATAAAAGTTCATCAAATACACCAACAAATGGGGGTGGTTCCAGCAGCAGCAATGGAGGTGATAAGGGAAATAATGGTAAAGACAAAAAGAATACATTGTCATGTCCAAAATGTGGTGATCCATGCACTCACGTTGAAACATTCGTGAATGCAACAAGATTTGTAAAATGTGAGAAATGTCATCATTTCTTTGTGGTGCTTAGTGAAATGGATTCCAAGAAGACTGTCAAGGAGGAGTCAATTAAAGGAACAAAAAAGCCTCCACCACCCCCAAAAAAGATTATGGAATATCTTGATCGACATGTTGTGGGACAAGAGCTTGCTAAGAAAGTACTTTCTGTAGCTGTTTATAATCACTACAAACGAATCTATCATAATTTACCTCCACCAGCATCAAGCAATAATTCGTCACAATCTATTGATTCAATTAGCAGAGGAAACGATTTGTTGCACATTTCTGGCATTGGGCATACTATGATGAGTTCAGCTCCAACGGAAGTTCCAAGACCACCACTTTCACCACCACAACAGCATCATCCAGGATCTGAGTTATTGGATGAGAAGAATCATGCTTTGAAATTGGAAAAGAGTAATATTTTGATGTTAGGTCCAACTGGCTCGGGAAAGACTTTATTAGCACAAACTATCGCCAAATGTTTGGATGTTCCATTTGCCATTTGTGACTGTACTACATTGACTCAAGCTGGATATGTTGGCGAAGATATTGAAAGTGTTATCGCTAAGTTACTTCAAGATGCTAATTATAGGTAAGTGAATTATTACAAATTTGCAATTCAGCATTGACGTCTTTATTACATAACTTTCTACGTTCTTAAATTCATCTCTTTTTTGTAGCGTCGAAAGAGCTCAAACCGGAATAGTTTTTCTTGACGAGGTCGATAAGATCGGAGCAGTGCCAGGAATTCATCAATTACGTGATGTTGGTGGTGAAGGTGTTCAACAAGGAATGCTCAAAATGCTTGAAGGAACCATCGTTAATGTTCCCGAGAGAAATTCTCCACGTAAATTGCGTGGCGAGTCTGTACAGGTTGATACAACAAATATTCTTTTTGTCGCTTCTGGTGCTTATACAGGGCTGGATCGTCTCGTTGCTAGACGCTTGAATGAAAAGGTAAACAGAAATTGTTCATTTATTCCTTTTTGGCATGCATTTTTTTTGTTGTGCTGACAATTATTGAGGTATTAATAGTGACACATGTGTATTTTGATAAAAACAGAAATATTGTTTTTTTTAGTCTAAAAGTAATTGTTGACAAGATCATGTTCGTCATGGGTCATTCAACTGCGTAGCTGAATGTTTTTTTTGTGTTGCCAAAAATAAAATCTCAATTTTGTTGATAAATTTATTAATTTTTTGGCATTAAGTTGCAATAGAATGTTAAATTCTAATCTAGGCAAGTAAAAAATTTATCTATGACAAAGTACAGACATTTTCTTAGTGCACTTGAATGTATTTTTATCTTAAAACTTGAGGATAAATGAAAGACAAACTTAGTTCTGAATGAAGAGCTGATAACTGACTCTTTTTGAGTGGAAAAGTGGATATCTAATTCTGAGCTGCTAAGTGTCTTCAAAGCTACAACTTTGAAAGTTGTACCTGCATAATTTCTGTGTCAGGAGTTGCTCTTATCTAACTGCATGGAAATGACTCGTAAGTCATGCAGCATCTTATCACATAATTTTAAGAGAATAATGGACTCAAAAAAGAACTATGACTGGAACAATAAATTTCCATTACCAGTGTCTTTTTAGCTTTAAACGAGTTGAAAAAATAAAATTTATCTAGCCTTACAGACAATTACAATCCGTTCCAAACTCACACTTTTCCCATAAGCACACAAATCTTGCCATAAATCATTCTTTAATCAAGCACATTAAATGGTTTTAAATTACATTAATTGTTTTTTTTTTTCTTTCTTTCTTTGTATAGTACTTGGGATTCGGAATGCCAGCAACATCGTCTGAGGGACGTCGTGCAGCTCAAGCAAGTGCCGCTCCAATGGATAATGATCAAGTCGAACGTGATGCGAATTTAAAGAAAGTTCAAGCTAGAGATTTGGTTGAATTTGGAATGATACCCGTAAGAAAAGTTTTTTAATTGATTTAATCTGAAGAATAGTGTTTAATTTCTCACTTCTATCTCTTCTCTCTGTGGCTTGTTAGGAATTTGTTGGACGTTTTCCTGTTCTAGTTCCATTTCATTCATTAGATATTGATATGTTAGTAAGGATTTTAACGGAGCCTAAAAATGCTCTCGTTTCACAATACCGTGCTCTGCTTGGAATGGATCAAGTTGAGCTCACATTCTCATCCGAAGCTTTAAAAGCTATCGCAAAACTAGCTATGGAGCGTCAAACAGGAGCAAGAGGATTACGAGCCATTATGGTAAGATAACAGTCATAAATTATTTGAAAAATATTCAAATTTTTTGAACCGGTTCAAATTTCAAGTTTTTTAATAACGATTAAAGTTTAATTAATATTTGCTTTACTGTCCACAGGAATCGTTGCTTCTTGACCCAATGTTTGAAGTTCCGGGCTCAGAAATCAAGGGTGTTCATATAACAGAGGAATGTGTTTTGGGATCATCTCCAATTTACATCCATCGCTCAACCAGTGCATCATCTTCGTCAGATAATCCAGAACAGACAGGTACAACCACAGAAGAGGAGGAAAATAGAAAATACCGCGTAAAGCAATGAGACTAGGAAAAAAATTTTAATTGATTTGCAGCATCCTTATTGTTTTCTTCTATATACCTACTTTTTTGGTTAATAAGTTACTTTAAAAAAAAAAGATATGAAATATTTTTTTTTCTCCCGGTTATTTCAGATTTCTGCTCTAGTATGTTATGATATATTTAAAAAAAAAGAGAATAAAAAAGTAATAAATTTTTATGAAACTCGTTTTAATTAAAATCAAGTAAAAGATACTTTCAATAGTGCTGATTTAGAGCGTATTTTTTGCAGTACATCTCTTGAAATGTAATAGTTTGAAGTTGTTGATTATAATTTGAAACGAAGCATTGGAAAAGTTTGAGCAGCAATTGCTGCACACATGAATTAGTTCTATTGAAATTAAGTATACTTGGGTACTTTAGAAAATGCAGAGTAACATTGCCTTATGCACGCAAGGCTAGATCGAAAGTAAGACTTATGTACCCTTATATTCTGGGGACGTGGGTTCGATTCTTGAATAAACACTCGGAATGTGACAAATATTTAAAGAATGCCAAGCCTTTTAACGTATTAAAAAATTCTCATCACATCCTTAAAATTGAGATTTATGTATACTTCCAACATCAAATGAAATCAGAAACGTGAGTTTTAATTGTCCTTAAAGATTCACACAAAATACATTGACCTATCGATAGAAGACAAAATACTAAGTTGCACTCACGTGGAATTTGCATATTCAAATCAATTCAAATATATCCAGAAATAAATCGGATGTTTTACTAATACAAAGTCCTATGCCTATGAGTGATGCGGATTTGATAAAAAAAATACTGCATTTCATTTTATATGCAAAATAAAGTTGTCATTAAGTATCAAAAGAAACCAGTTTGTCGATGACATTGTGCTGTATGATAGATAATCTGTCGGATTTTCCGTATAGTATCGACATTTAGCAGCGATAAGGTTTAAGTTTTTGGCATAAATTCATTAGGCTATTTTTTTACCGCATTTCTGTAAATTAAAGTTGTCATGATTTGGTTTTTTCCGCTGTTTGATATTATTAGATTGAAATGTGATTAAATCTATTTCTGTCATCGAAAGTCAAACGTGATTAAGGCATACAGCAGGGACCGATTCTTGGGGTTTCACCGAGACTAGATTATTTTTTTCATTCAAGACTAGAGTTGCCTATATAGCTTTAAAAACTAGCTCAGAAATTCTTAAGAGAGGGGGGGGGGGGGGGTAGCCAAATTTAAAACAGAACCTAAGAAAACAGAACCTAGAACATCTCCAATCTCCACAATAATCTTTGATTTATATTTCAAAATTCAAATCTTGCTCTTTGTAGGTATGTTGCCTGCGAATATTTTGAAAATCTGACATCCTAGCACTTCTACAAGCCTTTTGTGTACCGAAGCATGCACAATACAAAACCAACAGAACTATGCTGCTCGAAAAAGAGATTTTGACAGGTGCTGTAGGTAATAAAAAAGTTTGCTCGACATTTCACAGCATATCTAAAGCCAAAGTTCCAATCTATCTATGTCATCATCTACATCCAATAGGACAAAAGACAAAAAGAAGCCGTCATAGACAATTAGGACTGTACATTCAAAAAGCATGCTAAAGATGAAGATGAATGGAAAAATCATGATAAAGAAAATATAGATCATCATCATAGGGACGTTCGTTGAAGTACTCTTCGATAATTATGAATTTTCTGCGGAAACTCATCCTTAAAAGGTTTTAAATTATAACATCCCTCTTTCCATTTTTCTCTTTTTTCCTCATTCGCAAATGAAAGCGGAACATCTTTTGATATCGCAATTATTTTGCAGAAAAAAAAGTCAAATGCTCGACAGTTTATCGATTTTTTATTCCTCTCCCTACGATAGGTTCCCATTGCATTTATAAATACAGACGCAGTGATTTGCATTTCTTTCTTGCTTTAATTTTTTTTTTTCATCTTCTGTCTGCCTCTGGATATATAAAAAATATTGTGTATATATATTTGAATATAAAAAAGAGAGTCCTTTTCATGTTTTTTTATGCAACTGAAAATGTTTAATGTTTGGGGGTTCATTTATTTATTTTTATTTGCAACTCTAGTTATTTTTATCTCTCTTTCTTTCTCACTCACTCCTTTCCACGAATATATATATATATTTTTTTTATGAATGATGAATGCATCAGTCAGGGGTGATCTTGGGATTTTTATATTATTTATTTCCCCTTCAAAAGGATTCTTTTTTGAGTGAACCGAAAAACCTCTCGGTTACGTCTTTGAGTTTAAACAAATTCCTTGAAATTTCTAATTGTTTGGGGAAAAACAATTAGTGCAGTACTAGCAACTATTGAGGGCATACTAATATCCTATATTAAGAGCCAAATAAAAGCTTGTGGAAGTTTGTTCAGTGGATGTAGTTTTGAGATCCTTAGCATTAAATGTTTTTTCCTAGTCAGGTAAGATATACTAAGCAGTAGATGACTTCTTTTTAGAATTTTGCACACACGGATTGAAACTGGGTGCAAGGAACATCAGGTCTTCAGAAGACCTATTATATTTTCAATTTAAAAAGCTTTCAAATAGTGTAGATTCTACTTTAAACTGTAGGTCTAAAGGATGGATTACGATCCCTAGTAACCAAAATGTTCCATATAATCTTCTTTGAATTCGATAATACATATGTATCATCCTTGGAAGATTCTCATGGAATACATTGATCTACCTTTTGGTTACTAGGGATAGAGTCTATACTAGATGAATCGCACTTCCTCTTGCTCAAAAGACTTCATCCTTATTTCTGTTTAATTTTACAATTTTATAAAAAAAAAATCTAGTCCTGAGTCATGCCTTTATCAAATAATTTCAAGTAACATCCCTGATAAAAAAATCTTCTCTGTGAATTAAAGCTGGATTTTCATGCCCACTTACCTCTTTTTTTTTGTAGGAAAAAATTTTAAATTTGTAATTTTTCCTCTTCTCTCATTCACTATGCTCCATGCTCGATGCCATAGAAAAAAAAAAGTTACAAATAAAACTTTTTCTTTTCGTTCATGTACATTTTTTTTTGTGAGTGAGTGCCTCGCAGCACTGTAGACTCGTAGACTGACTGTGGCAAAAAGTTTCTCTTTCCAGATACACTTTTTTATTTTGTTACTTAAAGTGTAGAAAATCAGAGAGACTTTTTTGAAAAATTGAAATTAATATAACCACATGTTGCTAATTAGTTCAAAGAACTTTGTCATAGATTTTATAGTATCATGTTCATACTTTATTTATTATTCATAGATTTCAATCAATTTTAATTAATTTGAATTTATAGTGTTATTATTTTTATTATACCAGTCTTTGTAATTTTTATTTTTTCTTAATTATTAAAATTATCAGATAACGTACAAAATATCGACATTTAAAGAATTTAAGTAGAATAGAATTTTTTTCCATTTTTTTTTTGATTCAATTATTATTAATTTTCATACTAAAAACTATTTTGGCTATTCATTTTAATTAACAGATTAAATTGAAAGATTCAAGTTTACTTCATTTTGTAATAAGATTCTTAAAATTGTGAGTTTATAATAAAACAAATGCCGATAAACCTGTTCAATTGCGACTAATCGGAAACAATCTCATTTATTCTCATTAATATTTTAATGAAAATATTTTTTTCAATTTTGTTGAGTGAAAAGGTGACAGCTTAGGGATTCAGGACGAATGTTTTTTGATTTTGTTACGGGATTTTTAAAATTTGAGTTTGAACAATTTAGAAAGTCAAGTCAATTAATGTGTGAATTTTTCTAAACACACCTGCGATGAACAACGTAAAATCCATTTCCTTTAAAAACTCGATCCATCTGAATATTCATACACCATCCTCAACACCTGCGAACTTCTCTCATTCCTAAATCCCCGCCAATCTTTCTCGAACTTCCTCTTCCCAATGAATCTGTAAGAATTGCGCTAAGAGCAACAAATTGAACTTTCACAATAATTCATTCTAATATAAGAAGACATTATTTTATAGAGTCATTCAACAAGTAAACTTGTTCCTCGATTGCTTCCATAAATATTTTGTTTAAGAAGTTTTTTTAAAAAAAAACTAAGGCGAAGACATGTTTTGGAAAGGGTAAGAATTTTATTGTTGTTCTCAGAATGGCAGCGTGCTTTACTGTCGAAATCAATTGAAACATAAATCCAACTTTAAAATTGTTGGCACTGCTTCAATGCTGTTTTTTTGTGTCTTCAGAATCCCTATAATGTGGCTTATTCATATCTAATCAGGGTGAATAATATATATACTTTTTTTGGGGAAGTAAATTTTCTACCGCAGCAGCAGCAACAAAAAATTGTGACAAAAAGTTATTTTGGTAACAAGAATGGCTCATTTGTGTATGCTGCGATATTGTCATAAACATTAAACTTTTATTATGAAAACCACTTGAACATAGGAGGAAATAAATCAAAAGGAAACATATTCTGACGTTATTCAGTGAAATTTTTATCAGTTTTTTTAATAATTCATTTTCTTTTTTGTTGTTCCGAGTAGAGCATGTACTTGTTTTTTTTTTGTCAAGGTATGTGTATATCTCACTTTTTGTTTTGTTAAATTTCAATTGCTTTTGTCTCTAAACTTCTTCTTTTTTTTAAATATTATTTTGTTGTACTTTACACATAATAAAGGAATCCTCTTACTGTATATATGATGTATAATTTTAATTAATTGAATTTATTAGCTATGCATAATCTAAAAATCATGTCGAATTTGTTCCTTCACATTTTCTTTAAAAATATTATTTAGTACCTCACATGAGAAGACTATTGTACCGGTGTGGAAAAATCCTATTATAATTAAAATTTTTAAAATATTGCTAAATTTAACAAATTCTTTGACGTTTCTGTTTTGAAAACATTGACACGTTTCATGCTTTTTTTTCATCATCATATTTAATTATTGAGCAATTTTTAATTAATATTTTTTTTAATAATATGTATGTGTGTATATTTGGTGCTATTGGGAAAAAATTATATATTGATGCCTCATAGAGAGCTGCTTATACGAATAATAATTAATACAAGAGCTAAAGGATGTCTTTTATCACTTTCTTCACATCTACAATCAGTATCTTCAAAGTTGACTACGGATTTTGGTATGCGATCTTTCTAAGGTATGTAGGGTTTAACAAACTATCTACTGGAATTAATTAATAAAATTGACAAAAAGATTCTTCGTCTCAGATATAGCTTTTTTTTAAAAAAAATCATCATTATTTTACCATTCTATTATTTCTTTTTTGATGCTAAGTTTTTGATTCTTTGATATAAGATTGGACGAGTTTTGTGTGTGTGTCTGCATAAATTACATTAAGAATCATTGAAAATTTCTTTTGTAAATAAACAAATTGACTACCTTCATTATTAAGTTTTAAGTATATGAAAAATGATTTTTTTAAGAATTATAAGTTTTTTTTTGATTATTTTGCTATAATTAATTAAGGGAAATAAAGAATTGGAATAATCAATCTGCAACCATTTTGGGAAGAATTCGAAAAAATATTTGATTTTGTTGAAATTTATCGGATTTCGAATGAAATGAACTCTACTCAATTTCCATTAAAGGAAGGACAAATGTTTAGAGTCGAGAAAAATGTTGAAATATGAAAAGGCTTCATATTTAAATGTAGACTCCAAAAAATTCTAAAACTATTCCTCAAATTATTCAAACTATGAAATTGAGGAAACCAGTCTGTCGATTTTGTTTATAAAAAGTCTTAACTTTTTGCATCGTTTAGTTCGAAACAAAATCAGCACAATGTTAACACTTAATTATGACCCTTTTAAAAAGCAAAAAAGAAGCTTGATTAAAACTTAAAATTTTATATTTCTGGTTTTTAAGGTTAAACTTTAAAATTTTTTCTCAAATTTCAACAACAACAAAGTTCAATTATTTCATCAAAATCATCCCTTAATGATTGCAACTTGGGAATAATCAACTACTCAGGGTCTTATAAATCTTAAATTCTTATGACTTTTTTTTGAAATAACTATTCTACACATCATCAACATTCAGTTTTCTTTACTTTACTAGATTCTTTAAAAAGGAAGATATGAAAATTAGTAAGCTTTACATGTCGCGGAAAATAACAGTTTAAATCTCTTATAAAAGCTTTCAATTCTTATTATTTTCTTCAGGGTATCATTCAATGAAGAGGATTAACTTCAATCTTTAGATTGACTTTTTTTTTTCAATTCTTTTGGATTAAAGTCAAATCCAGCTTAACGAATGTAACCTCAAAATTGTAAATTTGGCAGTTACTTATATAAATTGGTGAGCTGGAATCAACTGGTGAATTAAATGGTGTACATAAGAATTTTTTTTGGAAGAAATGTCTCTAAGCTTAATTTTTTGTTAAAAATCAGTTCATTCTCAATTTTTCATAATTTTTTTGTTCTCTAAAATGTTAAACCTTTTTTTTTGTCTTTTTTTATTAAAAAATTAGAAAGCTTTAAAATTTGAATAGAAAAAGGTTTCGAAAATTTTTTGTTAAGCAATTTCAATATTTTTTTTGTAAAAAACAAACTTTATATTTTTTTAAAAAAATTGCTTTGACTATATCTCTTAAAATTATGAACCACATCATTTTTATGCAGGTAGCATTAACATTTTTTTATTGTGGTACCTTTTTGACTTATTAAACAAGGCTTAGACAATTAGTTACAAGCACTGAAGAATTTTGATTAAAGTTATACACTAATGGTCACCTATCTATTCATTATTACTTACTGTGCTCATTCATTCATTAATAGTATGTATCTTTTGTGTCATTTGTTGATACGTAATTATGTCATTTTTTTTTAAAACATTTTATGTCGATTCCATTCTTAATGGAATGTTTCACACTTATTATTTCATTTTTATAGGTTTTATATTTTTTAAAAATTTACCTTTTAACAAAAATCTACCATTTATAGTTCTGTAAATTAATAAATTCGTCTGTTCTATTTTTTTGAGTGTATGAATACTTTTTTTCATTCCTTCCGTTCTGTTCATATTACTATATGCTATATATAATTGGCAATTGTAATGGAAAAGTTTTTTTTAAAATTCCTTTGTGTTTTAAAACATCCGAAAAAAATTCTGACTCTTTGCAGCATTTCCATTTTTTTGTATTGGTTCTGTAATTGATTTCTGTTTGCTATTTAATTTAAATTGGCCTTTGATAAATTAATAGTTCTCGACGATGTTGTGTGAATTGGTCGAAATTGCGACGATAAAATTCTATCGCTTGGCTCATCTTGAAGATTTATAGTCCGCGATGTTGTTAATGAGCTGTTTGTCGAATCGCTTTTATGTCTCGGTGTCGTATTAAGATTTAAGTTGTGAAAATGCTGGTGATATCTTGACTTAATGCATCGAGATAAGGACTTTTGATGCTGATCTGACATAGGCGGAGATAAGTCAGATGATGTTGACGATTGTCCATGATAAATGGCATTTGGTGGAATTACTTCTAAGTCCGATGAATTATTATTTTACTTTTAATGTCTTGTAATTAAATTCATGAAGGATAATTGGCACTTACCATGTTTTGCTTTAGCTTCCATTTGATTTGATGTATCCGTCCTGCTTGATGTTAATTGGTCTAAATCATCAGAATCCGACTCCTCACTTTCATGATTCTTTTTTGAGAATCGCTGCTTATTTTGTGGATTCTATTTTTAAAACATAAATTATTTAATGGATACCTCAATAGTCATTAGAACTTACAATGTTGTAATATGGAGACTGCAATTTTCTGAGCATTGGAGCAGGATTGGGAGAAGCACAGCCTTCAGTCATAGCCCTTTCATGATACATAAATGAATGCAATAAAGTATTTGCAGCTCCCGGATGTGACTGAATCATTGCGTTTGATTCTGCTAACTGGAATGTTGCATATGGACTAATGTCTTCTGATGACTCTGTATATTTAATGTCGAGATGAGGAACAAAATTAGAATAAAGATCAGATTGAAAACTTATTTTATGCATTTTAAATAACCTGGGATTTTATCGCTTATTTGTAAAGGTGTCTTGTGGATGGTTCCATAAAACCGGTCTCGCTTAATTTCTGAACTTTTAGTTGTCGTTTCTATCGTTTGTTTCTTCTGGATTCTTCTTTGTCGACATTTAAGGCATATTATCATAATAGCAATAGTGCAGATTAAAATTGTTATTAAAATTATTCCCAACGTAATGAACCTCACGTCATAATAAAATATTCGAGTTTTTGAATTCTTATAATCCAAGTCTATAGATGGTGTGTCTGTAAATTAAATTAAACATGTCTTAAAACATTATCATTACCAATCGGTCATAAAAAATTACCTCCATTAATTGTCAATGTCACAAAACTGAAATCAGCAGTTGTTGACCCTGCACTGTTGTGTGCTTCAACTTTTAACTGATACAATGTCGATGGCTGTAAATTCGATATTATGAATCGTCGATGCGGTTTCAATGCATTCGAAACTAATGTCCATCTGTCTCGGTCGCTGTCTGTTGACAAAGGTCTATACTGTACCGTGAAGTACTGAATATTACATCCGTTGTGTGGCCAAGCTTGTAAATGCAGCACAACTGATGTTGAATTTGGCGTGATTAATTGCACAGGAAGTGGAATTCCAGGCGCTTGACCTAATCACAATTTGAAGGGAGAAAAAAAAGGTACAATAAATATTTGATCAACTGACTTGACTGCTGTAGAATTTACCTTGCGTTTTGACATGAAGCGTTGTACTTGGCGGGCTTGATCCTATTTTGTTTTGAGCAATCAAATAAATGTTGTATGTACTTCCACAAACCAAATTCTTCAATTCAAACGAGGTTGCATGCTTGGATAAATTAATTTCTTCCACATTTCCATTAAATCGTTTGTAATGCAAAGTGTAGGATGTAATTTTTGCATTTCCATTTCCAGAATTTTTCCAATGCATAAGAATTGATGTAGAGGTTGCACTTGTCACATACAGCATTGGTTGAGATGGTGGCAATTGAACAATTAAATTATAAACAATTTTATCAACACCAATTCCATTGTCAACTTGACATGTATAGTTGCCGGAATCAGACGACTGTATGTTGTAAAGTGACAACTCTCCATTCTCAAGGACCTGTCCATTGAAAAATGAGTTCATTGAAATATCATTTTTAAACCATTCTCGTCGTGGTTGACCCGTAGCCATGCAAGCAAATTGCACAGTACTCTTCCAAGGTTTTATAATGGATATACCAAAAGATATTATTTTAGCAGGTACACGATTGGATGTCGAAAGAGAAACAACTTTCGAACTTTTTCCTTCACCAACTCGTGTTGATGCACTAACCCAAAACTGATACTCAACATGTGGCATCAAATTCATTGCTTCATAGAAAGTTTGTTGCGATCCAATGCTCTTCTTATCATTATTTAGTTCTTCTCTTCCATTTACTTGACGTGTATAAAGATTGTACTTTATTACAACACCGTTAGTAAATTGCGGAGTGAGCCATGAGACATAGAGGGAAGTTGATGAGCTTACAACTACTTTGATGTCGTTCGGTGCTTCTGGGACTGTGGAAAAAGTTACATTTTCTTCTTCTTGTTTTGCATCTAAATTATTAAGGAATTAATCTTACCATCTTCTTCTGTGTGACAAAATTTTGGAGCCGATAAAACACCATCTCCCATCCTTGTGTATGACAAAATTTGAATGCTGTAATTTGTAAATTTTCTCAACGATGTCAAAACTGTTGTTAATGCTGTTGTCTTCTTCACGTCAGGTTCTTCATTATCTAACACTTTTAAGGATGAGAGTAAATTAAGAAAAAGTATTAGAGTTGATCAGAAATCTTGTGTAGCTACAGAACGAAGAGTTTTAAGATTTTTTTTTGCATCCCCAGTTGACAATTTGAGTATTTTTTTAATAATATAAATAAAGTTTGTACCTGTATAGTCAACAATAGGCTCAAAATTAATTTTATAGCCTTGTAGTAGACCGTTTTGATAGTTTTCATGTGGAGGCTGCCATGATACTTGCAACGAAGTTGAAGTGAGTGGAGCGCATCTTATGTCTTCAGGCGAAGAACTTGGCACTGTATAGATATTAAAAACAAGATGATTTTGTTAGAAAAACTTAAGGCATGCAGCATTCATAGCTGGAGAGCATAAAGTTGTGTGACAATTAAAAAATAATTTGCATGATTATTTTGCGTAGACAGTCATTATTCTTACCATCTTCCATTGTTTGAGTAGACACAGGTTCCGATAAAGGTCCAACACCAATCTGATTAAAAGCCTGTGCCACTATTGAATATCTTGTATATTTCATAAGATTTGATAGAATAATTTCTCCAGTTCCATCTTCTCCATCGCCTGAAATTGATGTGAAATTGTAGCTTACAGATTGAAGTGATGAAATCTTATATCCAATATTAAAGCCTTGAATTTCTCCATTACGGAATTCATAAAGTGGAGGTGACCAAGTTACTAAAATTTCAGTCGATGATACTGGACGTGCTGATAGATTAATTGGCGGTGCATTAGGTCGTTGTGGCTCAGTTTTCACTGTTAATTCCTGACTAGGTGCACTTCTTCCTGTTGGTCCTTCGGCAATAACTCGAAAAATATATTTAGTAGCCGGTTTTAAATTTTCAATTAAAGCATTATATTGTGGAGGGTCTGAAATGTCAATGTACTTCCATTGCTGGTCATTCTCACAGCAATATTCTACAATATACTTTGTAATTTCTGTTGCATCAATATCTGTATAAAAGAAAAATTATTATGAAAAAACTTGTAATCTTGTTTCGTATACAAAAAGATAATCCCAGATAATCTTTAAAATTAAGTTTAATCTCCGAAAAAGAACCAGAAAGTTGATAAGAATTAATTCAAGATTACCTCTCGGGTGCCATCTCAAATTGACGGATCTACTTGACACTATTGTTGTTTCTAACGATGATGGTGATTGAGGAGGCTCTTGAACAAGTAATTGAACCAATTGTTGATCACGTCCATACAAATTACTCGCCTGACAGAAGTATTGTCCATTGTCAGAACTTTCAACATTCATGATCTGTATTTCAGCTAGAATTCCTTCTGGCGTTGTGTCTTGCTTAATTGATACACGATAGTTTGAGGAAGGATTCAATTCATACTTTCCACGTAACAACCAAATGACGTTGATTGGCTTATCGCCATTAACTTCACAATGTAATATAGCTGTATCGCCTTTCTTCACCTATTAAATTTTATTACATTTCAAAAACAGAAACAGTCTGTGTCAGTAAAATGAAGCATAAACCGAGAAGAAAAAAATATATAGACCTACATTTACAATTTTCGACGGAGCCACAAAATAAGGAGGCGCTATAATAGTATTAAAGAAAAAGATTTCTCAATAAGGAATGAAAAATTTTCAACAAATTCAAGAGCTTTCACATACAATTAACTTTCAATTGAATTACTTTTCCCAATCCATTTCCAATACCATTATTTGCTTGACACATGTAAAATCCCTCTCGATCTTCCTTAACGTTTTGTAATAATAATGTACCGTTTGGGAAAATTTTTGTGTAAAGCTTTTCTTGCATTTCCTCATATTCACTTGATTTGGAACCTTTTTATCGACATAGAAAAAAAAATAGAATATATTTATTTTATGTATATCAAGGTTATTACGTCAACATCAATGTGAGTATTGATAACGTGTCGACTGTATAGCATACCTAATGCCTTCTTCCAAATGACAGTTGGTGTTGGCACTCCATCAGCTTGACAGTGAAGTAAAACGTGTTTATTACGCTCAACACTCGTATCTATTGGCTCTAATTTCCATTTTGGAGGAACTGATTTGGAGGTAGATGAAAATTTTGTGGTTTAATAATTCAGTCAGAAAATTATAATTTGAAATCAAAGAAGTAAAGCTAAGCGGAAATCAAGCTAAGCAAACTTCTCGGAGATGTTTCTTTACGTCGAAACAATCGTTATACCAAAGTTTTGCGGAACTAGTTGAATATTTTAAGCAAATTTAGATTTAGAATTCAAATCTTGGAATTAGGAACAACTAGATTTAATAGGTTCAAGTAACACTTAGATCTAAAGTGAGTTCGAATTAGACATAATGCCTACTTAATAACTTAATTAATTCCGAACTTTAAACGATGCAAAAGCATCGTGTTGCCAAACTAGGTCTGAATTTATGAGTCAGCGCTTAGTGGTTAGGTACTAAACCACTGAGTCACCAAAACATTTCAGCCCACAAAGCTCGATAGTAAAAAACAAGTAAGGCATAAAAGCAACAGAGCTACTTTATTTCTCCTGAGAAGATCTAAAGCAGATAGATTAAGGCAATTTTTCAAAAAATTAAACATTTCTTCTTCCTATATTTAATTAAGTAAGAGAGATTTCATTTTAGGTTTTATTACGTCATTACTTTTTCGACTATAAAACTTCAAGGTTGTGGAAAATGAAAATGTATAGAGAATAATAAAAATGTGTCTCATTTTATATGTTTTTTGGTTTTGACCGAAATGGAACTTTGGTAATACGATTGTGTAATAAATGAGAAAATATGTTACAAAATAATTCTTGCGGGTATTGCTAGGGAGCATTTGGATTAAAAACTTTAAAGGTATGTACATTTGAAAAGCATTTGGATTTTAGCGGAATAAAGCTGTGTAAAATATATATAGGTATTAATTATATATGTAATACTATACATCACTTCTTGATAATTAAATATGTTATATATATATATATTTATTAATTGAGGTAGGTTACTGAATAATAAGTATAGTGTGAAAAACGTCAGGGTATTAAAAAGCTTGTGACAAGTAAAAAAATAAATAAAGAGATAAAAACAGAACAATAATAATGAAAAAAGTTACGAAAACAAAAAAGATAATAAAATAATGTAATGTTCGATATGCACTGAAAGCGCTCAAAAATTGTTCACAATATGCGTTTGATATTAGGATATACATGTTATTTTTTATTTACTCTTTTTTTTTAATAAGGTGGATATAAAAATATAATCAATTTTTTAAAGCAATAAGCTATCTAAACAAGAAATTATTAAGACATCTCACTTTATATAAACTGTATACAGAAAACTTTGTAAATGGAAGGAATAAAGTTCATTGGAAAGCAAAAATGCTATTAAGATCTGATCTCGAAATAAATGATGTTTATGCAATTTTATAGATGTATCATGCGGGATTTTATTATTCTTCATTATTATTTATTTTATTTTTGATAAGCTAAAAAAATATACACATTTGATTAAGCACATACGAGACCCGCTGTGGGTCTACGATAAATTTTCAATTATGTTAGCTAGCTAGAATTCGCATGAAGTTGGCTAGTCCTTAGATCAGATATTAATTTTTTTTTTGAGTCATATCTAGAGTGAGAATGAATTTGAATGTGTCAGATATAGAATATTTAATGATCTAGAATCACATGTATGATACTCAATAAAAGTCCATAACTAAATCATACAGATGGTTTATTAGAGGAATCAAACTATTGCATTGATAAAAGAAAAAATTTACCTTGCAAACTATATAATGGATAGATACTTTATATTGACAATCAGCCGCAAACCCACTGCGTTCTACATATATAAGATATAAGCAGGAGTTGGATAGGGTTTATGTATACGGTGCATACATAACATTTACAATTTATATTGATTAATAATATGTATATAGCAAAAAATTAAGTTGAGATTACTAAATGTATTTTTGACGCAAACTGAATATATATATTGAGGTAGTAAGTAGCAATAAATAATTACAAACTTAATGAATCTTTGCTTTTGTTTACATTACCTTTGACCAGCAATGTGGCAGTAAATTTAACTTCGTCGGCTTGATTACTTGCCACACAAGTGTAATTTCCACTATGCATTTGCAAAAGGGAAGTAATACTAAGAATTGAAGTATATTGGTCAAGATATGAAATATTAACTCCTAATGATGGCAATAAGTTTTCATTATCTTTTAACCAAGTCAAACGAAGAGGCAAGTCGCCTTGTGAGACTCCACAAACCGTACGCGTTCGCATATTTTCAGCCAAGTCAGTTTGAAAGGAAAATGGCTCAATGACGGGCGGAACTTTAGATTTATATTTATTTATTTTTTGTCATTGTCATTGTCATGTACATTGTGGTGTTGTGTATGATATTTTTTTATTTTATAGAATTAATACAAATATACAGGAAAACGAAACAATTAAAAAAAGTAAAAATAATGTTAGTATATTTAAAAAAATTTAATCAAGATAGAGGTTTAAGATAGAGATGTCGAATATTTTTTTTTTGAGGTTCTTAAAAGTATCTTAAAGGTTTTTCTGTATGTGATTTTAACTCGTATAGAAAATATTTTTTTTTGCTCCCTTTATACTACGCCGCAAGTTCATCGATAAACTCGTTTTTACCGTTCACTAATAGCATCTGTGTACTTTCCATCGATGCGGCAGGATTGCTAACAACACATGAATAATTTGCAGAATGCGATGCTGTCAAATGTTCGATAACAAGTATTGAATTATAATGATCTACTTGGGTTATAGTAATCCCTAGTCCAGGATCTATTGCATTCTTATTTTTTAACCATTTTATTGAAATTGGGAGATCCCCTTTAACAACAGAGCATGGAATTGAAGCTCGATCCCCGACATTTAAGGATAAAATTGGTGAATGAAATGGATTTAATTTTGGAGGTACTGAAATACAAAATTTTTGTGTTATAAAAAATTTAATTCACAATAAAATATGAAAATTAGATCTGCAGTTTTAGCATCCTTGGAAATTTAATATGCCTGTATATATCATTAAAATATTTCTTGTAAATTTGAAACCTCAAAAGTCATTTAAAAATATTTTCATACAAAAATAAAATATGGAGTAACTTAAGACTTACCAATTACTTTGACTTCCCCGCTTCGTCTGGCACTTAATCCTTGCTTATTTTTAGCCCAACATGTATAAACACCCGAGTCTTCAGTCTTCTGTACCGGATAGATTGACAAAGTTCCATCGCCATCAACTTTTTGTCGAATGTCCTCAGGCAATTCTCGTCCACTCTTCTCCCAATGAATTTCCTCAATCGGATAGCCTAATTACACCATAATTTTTACTCACAAATTAAATTAACTAGATTATTTTTTTTTGCTTCTTCTCCCTCATTTACCTGCAACTGGACATTTGATTGTAAGTTGTTTTCCCTCTGATATTATCCTGAGGATTATTAGATAAGGGATGTTGACTTTTATTATTCTCATAAATTAACGAGAGAAATCTCACAACTTACACTTTTGGAATCAGCCGTATATAAGGTAGACCATAAACATTGAGTCTTGCTGAATGGACCAGTTTTCCTGCACACGAAGATTTTTATAATAAGAATTTCCAAGTCATATAATTCACAATAATCTGTCCTTTACCTGCTCGGTTTTCAATAATACATGCATATTCACCGCCATCTTCAATCATCACATGAGTTATGTTAACATGTGATATGACGTCTCCATGTGCAGTAACATATTGCCCAATCAGGAACCTATTAATCATTTGAGTATGAGCACACAATATATGTAATTAAAGTAATAAATTTATTCATTACCTGCCGTTTGAGGGAAGTGGAAAACCATCAAGTTTCCATGATACCTATTTTAATTGCATTTTACAGGTAAGGAATTACATAATGAAATTGAATTTGAAACAATCATAAAAGTTTTACCTCGGGAGTTGGATTTCCAGTTGCAGAACATTTTAATGAAACGGCAGGTCCGGGTTGTAATGTTTGCTCAATAAAACTATAAAGTAAGACAGGCGGTGCATCTGCAAAATTTAAAATGAAATTTATGTGAAATTAAAATTTTCTCTTCACAGCCAGCATAGTGCTATATGCTTTATACCTCCTAATAAAAGTTCCGCAGAAGCTTGAAATGTATCGCCTTCTTTCCTTCGCACAATACACTGATACATTCCTTTATCTTCTCGTCCGACAGCCGAGATTCGTAAAATATTTTCATTTCGTCCTATAGTCGTTAGCTGTCTTCCATCCTTAAACCATGAAATTTGTTGTGTTTGTATAGGAATTCCATTAGATGTTACTAGGCATGTAAATTCATTCGGTTGCCCCATATTAACGCTAATAACATTTGGAGACACTTCAACTTGAATTGATGTTGTCACGACAAGTTTTAATTCTGTGCTTGCTTCGCCTCCCGTATTAGATGCGATACATTTATAAGTTCCGGCATCTTCTGTTGTTACGGCCTCAATGGCAAGAATAGGACCCATTAATCGAACTCGAGGACCTGGCAACAATGGCAAAGGTTCTGCTCCAATATTTGAATACCATCGATACTCAACTGAAGGACATCCTTGCGCAACACACATTAAAACAGCACCCTCGTCTTGTGACACAGTCACAGAAGACGTATATTCAACAATGCTTGGTGACACAATGCCTCTATGATCTATTGTATGTAAAGGATTCTATTAAAATGAATAATTGTGTACATTAGAGTCTCACATTTCCTCTCACCATTTATACTGATTTTTGATGGATTGCTAATGACAACTAGGCGTGTTAATTTATGCATTGTCCGACATCGATAAGATGCAAATCTATCATTATGCTCTAAATTGTGAATTAGTAAGTCGCCATTAGGTAGCAAATGATATTTTCCATCTACATAGTAGCAACAGCAGCATCAACATCAGGATCAGACAAGTAAGGTGTAAAGGTAAGAAAATTTCAATTTATTTAGCACCCCGTAATAATATCATGAATATAATCATGTAAATTCACTCATGTATAAAATATGTGCATACCTCCTTGCAACGAAGGATAGATGAAAAATGCAGGTTCTTGTACCCATGATACAACTCTCACATATTCTTTGACGAAGGTTGGAATGACGCAACGTAAAATTGCGGTACATCCTCTTGGAGCTGCCAAAGTCTCAACCTCTACTTTATATGATTGAGCAACAACTAGATGAAAATGTATGAAAAGAATTTCATTTTCCGTTTACATGCTCATGTATATACATTTATGTATGCAGGCAGGAGAGCATCTAGGATTCTTTTAGGAGGTGGGGGTATTTTTTGGGTTTACCAAGTAATTCAACCAATATAATGCTACCTAGATACGCCCCAGCATACAAAGTATGTAGCACAGGTAGCATAATAACATTATTTATGATGATTACAATATGAAAGAATGAAATGAAATGAAAAATACGCAAAAGGGAAAATAATTCTCACCAGCTCTAATTTGAACATCTCTTGAAATTATTCTTCCCACGCGATTTGATGCTACACATCTATAAACTGTATTATGAATATCTTGACGGTATGCAGCAGCAGGAAATTGCTGAAGTACAAGAGTTCCGTTTCGTAATATTTTCCTGATGCCTCCGACATCACCAATCGATGTTCCATCAATAGATAACCAATCAATGGTAGGTTGAGGATTTCCCGACGCAGAGCAGTCAAGGAAGCCACCCGATGAATTTGAAAATTCTAATTTTGATGGGGGTTCCATAACAAATGAGGGACCACGATCATGTTCGGTGTAACCATTTGTAAAGCCTTTAAATTGTGTGATTGACGGTATGAAAGACAAAAATTTCATTAATGGCAGAAAGCATGACATTTTGATACCGTATGCATAAGTAATTCTATTAAAACAAATTGCTTCAAAATCCGTATTCATTAATTTAAAAATGTCATGTTCTAATTTTCCAACAACTTCACATCCACAATGACTGACAACTTTTTGAGCCCCAGTGTATTATTATATTCATGTAAATGTACATTATACATTCGTTTACATCGCGTCAATTCCATGTTAAACAATTGTTATTAATAATTAAGTAGATTCGTTGGAACCTCTTCGTAATGTTTCAAAATTTCATTTATTAAAATCTAAACCTTGAAAGTACTCAACATGTAATTAAATGATAATGTATACAATAAAAGTTTACAGCATATCTCTTATCATATTTATCCGTATATTTAAATTCACACCGTTTATTGGTCTTGTTCAGATTGAAAAATCAGTTTTTCGCATTTTGTGAGAAAACAATGCAAAATTGGTTATAAAAGGTCACAGAAGAAAAGTTTGTGCCTGAAATTTTACATCATTTTCAAAAAACAGATTTCAAATTGGTTGTGGCATTGCTTAGAAAATTGCAAAAAAAGCTTTCTGTAAGCAAACAAGCAAGCAAGCAAGTTAATCAGCAAGAAATCTCAATAACGAGACATTGTAGAGACTTCTAGTTTTTTACATTTGATCCGTGCTGCTCTATAGAAGAGCTGTATTGTTTTTGGGCAAGGTAGGAACAGCCGATTCTTCAGAAAAAGCAAAAAACTTTCCTTTCTTACGAATTTTTCAAATTAAAAGTTCACTGTGATTTTTTTTTATTTTAAATTAAACTTTGGAAGAAAAAAATTTTTTTGAGCAAAGAACCAAGAAGGAAATACATTTTCAATTTTGGACTAGGGGCGACCCTAGTCAAAATCAGTTTGTGACTTTTTTCTTCGAGGGTTTATCCAAATGGATTGAAACTTTGCATAAATATTCTAGTGCTTAAAACAAATACAAATAAAACATCCTAAAATTTTTTTGAGCAAAGAACCAAGAAGGAAATACATTTTCAATTACGAACTTGGGATAGGTCTAGTCAAAATCTAGTTTTTCACTTTTTTTCTTCGAAGGTTTATCCAATTACAGTGAAACTTTGTGTGAGTATACTAATATTTATACAAAACAGTTTTAAATATCTAAAGCAAGAAATGTATTCTATATGTCGTCAGACCCAAATTTTATAAATTTGGTTGTACATTCAAAAACAACGTGACTTAAAATTTTGTCCAAAAAAATGATTTTTATTAATTCAGAAATGTGTGACCTGAAGATTAGAATGCTCATACAAAGTTTTACTGTATTTGGATTTATCCTCGAAGAAAAAAGTGAAAAACTAGATTTTGACTGGACCTGTCACAAGTTCATAATTGAAAATGTATTTCCTACTTGGTTCCTTGCTCAAAAAAAATTTTAGGATTTTTTATTTGTATTTGTTTTAAGCACTAAAATATTTATGCAAAGTTTCAATCCATTTGGATAAACCCTCAAAGAAAAAAGTGACAAAATTGATTTTGACTAGGGTCGCCCCTAGTCCAAAATTGAAAATGTATTTCCTACTTGGTTCTTTGCTCAAAAAAAATTTTAGGATTTTTTATTTGTATTTGTTTTAAGCACTAGAATATTTATGCAAAGTTTCAATTCATTTGGATAAACCCTCAAAGAAAAAAGTGACAAAATTGATTTTGACTAGGGTCGCCCCTAGTCCAAAATTGAAAATGTATTTCCTACTTGGTTCCTTGCTCAAAAAAAATTTTAGGATTTTTTATTTGTATTTGTTTTAAGCACTAGAATATTTATGCAAAGTTTCAATCCATTTGTATAAACCCTCGAAGAAAAAAGTGACAAAATTGATTTTGACTAGGGTCGCCCCTAGTCCAAAATTGAAAATGTATTTCCTACTTGGTTCCTTGCTCAAAAAAAATTTTAGGATTTTTTATTTGTATTTGTTTTAAGCACTAGAATATTTATGCAAATTTTCAATTCATTTGGATAAACCCTCAAAGAAAAAAGTGACAAAATTGATTTTGACTAGGGTCGCCCCTAGTCCAAAATTGAAAATGTATTTCCTACTTGGTTCTTTGCTCAAAAAAATTTTAAGATGTTTTATTTGTATTTGTTTTAAGCACTAGAATATTTATGCAAAGTTTCAATCCATTTGGATAAACCCTCAAAGAAAAAAGTGACAAAATTGATTTTGACTAGGGTCGCCCCTAGTCCAAAATTGAAAATGTATTTCCTACTTGGTTCTTTGCTCAAAAAAATTTTAAGATGTTTTATTTGTATTTGTTTTAAGCACTAGAATATTTATGCAAAGTTTCAATCCATTTGGATAAACCCTCAAAGAAAAAAGTGACAAAATTGATTTTGACTAGGGTCGCCCCTAGTCCAAAATTGAAAATGTATTTCCTACTTGGTTCCTTGCTCAAAAAAAATTTTAGGATTTTTTATTTGTATTTGTTTTAAGCACTAAAATATTTATGCAAAGTTTCAATCCATTTGGATAAACCCTCAAAGAAAAAAGTGACAAAATTGATTTTGACTAGGGTCGCCCCTAGTCCAAAATTGAAAATGTATTTCCTACTTGGTTCTTTGCTCAAAAAAAATTTTAGGATTTTTTATTTGTATTTGTTTTAAGCACTAGAATATTTATGCAAAGTTTCAATTCATTTGGATAAACCCTCAAAGAAAAAAGTGACAAAATTGATTTTGACTAGGGTCGCCCCTAGTCCAAAATTGAAAATGTATTTCCTACTTGGTTCCTTGCTCAAAAAAAATTTTAGGATTTTTTATTTGTATTTGTTTTAAGCACTAGAATATTTATGCAAAGTTTCAATCCATTTGTATAAACCCTCGAAGAAAAAAGTGACAAAATTGATTTTGACTAGGGTCGCCCCTAGTCCAAAATTGAAAATGTATTTCCTACTTGGTTCCTTACTCAAAAAAAATTTTAGGATTTTTTATTTGTATTTGTTTTAAGCACTAGAATATTTATACAAAGTTTCAATCCATTTGGATAAACCCTCAAAGAAAAAAGTGACAAAATTGATTTTGACTAGGGTCGCCCCTAGTCCAAAATTGAAAATGTATTTCCTACTTGGTTCCTTGCTCAAAAAAAATTTTAGGATTTTTTATTTGTATTTGTTTTAAGCACTAGAATATTTATGCAAAGTTTCAATCCATTTGGATAAACCCTCAAAGAAAAAAGTGACAAAATTGATTTTGACTAGGGTCGCCCCTAGTCCAAAATTGAAAATGTATTTCCTACTTGGTTCCTTGCTCAAAAAAAATTTTAGAATTTTTTATTTGTATTTGTTTTAAGCACTAGAATATTTATACAAAGTTTCAATCCATTTGGATAAACCCTCAAAGAAAAAAGTGACAAAATTGATTTTGACTAGGGTCGCCCCTAGTCCAAAATTGAAAATGTATTTCCTACTTGGTTCCTTGCTCAAAAAAAATTTTAGGATTTTTTATTTGTATTTGTTTTAAGCACTAGAATATTTATGCAAAGTTTCAATCCATTTGGATAAACCCTCAAAGAAAAAAGTGACAAAATTGATTTTGACTAGGGTCGCCCCTAGTCCAAAATTGAAAATGTATTTCCTACTTGGTTCCTTGCTCAAAAAAAATTTTAGGATATTTTATTTGTATTTGTTTTAAGCACTAGAATATTTATGCAAAGTTTCAATCCATTTGGATAAACCCTCGAAGAAAAAAGTGACAAAATTGATTTTGACTAGGGTCGCCCCTAGTCCAAAATTGAAAATGTATTTCCTACTTGGTTCCTTGCTCAAAAAAAATTTTAGGATTTTTTATTTGTATTTGTTTTAAGCACTAGAATATTTATGCAAAGTTTCAATCCATTTGTATAAACCCTCAAACAAAAAAGTGACAAAATTGATTTTGACTAGGGTCGCCCCTAGTCCAAAATTGAAAATTGATTTTCTATGGTGTACTTTTGTCAAAAAAATGTTTAGGATGTTTTATTTGAATTGACATAATTCTGACATAAATCACATACCAATAAATTTCGACTACCCCATCTGAATTTTGTTCATACTCTTCACTGTGGAAACCAAAAAACAAATTCTTTATCTTAAAACACTTGACAAAATAGCGACATAATTCAGGATTAATTACTTTTTAATATAATTTAACATTTACGAGAAAATGTGGTTCAAATAAGTGTGAAGTATGGCCGAGATTTGGACCAAAATCAGCTATACTGGTTCATAGTGTTTCCGAGGGTGACAAAATTCAAACTAAGTGTTTTTGTAGCTGACACAATTATGACATAAATTAGGTATATCTTTTGAACTGTGTCGATATGGGTCTCGGCCGTACTTCACGCCCACCCTTCAAACTTATGCTGAGCAAATCTTGGCCTATCCATAAGACTTTTGATGGTACGGTGTGAATATATCCGCATTGGGTTTCTACCCGATACACTAGTTTTCACCTGTTAAAGCTTCTTTTAATTACACAGGCACAAAACCAAAATACCTCCACTTCAGACACATCTCTCGTCTTGTTCGCAGATTTAAATTGCTTTTAGCTACTTGGCTGTATTCTTAGTAAAGCAATTAAACTCATTTGATAAACTTGAGAGAGTGAAATAAAAATGAGGCTCTGCAAATAGAAATGAGAATTAAGCATTTTTCAGTTATCGGACTATATTTTCTATTTCTTTGTTCAAAAGTATATCATATTATATATTTTTGAAAAGATCTTGATTTGAGGGATACAAAAAACTTAATTATATTAACAAATTTTATCCAGGGTTGGAACACTAGTGCTATGAATATGGTGAAAACCATACTTTTTCAACGCTCTTTTTCACCTAGTTCCAGTTGGCAAAAAATATGCTTTTATGATTTTTAAATAGATAAAGTAACATACTAAAACGCAATATAGAGTTTTTAAAAAAAAACAACTCTGGGAAACAGAAATATGAATTTTTCAACTCTGGCAACTTTTAAATGGGATATCCACTAAAATGAGGATAACTAATCACAGGAAACGAGTTTTGAAATATTTTAAACGGATTTGAATAGGTATTATAAAGTGAAATAATATAAACATAAAATATTTTGAATTACATAATATTCAAATGTTAAAAATACGTTATATGTGATTAGTTATCCTCATTTTAGTGGATTTAAAAGTTGCCAGAGTTGAAAAATTCATATTTCTGTTTCCCAGAGTTGTTTTTTAAAAACTCTGTATTGCGTTTTAGTATGTTATTTTATCTATTTAAAAATCATAAAAGCATATTTTTTGACCAACTGGAACTAGGTGAAAAAGTATGGTTTTCACCATATTCTGAGCACTAGTGTTCCAACCCTGGATAAAATTGGTTAAAATTAAGTTTTTTGTATCCCTCAAATCAAGACCTTTCCAAAAATATATAATATGATACTTTTGAACAAAGAAATAGAAAATATAGTCCGATAACTGAAAAATGCTTAATTCTCATTTCTATTTGCAGAGCCTCAAATGATAATAATAATAATATTGAAAGGATGAAGACACAAACAAGCAAGCGAGCTAGGAAGACGACTAAGATATGTATACATGAATATTTAGAAGAAAATCAAACGAAATAGTTATAATCTCTTTTCTCACTTAACACATCAAAAGTTACAGCATGTGATTATTTTCAATTAATTTAAAAGATGCGACGTGTTACATTTCACATCATATAAGTTATTAAGTTGAAAGGAAAGCACATTAAGCGTAAGACGAAAGAAAATGTTAAGGAGGGGAAGTGGAGAAGGTAGTGGAGTGTAGTCGAGCAAGCAAAGAGTAAGAAAATGTATGTGAGAAACGTTTCGCGCTAAAAAGGAAAGAAGAAGGTATGCTGTGCTATACATTTTTTTCTTTTCCTTTCTTTTCTTATATTTTGCCTTCACTCCACCGCTCACTCGAGAATGAAAATGAAAGTAATGAAGGAAAGTGTTGGGAAAATATGTACTTATGAAGTTCATGTACCACATTTTGTGTTTTTTCGGAGAAGAAAATATTTTAATTATGCGCTTGTGAAAATTTTCTTGTTTGCCTCACTCTCATTTGCAATGCTCTGCTGACTGTCTAATTCGTAAATTCAATATTTTTTCGTAGCTTCAAAGCAATTAGGATTTAAGCGATTAAAATTTTACATTGTTTGCTTTCTAAATGTAAATTGGAGTCTGTTTGTAAATGAGGTCCAGTATTGGGAGGTAAGAGACTAGAATTGACAGTGAATAGAGTGGGTTGGATCTATAATCTTGAGTTCAATGACAAAATCAAAAATTTTGAATTTTCATCTTAGAATCTCCAATTAAATTTTCAATTAAATTAGATTCTCAACAAATTACTGAGCCGAGACAAGACTTTTTGGAATATTTTAATTTCGATCTCGACAACAATAACTCGAAAGTAACTCCTAAGAGTAGTGAGTTAAGATATAATGATCTATACTAGACTCTATTTGAGATTTCTAAAAGTCTAAATCCCTAGAATCTTTCAAGAAAGACAAGGCATGAGTCCTTAACCTAATCAAAAATAGTAAGATCTGTGCTTGACAGAATAAGAAATATTCAACTCAGATCTTAAACTTTAATGAATAGAAAATGAAGGTCCAAAAAAGTCCTATTTTTTTTAATGGACATCATTAGAAAACAGCCACCCAAAAATTAAATGTATGTTCACTTACCGACAAGAAGCCATGTAATTTGTAATGTAAAAAAAGCTGCTAAGCGCTCATTAATTATTCTGGTGTCACCGACAAAATATCTCATTTTATGTGATTAATTAATTAATTATTTAAAAATTAATTTAAAGTTCTCTCACAGTTTGTTAAACTTTGTTCGATTTATTCGAAGCTATAGCCTCGCTCATTGATTATTATTTGATGCTTTTTTTTTCTTTCCTTTTATTTTTTAAACAAAAAAAAGTTAAACTTTCAACAATTGATGCTTGATTAATTCCTTATTCCATTCGTTGATTAAATTAGTATTCCAATCATGGCTTGAGTTGGTTCTTGTGTCTATAGTCTTGCCATTTTAAAATTTATAAAAGCTTAATAACACTTTTAAAAGTCGTTTGGAAACAGGAAAATAATCACAAATGAAATTATTGCACAAGGATAATTATTTCCGTTTTGTTGAACCTTTTTAAAGCTATTGCTGCTTTCTCTCGTTCATTCATTTATATTTTTGCTCTCTCTCGTAATAACCACTTTAAAGGACACACACATTATATTATTTTTTAGCACATATCTGGCACATATATCCAAATACGAGGAGTAGGTAGGTAGGTAGGGTAGGGAGAGAAAGAGAGAGAGAGGGAGAGAGTTAAATATTCATTTGAATATATATGAACATAAAATTTAATATTTTATGAATGTCTCAATTCTGAAAAAGCACATATTCTGTTACACACTGAATATAAAATAAATATATTGAGCATATTATTCATAATTTATTTTACGTTATGGAATGCAGTGGTAGATAAGCATATTAGAACATAATAAAAAAGAATTAAATAATAAATTATCCAATAAGCCTGACAGCCTCTCACTTTAAAGAGGCGAGAAAATTTGTGTCTAATTAAAATTCGCAGGTATAAATTGCCTCATTATCTACTGCTTATCATTATCATCTGCAAACATACCAAAAGAAAAAAAAGTCCGCATTCACTCACTCAGATGTAAAATTATGCAAGATTTAGGATGAAATTGCGTAAATTATAGCCATAAATTGATGAGAAGCACTCAATAAAATCATTTTTCATTTTTTCTGCGGAAGTAGATAGTGAGATTTTACGCCCATCGTTTAAAAAAACTTTTAATTGCAATTATTATGCTCTATTTACTATTTCAATTCGATATTTAAGCACATTTTAAGCAACTATAGCATGTAATTTAACATCCACATGTATTAATTTCTCTTAATTATGCAAATTTTCACTTTTATCAATCACATAGAAAGCGTTTGTCTGATTCTTTTGACACCAAAACTTCAAATGTAAGGTGAAAATGAAATAAATATCATGAGAACGAGAAAAATTGCGAGAATGATGATAAATGCATCCTTGTGAATGTACTAGATTCTTTTATTATTTTTTCTCGTATTTTTGTGTGTGATTTTAAGTTTCGGGAAGAAGAAGAAAAGGATGTCATTTGTCATGCTACATTTTAAAACTTTTAATTTGCCCTAAATCATTCTCGAACATCCTTGAAATTTCTTTCTTCTTGTTCTGTCCAATACTGTTGAATGATTTAACTTTCAATTCATGTAGTACTGCAGTGATAAGGCATGAAAAATTCATGAAATTAAAAAAAATCTTTGACCGATTGGCATGTGATTAAATGCTCGTCGACTTTTCTTATACTTTAAAGTCATAACATTAAGCATAGAGTATTCTTTATTGTTGGTAATTGAAAATTAAGTAATTTCGCGCCTTAAATATAGACTAATCACCGAAGAAACGGAAGAATAGACAAAACAAATTACGTTCCTTTATTCATAGATGGCGTGACTTTCTGTTTTGATAAGCATCACTTACTTTTTTTGCATTAATCTTTTAAATTTTAAAGCATGCGGATGTGCAGCATGATATTCAGCCACTATAAAATGAATTTTTTAAAAGTTCATGCAAAACCTATTGAGCTTCATTTTCTTGTGGACCAAAAGAGCATGCTTTAAAAAAAGCGCCAAAATCATGGCTCATTCAAAAAATGAGTTTCTGACTTAAAATTCTTATAAAGCAATACTTTAGCAGATCTAGTGGATCAATCACATCCAAAGCATGAAGTTTATATTATTTACGTCAGAAATTAAATCGAAATATTGTTTTCATCATTCAATTCAGCTGATCATTGAATGTTTTTGTTTGTGCTATAAGTCATGAAAAACAAAACTTTATTAAAAAAGAAATTTTAGGAAAATAGCGTAGCTGGATGTTATGAAAATAAGCTGATGTCATAACTTTAATTTGAGATTATATCTAGCAGGCACAAATTCGTATAGGTAAGTTAAATGAATTAAACTTTTTGCCAAAAAAGAAAATACCTACCTGAAAAAGTTATGAGAATATAAACATTGTTTTATATAAATAGACTTTCTTAATTAAGAAGCAGTAACAGTAAGGTGAATTAAAGTGAAGAAGCTAGTTAAAGTTCAAAAATAAAGTTCAAAGAAGTAAACAGTTTAAAATAATTCAAATTTTTGAACGTAAACGTGTGTAGTTTCTGAAGTTCCAAATGAAAAATAGGTTTTTTGTTTAAATTTAATTAATTTGTATTTCTATACGTTTTAAACATCAAATAACCTACTAGTAGTAACAGAATATGAGTGATCCAAGATGGTACTTTACGGAAGAACAGCTTGCAAACTCACCAAGTCGAAAATGTGGAATAAACGCAGAATTAGAATTATCGTATAGACAAAGAGCTGCAAATCTCATTCAAGAAATGGGCCAGCGACTGCAAGTGTATGTTAATTAATACCTATTATATGTATATTTCATGGTAATGCATCGTAAATATGGCAAATAATGCTGTAAATATGAAAAAAATTGATGAAAATTTTCATGAATTAATTTGGTTTTCGAGGCAATTATTGATCCTTAAAATATCGATTAAAACCAAGTTTCATGGCATTTCTGAAACATACATCATGTCACTTGTCATATATTTAATGGATTGAAAGTGATCCTTGTGCTGTTCAGTCAGTTAATATGCTTAATAATTATCAAAGATTACAAGATTATGTTATGTGATGAAATCGCCATATTGAAAAAAAATATACAAACTTCCTCTTATGTATGATGATTTTTGCTTACAGTTTCAATTTTTTATTAATTTCTTCGTAGATCACAGCTATGTATCAATACTGCAATAGTTTATATGCATAGATTTTATGCATTTCACTCATTCACAATGTTCCATCGGAATAGTATAGCGGCTGCATCGTTTTTTCTGGCAGCAAAGGTATGTCCAATGGAATAAAAGAGAAGAAAGATGATTCACCTATATCTATACCTATATATGTGTGTGCATAGCATGTATAGATTCGAAGTATTTTGAAAACAATAACGACTTATATTGTTCCATTTTTTCTTTTTTTCAATTTTATTGAAGGTGGAAGAACAACCGAGAAAGTTGGAGCATGTCATCAAAATTCTGAATATATGCTTAGAAAAGAGTGACATGAATCGCGAGCCATACGCTGAACAGGCACAAGAGTTGGTTTTAAATGAAAACATTTTACTTCAAACACTCGGATTTGATGTTGCTATAGATCATCCTCATACCCACGTAGTAAAAGCCTGTCAACTTTTTAATATTGTAACAGGTAACGTCTAATCTTCATTGTACGAGATTTACGTCCAGAGTGTGCTGACCAGACTACTTCTACTTCTTTCATTTTATACAGTTTCTAGAGAATTAAGACAAACTTGTTATTTTATGGCCTCAAATAGTTTACATTTGACAACCATGTGTCTCAAATATCGTCCAACAGTTGTGGCTGCCTTCTGTATATATATCGCATGCAAGTGGTCTCGTTGGGAGGTATGCGTATGAAATAGAATTATTATCAAAATTAAACGTAGATGACTAATTTTTTGTCATAATTTTGATGATACTCTCACTTAGATACCCGACTCAAGCGAGGGAAAAGCTTGGTATAGTTATGTTGATGACACCGTGACTTTAGACACTCTTAAACAATTGACTGAAGAATACTTACAAATACTAGAACGTAGTCCATCAAAATTCAAGAGCAAGATGAAAGCAATCACATCCAACGGACAAGCTGCAGTACGTATTTTTATCATTTCAAATGCTTTGCATTATTTTTATTATTATTATGATTTTGAGAGACCTTTCTGACCGATTATTTGCATAGCTCATGAAAAAATCTTTCCAGGTGAATCAGTCACCAAGCATCGTAGACGGTCCATCAACTTCGCATCATAAGAATAATCAGCACCATGATAAACATCATCATCATCACCATCATAAAAATGCTAGCATGACAAGTAGTAGTGCAGGTGCTGCAAGTTCAACTGTTAATGTTAATGCAAATGGAAATAGCAGGTCCTCATCATCAAGCTCTTCAGCTAAAGCTCAAATGCATCAAATGCCCAATTCATCGTCACAATATAAGCAAGTTCCTTCTTCTCAGAGTGGAATGAACTCGTCATCGTCGTCGATTCAACCGCCTTTACCGCCTACAGCCTCCTCAAATCATAATATGCATCGTCAAAGACCATCATCGAGTAGTAGTCAGTCACAACCTTATGCAAGTGCTAGTAATAATAGTAGTAATCAGCCAAAACCTCCACTAATGGATGAAAGATCACATCAACAACAACAACAGCGACTAGTCCATCAAGATGGAACATTTTATAATACTTCATCGTCCAGTCAAAGGATGTCTGATCATTCAAAGCATCGAAACAGTTCTAATTCAGCACCTCCTCCTCCCCCTCCTCAACAAAACCCACCTTTACCACCATCTCAGCAACAGCAACAACAACCTTACATGAAGCTAAATAGCATGAATGATCAGAAACAGCATAATATGATGGCTAATAATTCAAAGCAGGCTCCACCGTATCCAGGTCAAAGCATAGATATGCATCAGAAGAATATTAAACAAAGCTCGGCGGATTATCATAACAGGAACAATCCACAATTAAATCAACAAATACCAAATAATCCTCAAAAGAAACCGACTTGGCCGCAGCAGCAACAATCCTCTTCCACTTCTATGTCACAACAACAACAACAATTACAGACATCTCACAATCAAGACAAACAATATCCGCATTTACAAAAGAATCTTCAACAAATACCAAATTCTGCAAATCTTTTAGATCAGAGTGCTTCCAATATGCTTAATTCTTCATCGAGTAAATCCTCTGCTTACAATGAAATGTCATCGAAGCAGCAGCAACAACAAAATTTATCACAAAATGACTTTTGGTTTAGTGACAAAATTAATGAAATGTCCAATAAAACGACAACTCCGCCTCGTGGACAATCTTTATTCTCTCCAAGTCCTGAACATGATACGAATGAGAAGGCAAAGTACATGATGATGACTGGAAGTTTAAAGAGAAGCAGTGACAGTGCAGTTGACAGTCCAAAAGAGGATAAGAAATCGACACCAACGAAACGTGATAAAAGTATACTTGGAAATCAATCAGGATCAAATCAGAAGCAGCTTAATCCAGCAAATCAAATGGATAGTAAGAAATTCTCTAAACTTGACAATGTAAATGCGTCAAATTCACAATTATTGACAGACCAAACCATGATAGACGCTCAAATGGTCAAGAAACGATCATATTCATCGATAAAAGACTCTATGGATGCACCACATAGTCGTGAGAATAAGATCAGAAAGGTTGATCAGGTAAAATTGGAGCCAACTGTTCCTGTGAGCTTACCTGTAACGCCTGTATCATCGAAAATTCCATCACAATCAATGTCACAGCAATCCTCAATTTATGGAGGAGGTATGCTGGACATGCCAATGCCAGTTCCAACAAAACAACCACTCGAGACAAATCCAGATGTAGTAAAATCCCTTCTTGCTGAATGCTTTTCATCAAACAATAAATTTGACTTGTATGATAGTCCATTGGATATTATGAATCCTGAGCTACCCGATGAGCTTTTTGCTACCACACCAACATCATCAGTTCCATCAAAACCACAACAAAATATGAGTATGAAAATTAACCAACAACAATCGACGACACAGCAATTATTGCCACAGCAGCAACAACAACTAAGTTTGACAAAGCGTGAATCATTAGACGATTTATTAGACATTAAGGATGATAAGATGGACTCGTCTGCTGGCGAGAGTAGTAGAAAAGATAAGAAAAAGTCGAAGAAAAAGAAAGAAAAGCATAAGCATAAGAAGAAGCATAAATCATCAGATCGTGAGGATCGTGACGATCGTGACGATAATAAGAGTGACTCATCATCACTTAAAATAATTTTTTCAAAGGAGAGTAAAGCTGACACAAAAAGCTCTCCAGAAAGTTATGGTGGTGGATTAAAAATTAAAATTCCCATCAATAAAGATGCTGGCAAAATTGAGGTGAATCAGAATCAGTCACAATCGCAGCCCGCACCAATTAAGTTGAAACTATCAAAAGAAAAGTTTGGAAGCTTCACTAATTTAAATAATAACAATAATACTAATAATAATAATTCATCGTCATCCTCATCATCGAGTCACCATCATCATAAGAGTAAAAAGGATAAAGATAAGGAAAAGGATCGTGAAAAGTCCAAGTCGAAGAGCTCCAAGCATTATAATGCATCCGATTATAAGGAATCTAGCAGTTATCAACATTCAAATTAGACAGGTAAAATAATTTAATTCATTAATGAAACAAAAACAAACAAACAAAAAAAAAGAAATAAAAAATAAAAACACAAAAGATTTTTTCTTGTTCCAAAAAAGAATTTCCTAAGATTTTTTTTTATTTTCCAGAATAAGAAAATTAATTGTTAAATGAAGGAAGAAAAAAAACTATGAAATTATTTAATGTGTATCGAAAGGAGAGACAAAAAAATCATAAAAATAATAATAATTTTAAGATACAGATTAATCAACTGTTGAATATTTTGTAAATAAATAATAAAACCAATTTAAATCATTTTAGATTTCAATTTAAATTTAAAAGAAGTTAAACTACCACGTATTTTTTTAACATCTTTTATCGTGATTTTTAATTTTAAAAAATTCTTTCAGTTCTACATTCTTTTTTTCTGCATTTTTGCCTGAAACAAGCTAGCTAGCTAGCACTTTGTCTGACTGGTTGTATACTTTTCGAATATCCTAATATCCTCTGACGAGTTCAAGTTCATTTTCTTTCAGTTCAGCATAAGTTGTTCAGTAAAAAATCAGTTCGTTTCATTTCAGTTCAACTTGAAAAAGTCGCTAAAGTTCAAATTTTGAACTTAAAAATTCAAATCTAAAATCGTCGTTAAAATTTTGAATGCTATAAAGTCGATGAAAATAAAATTTCAGTTTACTGATTGTTCGCTTGCTGGCAAAAATGCATTCTAGTCGTTCAATCTTCAGGTGACATTTTGTATATTTGTATAATATTTAATATTTTTAAACTACAGATTCATTTTTTCCATCCCATTCTAAGAGATATTGTTCGTTTCCATCGAAAGTGACTCTTTTAGCGACAATACTAAACTTTTCACCATTCTCGATTCGATGCATAGCACCGAAGTACAGATTAATAGAATTATTCTTAACTGGCGAGTTTAAGACTGTATCATTAAGATTAATGTTTACAGACGGCGATGATGCGGACGATATATTTTTAATATTTTCATCCTTTTTATTATTAGCTACTTGGGGCTTCTTTTGACTTTCATTTTTGGTTACAGGAACAACATTATTTGACGATCGAATGAAATTTGTATTATTTTCTGAACGATATGAGAAATGAGGAGGTAATGGAAAGGTAATTGGTTGAATTATTTCACTTATGACTTCAACATCCGCTGACTTTCTACGTTTTGACATTTTACGTCTCTTAACTTCTTGATTCGGTCCAACAAGAAGATCCTTTGCACTCAAACGTCTTTTAATCGTTCGAACAATTCTGACTTCAGAAAATTTGTTCGAAACTTGATTTCGTTTTAAGCCATTCAATTTATCATTTACTTTTAATTTCATATCAGATTTATAATTAATATGAAATGGATTATTAAAGCCTTTAAAATTAATTGGCGGAGGAATTATCAAATCCAATGTACTCTTGCTTGATGTCTCATCTGAAGAGTCGCACATTTCTGCATCAATAACCGTTGTTGTTGTTGTTGTCGTCATCGACGACGTGATAATATTTGGATGCTTCATATCTAGTTTATTTGATTTTCCATTAATTTGTAAAGATTCGACATACTTTATTTTGAGCTTCTTGACGAGATCATCCGAAAAAGGATCAGATGATGGAATGATGACTTTGTGTAGGTGATTATAAAGTGGTGGCATTTTCTTTCTCAAGCCAAATAAACAAGCTTTTTTCTTGTTGGCATTAATACATTTAAAAATATCTATCTTTCTAACAGTTTGTAAAATTTTCTTCTCTAATGATTCTTTTGTTAGGAATTTTGAAACCTGAGAATGAGAATGTAAACATTAAGTTTCTGGACATACATATCATGTGATCAAGTTTTGTAAGACAAACCTCTGGAGGTAAATATAAGTTGTCTGCATTCTGCAAAATAAAAGGAACGATATCCTTCGAAATACTATGGTATTTTTGGGAGCGCACGATTGTCAATTCATAGAATATTAAGTGAATAATATCTCTCCAAGTAATTTGTAAGCGTCGAATAAACTCGTTTCCATCATTGCATACCTAAAATGAGAGAATAATGATAATTTTCGTTTTGTGATTGCGGAGGCACACTTACTGAGCAACAGAATATAAAAAATGTGTCACCGTGTAATAAATATCCATCCCAAATTTTAACACAATTTCCATGAAACCATTGTCGGCAACGGCAACATTGAAGCATTTTATCTTTCCAAGATCCAGTAAGGCCACAATAACAGTATATATTTTCTTTGTTTAAACGATGTGCTGAATCCCATTTCAGTGACTTTAACTAGATATAAAATTAAGTTATAAAATCATTAGAACAACAATTGAGCAAACAGATGATAAGAGCAAGCACGCAGTAACTTACATCATATGGGAGTTTTACTGTAGGTTTTTGATTGAATTCCTCTGTCGTCAATTCAGCCGCAAATTCCGATTCCAGTTCCTCAGAATCGCTAATACTTATAACATCAACACTACATTTAGAGCAATTCCAACGAGATGGATGGATACTTTGTTCCTTAAAACAGTTTCGATGATATCCACGACTACACTGACTGCATATTTCAACAACATCAAATTCTTTAGATATTTTACATATAACACATAACGATGAGTCTTCTCCATTTTTCGTTGGAGAGGCAGTGAGCTTCTTTAACTTACAGGAATTTGACCATTTCTCGGTATTATCATCAAAACGTATCAAATACTCCTCAGATTTTGAATTAATTATAGTTCCGAGATAGAATTTGCCGTCAGTTCCTTCCATTAAGACATCCTCGTCCACTTCGAAATTTCCTGACTTTATAGAATCATTTGATTGATCTAAATGCTCCTCTACATCACTACACTTCATGTCTTTATCGTCAGAATTTGTCAGCTTCTCCTTAAAATTGTTGTTAATTCTTATATGATATTCTGGCGTTGAAAACTGTATTGTAATTAATGATGATGTCTCGTTCATCTTATTATTCTTCTTCTCATTATCTTTGATCGGTTCAGGTGATGATGCATTGTAGATAAATATCTTACTTGATTGATTACTTATCGTAATGTTTTGAGTTTTTGACATTTTCTCTTTTTTCACTCAATTTTATTCCTTTGCACAATAGTTTTTACCTACTTTTTATACCTAAACATAAGCACTAAACAAGTTCCAACTGGTTAAAAGAATTAAGGTACTCTACGGATACATAATATAGCTATTTTAATAGATTAATTCAATTAAAAACCCACAGAAAACGAAAATCTAAAAATATAAGCCGATCTTTCAAATGTCAACAAAATGTCACTGGATCTGTCAAAATGCTTCCTTCACTTTTTTCACCTGTCAAAACTTTCCCTCTTCATGCTTCCTCGCTTTTTTAAGCCTTGTTTGACGTTACCATACGATGTTATGCTTATTTATCACTCTATTTAAAATAGTTTTAATTCAACTTTGATTCAACATTTCGCAGAACGCGAGGAAAATGTAAACAAAAATAAACGGTCCAAAAATATTCAAAAAACTGACGTTGAAAGTGACTTGATAGGGTACGAAACTAAAGTCGTTCTTTTCCTTGAATTTTTTTCGCTTGACGAAATCAACATCTAGAAAAATGGTAAATTTAATAGTATTAATGTACTATAACGTTAATTAAATTACGTTAAAATGAAGTTAAGATGGATATCTATGCAATAGAAATGCAAACAGCTGGCTATTAGTGATATTTATCGTGAAAATTAAGAATGTTTATAGTCTATGGAAAATATCACATTAATTCGCGAGTACATGATTCAAAAGTTTTGCAAATCACGATAAATCTCAATGATAACGCTAATCCACTAAGTTAATTGTATTATTCAAGTGATTACTATTCATAAAAATCATACTTAGTGCCTTAAAATTGGTGAATTAACTTCATTTTAATAGTTGTATGTTTTAACCTCAATGTTTGATAATTGACTACAATTTGTTTTTGCTTAATTCTATACTTTTAGACCAAGAAACGTCGTAATGGAGGACGCTGCAAGCACAATCGTGGACACGTAAAGGCTGTCCGTTGCACAAACTGTGCACGTTGTGTTCCAAAAGATAAGGCAATTAAGAAGTTTGTCATCAGAAATATTGTTGAAGCTGCTGCCGTCAGAGATATCACAGTTGCCAGCGTCTATAGTTGTAAGTAGACTCTTTGCTTAGTCTCATCAATAGTTATTGACTAGCTCTTAATTTCTTTCAGCATATGTGTTGCCGAAATTGTACGCAAAGTTGCATTATTGCGTTTCTTGCGCAATTCACAGTAAAGTAGTCCGTAACAGAAGCCGTGAAGCAAGAAGAATCAGAACACCTCCTCAACGCGCTTTCCCAGCACGTCAACAGCAACAACAGAGAAAGTAAATGATGATCATCATTGTTTTATAAAATATAAGGAATAAAAAATGCGCCTCTTTTAAATGAAAAGGATTAACATCCGTCATTATTCCAATTAAAATTCTGTGCCTTAATTGTTTCACTTGTTCGATGACATTTCTTTCAGAATTCTTTAACTTTGCTTGTCTGTTTTTTACTGTTTTTTTTGGAATTTTAATATTCAAACATTTGCAAATCCAGGAAAATAATTTGAATTTCAAATGTTCGATAAATAGCAATGAAACTTATAATCTCATTTGTCTTGATCTTAAAAGTTAATTTATTAATGCTTTTCTTATATTACAGATAGAATATAAAATATGGTTCGTTATTAAATATATATTTCCTCTCTCGATTCTTTTTACAAGTTTCTTTTAGACAACATCTTCACAATACAGGCAATTGGATATATAAATCTTTCAATAATACATACATTGATTAGGCAGCATTTGATTGTTTTAATCTTATGGATTAACAAATATCTTTCAATTAATCTTTAAAAATTGAGATTTTGTTTTCTTTTTGTTCTTAACAAGTTGTTTTACGACTCTTCACAATCCATCGAGTTTTGGTTTCGTCTCATATTTTGTTCTGATAGCGGCACGATATCCTGTAGATGAGAAAAATAAGAATCATTAGTATTTAAGAACAAAACTCGAACATGTGTAGCCAACTTACATTCAAATTAAGAGATGATTGTAGCTTCAGTTGATGCATATTGGATATTGTTGGCGTGAGAGAAATGTTACTTCCAAATGGAGATAAAGGGACATTTCTTTTGCGTGATGGTGTTTTGTTAAAAGAAAATGCTCGTCCGACCTAATTGAATTATTATATACTGCAATGTTAACATTTATTCCTTAGAATTAATAATTATATAACTCACTTTAAGTTTTGTCCGAGTCGCTAGTCTAAAAGCTTTCGATAGAGTTCCTAAATTTACTTCCGATGTGTCAATATTGACTTCATCACTCGTCACGGTTACGCGAAACTCATTCTACAGGATTAAAGTAATAGATTAGTAAAAAGAAAAGTTATAGTATGAAGGAAGTGACTTACGGAGTCTGTTTTACATGCATTTTCAGCCATTTGCTTGCAAAAGTTTTTAATATACATTGTCTTTTCAATTTCTTCGTCAGCGATATTAAAAGCACAAATTTTGTCTTTACTAGAATCATGGATATTAGCACTGCTGCGATATGAAAGTGCAAAACCTCTCATACTATCAGATATGTCAGCAACCGTTCGAATTAATGATAATGGAATTAGTTTGATATGTTTGTATGGCTTTGGACCGTTATGTTTCCCAGTATATGTGCTGTTTGGTGATTTCGACAGATTATTTGCCTTTGATCGTTTCTTGCAAATTTCCAGCGTATCCGAAAACAAGAATAATATCAAGTGATCTCCACGTCCACTAAGAATATCAGATGCTTCAAGTTCAACGACTTCACATTTTGAGATGAGTGAGCGATGAGAAGACACAAGCATAGCTGGACATCCTTCAATATCATTAAATATATCAAACATTTGCTTCTGACTTTCTGTTCTTCTCTTGTCTTCATTGATATATGTCATAACTTCCTTAATTGATTTTAGAGCTTCAACGAGCGATGCATGATCTGGATTGGTCTTGGGTGTATGCTTAAGAATGTCATTTAGAAGCAAACTAATACTTGGCAATCGTTGTACTGGACGTATCATAAGCTCTTGTAATGTTTGTCGACCACATTCAGGCTTTGATTGATTAATCTTTAAAAATGCTTGGAAGCGCGGCTTATTTTGTGCACATTGAATAACTGTTGCCTTCATTTGCTCGAAAAAATTTATGTATGGTGGATATGCCTTTAACAAACGATCACGATTCTCCATTAATATCTCACCGATTAAACAATCTTCTGTCCAATTCGAATTAATTTGTTGAATTCTTGTAAGCATTTTCTTATGGATCTCATAAATTGGAAAGAAGTTACCAAAGATTGATTTCAGTTCCGATTTGTTTAATAAATCAGCATGATCTAGATTCTCATCTGCCATTTTTTCCAGTGGATTCTTGAACAAGTTCATGATTGTTTCCAATATTCCAACATAATTTGATTCTGTATGATAAAAATCCATAAAATGGTTCCTTCTCATTGAGTATTTCTTGCATGATTGTTCTGTGGATATATTTTCATTTAATTTTCCACAATCACTCTTATCAGGACTTGCTGTATAATCAATCAAGCTATCTGATAAAATTCCAGCATCAGATGTCGAAGATTTTCGTTTATTAGCACTGCCTGGCGTGCTCTCTAATACAACCCTTGATAAACGTTTACGCTTCCTCTGTACTTTCGAGCTACTATTAATAAGTGAATCACGACGTTCAGAACAATGCTCGTCTTTAATACTTTTCATATACTGGAATTTATAAGAATTTAAGTTTTATTTTGCAATGTAGACCCATAAAAGTTTTAATCTTCTTACATCTTTAAACAGAAAATCATCCTCAGGTGCATATCCTATAAATACGAAAATGCAAATAAAATAGAAACAAGAAACGTTAATGAAAGGAGTTGAATAAGGTACGATGAGGTTGTAAGTGACGCATTTTTGAGGAACATAATTGGAATCATACTTTGAAAAAGTTGTTAAAGTTTCAACGGTTTTCAAAAATTCAAATTATTTCTAAAGTCCAAAAATTAAACCGCTTTCAAAAATTTGAAATATAAAAATTGAACTTTCATGGTTCAAAAATTGAACTTTGTTCTAAAATTTAAATTTATCCTTTATTTATCCAGATAGACAAAACGATGGCATCAATTAACATTTTCCGTCAAAATGCAGCATAAACCCCTAATTAACATAAATTTGAAATATAAAAGAAATGCATATTTACCTTCAGCAATACGTGTCCAAAACCATTCTGCTTTTAAGACAAAAAACTTTGTATCCTCTAAATTCATACATTTTCCTTGTTCATCGTCAACTACCTGAAAATAGAACAAAGCAAAATAGAAATAATAAAGAAATTCTCCAAAAAAGAAAGAACCTTACTAACTTATGGCAGTAATTTTTGACTCAGAATAAAAACCTTCCCACAAGCTAGCAATCCAATCACCATGAATGAAGCAATTTTAAGGGCAAAAAAAATTAGTGCAAGTTTATAAATTATGCATTACATTATGTGTTTTTATCTATTACTGACTAATATAAATGACCCACCGATGACATAAAAGTAATTAAAGTTAAGATCACATGATGAAGACAGAATGATGTATAAAATTGCATTAATTTTGATTAGATTCTAATTAGGTATGATAATGGAAATTACCGTATTCTTCTCGGACATATCGTATGCAAAATTTTTATCTTTAGGAATTTGAAAGTCTGACAGAAATCTAGGTGTTTTAGGCTCTGCTGACATTTGTCCTTTTTCTGGTGTCTTCATAATATGACCTGATACTGACATATTCATAAAATAAGAACTCTTGATCGACTCATTAGCTGTGTCTGTTCCAAAATGAAATGATCGATCTTTTTTGAGACTTTTTGGCGTGTCGTGATCTCGTTTCATCATTCTCGAAGCTTTATCTCGCATGCGACGGAATTTCTCTTTAATTGGTTTTGTGATGGTTTCATTAAACGTACTTTCCATGCTTATCATCGAAGCTGATGCAGAAATATCTTGATCAACAGAATTTCTACGTGATTTTCCAAACATATTATTGATTGGCGTCTTCATGATTCCAAAACTTAAGCTTTTACGTAAATTTTTAGTCAATGATGCAGTTCTCATTAGTTTAGGCTTCTTAGTGGACAACGAAATGGATGTTGAGTCAATTGATATATTATCAAAAACATCTTCTTCAATCCTTTGACGTTTTGTTGCTGTCCTTTCGACATTCTCTTGAATCGATTCTTTTGGAATCGGCGAGATTTGTGTCAAATTTGAAAATTCTTTATTTTGTTCCTTCTTTAATATCACTCCGTCTTTCTTATTTCCTTGATAATCAGTCTCATCGAGTTCCTTACAATCTGATAAATGCTGTGATTTAGTATTTTCGTCTTCTTCATGTAATGTTGGCAAGTCATTAATTGTCTCATTTATTTGCTGCTGATTTAATTGCTTTCCAATGCAATCTGTATCGTCCAATAAGCTATTATCTAAACTTTCATTCCCACATTCATTCGTGAAAATTGGACAATCAGCAATAATCTGAAAATGTTAAATTTAAGTGGTGCAGAATGACAGAAAAAACACATAATAAATGGTTAAAAATATTAGGAAATGAGAGGATGCAATATATGAAGGATGTTAGTAATAAAAGTAAATTTTAGTAAGGTGTAGAATACATGAAGAACAATTTTTTTAGCCATAAACTACTTCTTCGCAGTGATTTCTTCTTAAAACGCATGTCAGGTTGGAAGAGCTACTTACTTTATGTGTACACGTGTCGTCGTCACTCGTTGTTTCAACTCCATTGTATGATCGCAATAAATTGGACATATTTACTCTCTCGTGTTCTGGAAATCCAATAAAAGCAACTCGACAATTCTCAAAGATCTTTAATCGATGATCAATAGCGAATTTCTCAGCTCTAGCTGAAAATCCAACTTCATGACGTTTAATCCAAGCATCAGATACCCATGACGGTCTTACTACATTCAATCTAAATGTTAATGCATATCTGTATTTATCACCGAAAGCTTGTGGACAAATCAAGTGAGTTGCACGATGATTCATTTCCTTCCTAATTGATCCTCCCATAAAATGTATAAGATGAACTAATTCCGTCTGTTTTAAAAACAATTTAATGTTAATGAATTAAATTAATTAAAGTTTGTTTGAATTTACTAGCTCATCTCGTTTTCTGACGCCTGAAAATGCAGCCACAACTCCTTTCATGCTATAATTAAATACTGGTCTATTGTGGGTCGGCAATTCACATCCATTTTTCTCACATTCAACAAGTGCCAGCGGTCCTAATATTCTGATTGGACAAAATAGCCGTTTTTAATGATTTAAAGACTTTAATAAATTGCAGTTAACTCACTTATGCTTCGACTTTGAGATTGTTTCGAAAATTGGTCCTTCAAAGTCCTCTAAAATAAAGTAAGTGACTATTTTGTTGTCTGTTAAATACTCAAGTCCAGTTTCAGAAGTAATAATCGGCACATTAAAGGATTCAGCGACTTTTCGAGTGTTTTGATCGTCAACTAAAGATCCAACTATACATATACGCTTCATTTGTTGTTCCTTAATATCTAATATGTCATTAATTGCCTTATCCGAACCTAATTTTTGAGTTTCTGAAAGTTTAACAGATCAGGATCATTTAGAAAAGATCAGTATTTGCATTTATGGCCTGTTTATTAGCCAAAATTATAGAGTTTAGTGCAAATTGTATAGTTACCATTATCCATGGTTAAAATAATGTATTTAAATACACAAAAATACGCTTAATTATACTAATGTTCACAAATTATTATAATATCCTTATTTTCTTCTTGCAAAACTTTTCAAAACTGTTTTCCGTTAAACACTAACGCATATTTTGCACAATTCACTTTTCCTCTATTAACTCAATTCATCTCTTATTTTTCGTATATTCACAACATCCATCGCTTTATTTAAACTCTATTCTTAATGAATTTTCATTTTAATAATAATTAATGATTGCTTAAGTTAAGTTTTTTCAATGAATTTGCAAGAGTTTGGATTTAAATTTTTTGAACTAGTACAAGTTATTACCGCCAATTGATACACAACTTAGTTTAAATTTAAAATTCCGTTACAACTTTGTCAACAAAAAGAAGATTTTTGAGTTTAAAAAAACCGGTAGTTTATGATTCGTTATTTGCACAAGTTATGCAGCTTTTAAGGTACTATTCTATTATAAGCAATATAACAGATTAATTAATAGGTAAGTTCTTTAAATTTTGAAGCCAGGATATCGAGATTAGGTATATATTCAGCACATTGAGAGCAAAATCTTGAATATCATTCAGTTCCATACGTAATTAAATTTCTTTAATTTTTAATATCTCGAGATTCGAGACTTAAATTGATTAATCACCCTAACAGACTAGAGTATATAACAGAGAGTGTGGTGTCTCATAGTATTTGAAAATTTGAGTGAATAATAAATATTTTAATATAATTTCTTTTAAATGCGCTTAATAAACGCACAGATTATTATAATTAACAGCTACATACATTTAGGAATGACATGTTACAAGAATCTTTTAATCTATATCCTTCAACTACGATTTTAACATGAGATATTTATTCTATTATAGAGAAGAAAAAAACAATCTCCAACCTTATTTGGAGCTTAAACCATATCAATCGTATATTAAGCACTTAAGCATAAACCTTTCATATTTTTAATTGCATGTGCTTCATTTTAACTTTCTTTTTTAATAAATTGACTTAGTATTATTTTGTTTGATATATTATTCATTAATAATGAATGCGTAGTCACGAATCTTTAAAATGTCTCTTCGATTAAGCATGGCTTCAATTCACTGATAACTCTTTGGAGTTAGTGTTTTGGCTCAAGACATCCTTCTTCTTCCATCTTTGTCAACAATTTAATGACTCTGTGTGACGGTTCCGTGTAGCGTGCCATGTCAATTAAATCCAACAACTTCTTGATTCCGACAAATACTCTATAAATTAATCAATTAGAATTGGGAAGCATGTAATTGCAGAATAAACTATGTGAACTTACTTATAATCCTTGATTCTTTTGGAAATTGAATGAAGTTCTTGCTTGGTAAAAACATCAGAATCCTCCAAGACGGAAAGTAATTGTTCAGGTGTTGATAAATTAGGGACGTGCAAAACGGATGTAAATGCTGAAAGGACTTCCATATCTTCGAGAACTTGTCGACGACTGCTAGTACAAATTACGAGCAATTTTCGTCCTTTTGGTGGTTGTTTCTTGAGAAGAACAAGCAGTGCTTGAAGTGTAATATTTGAATAACGAGGACCGATTGGACCATAATCCAATAAACGTTCAATATTATCGACGACAATACAACTCAAAGTTGAACGATAAGCATCATCAAAGATTTTACGCATTTGTAAGCATTTGGCAGATTCAGTAAATGCAACCATATCATCTGGTGAGCAGACCTTAGTAAATGGAAAATCTGATAACTTGGCAATCTTTGCAGCCAATGCACTCTTTCCAGAATTCGGTGGACCTTCCAATAAAATTGAAATTAAACTTGATGTTTCTGAAGTTCGGACTTGTTCGGTATATAAAGCTCCATCTTCTAAGATGTGACTTACTGGAGCTCCCCAATTGATTATTCCTCTCTGTAAGAAGTTATCGAGCATTTCTGCAGCAGCTCCAAATGCTGGCTTAACATCGTTTTCTAATGCATACATAAAGTCATCACGCGAAACGAGAAGTTTTTCCATAGCTTCAGGATCTACTTCAACTTTCGATGCTGCTTTAATTAAACGATTCATAGCTGAAGATTGTGCTGCACGAACTAAACCTTCCAATTCAGCACCACTGAAATTCTTAGTAAGTGATGCCAATTCGATACAATCAACGTCAGCATTAATTTTCTTAAATTCTCTCATACGTTTTGTATGAATATTCAAAATTTGTACTCGTCCAGGTTCATTAGGCAAGCCAATTTCCATTTGAACCTCTAATCTACCAGGTCTCATTAAAGCATCATCAATCATGTCACGTCGATTTGTCATACCAATAACCAAAATGTTATTTAATTGCTCAACACCATCGATCTTGGCTAATAATTGATTCACAACCGTATCGTGGACGCCTGAATTTCCAGCAACTGAGCCTCGAGATTTACAAATAGCATCGATTTCGTCAAATATGATAATGTGAAGACCGCTGTTTGGACCTAATCTCTTTTCTTCTTCTTCTGCATCAGCAAAAAGTCTACGAATATTTGCTTCGCTCTCACCAACATATTTGTCCAAGATTTGTGGACCATTTACAATTTTAGGTTCTCTTGCATTCAACATTGTACCAATTTGTCGAGCCATCAATGTCTTACCAGTACCTTAAAGGGTCATCAAAATGTTTTTTTTGGTCAATTTCTATTTCAACTGTCTTTTAAGATTCAAATTTGCAACTCAACCTTAAATTTGTCACAATTGAATCTAGAATGAACGTTAAAAAGTTACCTGGTGGTCCATAAAGTAAGATGCCTTTAACGTGCTTACATCCGAGCTGTTCAATAACCTCAGGTGGAAAAACTCGAGATGCAAACGCACGTCGAAAGATAGCGTTGAATTCCTTGTCCAAACCACCTATTTAATTGGTTATGATTCATTAATAATTCATAAAAGATAATGTATGCATGCTTTACCGATTCCCATCTTTCCAAAGTCCCAGTCTGGATTTATAATCGATTGTCTGACGATTTTTCTGCAATACGCAATTTTAAAAAATCAATATATTATTTTCTATCCATTCCATTAATGTGATAATCACTTACCCTTTTGCCTTTCCCACTAAATTAAGTGCTGAATTTTCACATTTTTCAAATTGGACAACAGCATTAGCAGTAAGTCGTCCGAAAGTAATTTTTTTTGGCTCAGCGTTTTTATTATCACGGAATGCTGATGCATCAATAGCTTCAATCGACTTGATACTCAATCCCAATAATTTCTTATCATTGAAACTAAATACCAATGGCTGACCGACTGTAACAGCAAGTCCAGCAAATTGCATGAGAAATTCCTTAGCCATTAAATCAGAATCATATGGTTCGGTTGTAATTCTAAAAATAAATGATATTGGATTAATTAGGTTGTTGGGTGATAAAAATCAATATATTGATCCTTACGTCTTCTTTTGAAGAAAGTCAACTTCCAATACGACATTGCATATAACATGTTCATTTCCAGAGCCTTCAAATCGGAAAGGCTTGACATCAATTTCCTTAAATTAAGCATATATTACATCAGTACAGTATTATAAAATATTCATGGGATCTAAAGTCTTACTTGATTGATTGACAGCGTAGCCCATTTTCTCTGAAGTAAGGAAAATCCTACTGAACGTGGTGGAACTTCAGGACTTCGTTCAATTGCAAATATAAAGTGCTGTCCAGGTCCAGTTGATACATCAATGTAGTTTTCGTTGTTAATAAAGTCAGTTGGATGAACGATTGCACGGTTTTTAAGTGACAACTCATCTGTTGGACATTTCGTTGCTTTCATTCGCTGTTAATATAACTTATTATCATGAATAATGGTTTATTTAAAATTTATGAGTCACTTACCACTGCCATTTTAAATGATTATTGCGTACCCAGTTAAATATAGTCTTGAGATCTTCGATTTTCTGTTCTCTTGTCTTAAACTCTTTCTCTTCCTTTTATTATTGATTTTTTAGTCTATTGCATCTGACAGAAAAATTTATAATATATCTTTAGCTGATTCCTTTCAATTGCTTTTTGAGTCACTACTAATTTACAGTACTTTATAAGTCAAAATTATCACTAAGTTTAATTAATCTTTAAATTATCACTTAGTTTTTGCTACTTTTTCTGCTCAATGAAAAATCTTTAACAAATTTTCCACGAGCGCTTTCTAGTGTGAATAATATGAAACTTTTTGAATAGGGTTTATATACGTTAGTCTGTACTGTAAATTCAGTTCCATTCGATATCCAATACTGGATGTTTTAGTTGACCAATGGAACTGAATTATTATTGTTCTAGAATATTCTTGAATGCGAGTCATTTCCTTGACCTTATTGTTATTATTTCCGTTCATTAACAGTCAATCTTTTTAAGGTACAGCTATGCTAACCTTTGCCTACATATATCATGAATTTTAGAGACAATGAAAATTTAACGTATTTTTAAAATTCAAAATATTAACGGAAGCTCATAATTTAAACCAGAGTTCAAAACTTGATCATAAAATTGGCTGATCAATATTGATGTAATGCTGAGTGCTGATGTGCATTTTTTTTGAATGACTCACATGTGCATCAGTCAATGTCCTCTGATGTAAATAAATGACGTTATTTATTGACATAATTAACAGACATAAAGTCACTGGAAATCAAGGCTAGATAAGGAAAAAAAAATCAAAACAAAAATCGTAACGAAGGAGGGGGGGGGGGGGGGGGGGGGGGTTAAAAACATAATACTTGGCAAAGTTTTTTTTATTAAAAATATACAAAAACGATTAATTTTACAGTTTATGTCTAAGTGAACTTATTTCATATGATTGCAAATATAGTAAAAAAAATGTTTAGTGAACCCAACAGCAGAGGAGGAAAGATAGAATGTCCCATTTTTAAAATTATTATCATAGTCATAAAGTAATTAATAATTTGTTTTAAAATAACAACTGTAAATTAGATTTGATTAACACTATCCAATTCGTCTAACGTATCTTCACTGCCGCTGCCTGTAAGATCACTGAGTTCATCTAAACACTTTTGGCGTTTCCTGACATTCCAATGTAAGCATTCAGCAAGAGAGTCAAACCAATCAGAAATCTGATCTTGAGAGCAAATACTTGGTACTGGATAGATTGATGTTGTCACTCGGAGACTAGATATGTTAAAAATCAACTTTTAGATCACAAACAAGAAAAAAAATTAAAAAAGTTCTTACCTATCACCATGAAGCAGTTCCTGACGATTCCTTCCGTCAAAAGACACCCAAGACGTATTTCGACTATCCGGTGAAATGGATATTTTCAATTCAACGCCCGCAGGAACAACAATTGGGCGAAAGCTGAGAGAATGAGGACATATGGGAGTAATCATGATTGCAGGCACACTTGGATGAACCATTGAAGCACCAGCTGCTAACGCATAAGCTGTACTTCCTATAAATAACAAAATCAGCTGTTAAAATATCTTTGATGAAGTAATAAAGCATAAGAAGCTTACCACTTGGGGATGAAACGATTAGCCCATCGCCCTGAACTGATGTTATATGCCGTCCATCCAAAAACAAGTCAATATTGCTTAAATAAGGTGATGGTCCACGATCAATAACAACCTAAAGTACACATTAGATTATGAGTATATTTACATGATATAAAGCGATAATTGTTTGTGGATATTAAGGCCAATTAAGGTAAACTCTTTACTTAATTGCTTTTTTGAATATTAAATAAGTTTACTTAATAATAATAATAATAATTTTTTCTTAATACATAATTCGTCTACAGCAGGGGAATTACCTCATTGAGCACGAGAATATTTGTTGACGGCAATGCATTGCTATTATTAATACTATTTACACCACTACTATCGCATTCCGCCAAGTCATTTCTATCAGAGTCATTTTTATGATCTTTGTAATTCTTTCTCACAATGATGCAACGTAATCGACTACGTAACGTCAACGCTGCATGTCCTTCAAGTACATTTGTAACTTGATCTTGAAAATTTTGAAATTGGAATGGTGTCAAAAATCCTAATGACCCTAAATGAAAAGCCATAACAGGAGGAACTGATTGCTGAAATAGCAGTGATGCATACAGTAACGTTCCGTCGCCTCCCAAACAAATAATAAAATCGATTCGATCTGTTAAATCGTCTCTTCCATCCCTACGAAGAAGATATAACTTGTTAGATTGTCAAAAATGTCATTGATAAACGAGACTACTTACTTAAAAGTAACACACTTGTCTTTAATGTTCTGGAATTTTTTATCCTGAATTAAAAGTGGATCGTCTAGAACTGCAGACTCGACCCATACAACCATATGCTTCTCTTGAATCAGCCATTCAACAAGCTGAACAAACGGTGATAAAACTGTCGAATCTCTCACTTTCTTAATCACCAATACAGCTAGAGGTGGCTTATACCACGTTAATCGTTGACTGGCTGGATCCTAAAAGAAATGATCGTGTCACATATCGAATTTCCTATCATTAATAATGTCACACATACCTGAATTTGCATAACCATAGCTGAATTTTTCATTATTCGTCCACATGGTCCGAATTGCTGGACCGGAGATGGAGCATTTAAGCTTCTCGTTCTCCTGTGTAGATTAAAATAGAGACATCAAAATTATTATGCAACCATCAACATTTTTTAGTGAATTAATTTAATATTTTCTCGAAAAAATGAAAAACAACAGCCGTAACGATTAATAAATACGAACAGCCTTGGTGGAATTGTATCAACTTTGTATGAACTTTCAATGTTAATATTTGGTGTGAGGAAGTGGTGTTGTCCATGCTCTTCAAACTTAAAATGCACAACATTTCGACTCGGATTCATTATTATCTTTACGAGTATAAGCTTCTATTTCTATTTATTTAATATTTTAGAGATAACTGTATATGCTTATCTCTATCTCGAGTATTGATAATATTTATTAAAAATTGATTTTTAAGCGTAATTTGAATCTGACAACAAAAACGCTTTGTACTCTAAACCGATCACCGTTTCAAACTATATTAACGTGATTCTATATGATCAAACAAATTTTATACATTTTGCTGCATTTTGCGTCAAAAAAAAAGAGAATGTTTATGGAGCAGTTGCAATCTGTATGCATGCACACATATGATTCTTAATTTTACCTCTCTAAGGTTATTTGTCATGTTGCAGAATGACATCGAATTTTTTTTTCTAGACAGTTTTTATCACACTTTTTATTTTCGATGGTTCGACATTTTGCGGATTTAAGTGACTGGCAAGATTGATCTAATCTAATTTATTAAGTGAATTGCGAATTAAGAAAGTTGAAAAAGTTTTAACCGTTCAGTAATTCAGTTCATTTGAGATGGGTTTATTTGATTGTTCAAGAACCGTTATTTTTCCAATTACAAAATCTGATTTGACTGTAGATTAGAGATTTGGTTTTATTGCTAACAATTCAACTACCAATGTCTTAATTGTGTAGACTGAACCGTTAAAATAAAAATTCAGATTTAGAAAATCAGTCGTTTACTGATTCAATTCATTCCAGTTCAGTTCATTTAAATTCTCAAAACCCGTTATTTTTTGAATTCACGAAAATCGTTGAAAATAAACCAAACCAGTCAGTTCCACAAATCAAGTCGTTAACATTGCGCCTTAGTCATTGACACAGTGAGCTTTTAAGGCACTTTATTCGCTACTGATATATTAATATTTTTTTTTCTTCTCTCCGTCTATTTACCTTATATATTGATAGTAACTTGAAACAGCTACTTTACAGATATACTTAAATTTTATTTAAAAATATAATATACGGAATATATTATGAAATAGTAAGCAGATTTTACGAAAAGTATGTAATAATTACAAATCGTGAACAAAAAATTGTAGTGTCTTGCAGTACAGCTTAATTGACAGTGATCGAAAGTTTTAAACGATATAGAAGTATAATTAAGTGAACTCGCTATGCCGGGGCATGTATAAATTTAAATATTAAAATTAACTGAATTTAAATTTAATGACACTTTAAATTTCAAAATAGACAGGCAAGCACACAATCCGAAACTTTATTATTATTATTGTTTTGCCTTAATTAGAGCACGCACGCACGTTGGCAAGTTTGAGCTAGATACGTTAGAAATTGATAAACTTACGGCCAAGTTCCCGATTTTCCACGATGTGGCATAAGACAATTGAAAAGATCGTCATTTAGTTCCGTAGCTTTGGTATACAAATTATTATTATTGTCATTATTCTTTTGGCTCCTTTCGAGACTATTTTGTTGTGAGAGTAACATTCGATTATAATGCCATGATAAGCCATAAGACATTTCTTGATCTAATTTGTTTTTGTGTAGTTTTGAGAGATCAATGTCGGAGCGGAATGCCATTTTGTTTTTGTGTGTTTGCAGACTGGCCTAATTTACTTTTAATTATCACTAATTAATATCCAATAGATCTTGCCTTCACAGCTGTAATTTCACAATCGACTTAACTTTTGCACTTTGGTTTTTTTTTTGTTTCATTAATTTTTTAATGTCATACGAACTAAGCACATTGCGTGTCCTCTTTTACAGACGTATAGCTATTTTGTAATATCATAAATTTATGCAAAACCTGTTGCATAACATTAAACTCTCATGTCTTGTGTTGTTGACAAACTTTTTTATAACTTGGGTAGGCTTGACTGCTTGCCTTAACGTCTATTCTATCACTTAACAACTAATCTTTTAGATTTCACTTATATTTTATTTTAAAAAATTGAGTCAGGAAAACGAAAATGATCTTTATAATTTGAAAAATCAATCTATGGAGTTCCGGATTAATACTTGATGGTATTCAAGGCTAAAATCACCAATGGATTTTCCATAACAATCTTCTCTCTTTTACATTTGTGTTGATCTACCCAATCAAAATCTTTTAATTAGACACATCTCTTGCACAATATAGGTTTTTGCATTTAACATCGACACGCTCAGTCTCGCAATATAAAAATTATTAAATATATATTTTCTGGCACAATAAAGTGAAGCTTTTATGTAGCACAAGATTCCGTATACACTTGTCGATAAACTTTCATTGTTTTATTGATGATCGCAAAAACATCGAAGAGCCAAAAAAAAGAGATTTCTTTAACAAAGAAACTCGAGCTTGATTTAATGAACGTTTTGAATCAACAGTCGCGCGATCACTGAATAATGATATTTCTTTTTTTCTGCGGTGTGCTGTGTCAATATGGAATTTACTTTAAATTATAATAGCAGCCAGTAACCTGCTGTAGTCTTTTTTTTCTTCAAAAATGAAATTGATAATACACAAGCGTGCATGTTAAATATTTTATAAAAAAGCTTCTCTCTTTCTCACACATACTGATTCTATATTTTATAATGTTTCGTGTAGTCATTAAGTAAGTAAATGAGTAAGTGGAAGCAGATTTTACGGAAATCATCTAGTCTGTATGACTAAGGCGCCTTTAATTGCTTTACTTGCCAAGAATAATGACTATTTGGGAATGTTAAATTTTCAACGGTTTTTTAACAATTTGAATAAAATGAATTGAAATGAGATGAACTTTCTTTTACTGAACGAATTTCATAAGATCCAGTAAACTGCAAAAAGCAGTCAGCCAATGTGAAATTGGTCATAGTAATGCTCACAATCGTGCATGCGTGCTATTACCAACACTTACTTTTACTGTTATCATACAGCTTGCTCATTAATCTCTCCAAAATATAATTTGGCTTCTTCTTCATCTAATTCGTTCGTTATATACAGCAATACGCATAGAATTACATCGCAAATTCTCTCTTAATTCCTTCTTACATGACTAATCATGTCATTGTACTTGAATATTATTAATTTTACATTTTCTTTAATAATTCATGTACAGACTGAATGAGTCACTTTAATAGTTTACATTCATTGATTCTCCCGTACTCACCAGTCCTGTTCTAGCGGCGTTAGTTCTTCCTTTTCATTCATTTTTTCAAAAAACAAGGTAATAATCGACAACAAACAATAATAATCAACTTTTTTGAGGAATTAACAATCACAATTGCACTAAAATGAGCATTTTATAAAGCTCACGTATTAAGACTATTGAAGTAAAGAGAAATTATCTCATTTGGAATCTAGTTCCTTCACTATACTTAATTAATCATTAGTTAAGTAATAATAAATTTCTATTATTATCAGATTGGGACAACTTTATTCATTTTGTCACCCTCTACTCTAATGTTCAAAATTTGAACTTAAATTTGAAATTGTTTTATCCGTTGAAACTAACATGTGATATGGATATATAGTACAAATGAATAATTGGAGCAATCAGATGATATCGCATGACACAATTATATGCATGCTATTAATGTCAATTTACCTAAACATCCTCGCTCGCTCCTCACTTGTAATATTTTTCCTAAGCGACGGCACTGTATCATTTTCAACAATAGTATGTGCAATTTTTATATTCTCCAGAAATGTCGTCTCCATAAATTAGCCTTTTTTATTGTTATTTCACTGAAACTGGATGTCTTTAAAGCCTTTATTCTTTTTTTGGGATAGGTTTGCTGAATATTTAAATTAATTAAAGTTGGACTTAAAATGTATCTCTTAATGACGGTCAAATAATTGATATTTATTGACAGATTCACGTTTTTCTACGCTGTACGCTGTTGTATCCACAGAAAGAATAGACAACGAACTAACTGAATGTACAACATATATTAAAAGAAAGAAAACAAAAACTACAGTATTTAAAAAGAAAAAAAAGATGTATTTTTTCACAATGTACTTTACTCTAAATCACGTTTTATGTACTGTACATGGGGGATATATCTATGTATGTGCGGGAATCAGATGAGAGACTTAAGGAGACTTTTGAAAAAATTGATCATTGATTAATAATTATGTGCGTGGCTTAAGGCTTACCAGACAGAGACGGAGAGACTTGACTTGAGAGAAATGATACATTGTATTACTTATATTGTTATTCAAATCTTTTTGTTGTTGTATTCGGATATAATTAATTTTTTTTATCCCCTCATCCTCTCGAGTGATCTGAAGTGGCTCGGTGGCGGTATGGCTTAGTACTTTGATACCTAATTGTTGTGACATCGACATTATGTCATCTATTCTAGACTCTAGGCTGTAATTTTACTAAAAGCGTGGTTCTGATCCCATTTTAAACCGTTTTTGGTCAAGATTTGAGTATAATGACTATTTGGGAATGTTAAATTATTCTAGACTCTAGGCTGTAATTTTACTAAAAGCGTGGTTCTGATCCCATTTTAAACCGTTTTTGGTCAAGATTTGAGAATCATCGTTTTAAATATTATAGACCCTCTATTGCTTTGCTAGATCTGACGAGCTCTAGTTTATTTTTTGAAATATATTTTCTTCTCGAAAGATCATTAAAGAGAAATGACAATCGATCTACTTTTACTAGCCTAGGCTAGGCTAGAAGGAAGCGAAACAATAGACATGAATGAATGGATAAGACAATGAGACATTTAAAAATATATTCGTGACATGAAATCCTGTTTTTTGATTCGCTAATGCGATAATAATCGGCGAAATAATATTACCTGAAATGTCATTAGTTTGTATGAAGACGTTTGCATGTATTATAAACTTGATTGTTAATCAAATTAAAGAGCCCGAAATTTGATGTGTAAAAATTAACGGCTTTTATCTTTTTGAATTTTCAGTAAAAATATTTTGACTCCCCTTTCAGGTCTTCTCTATCTTTAATTTTAAATATAAAGATATAAAGATAAAGATTAAATCCTTTAATAAAAGCTAATATTTTCATCAATCTTATGCTGGTTCTCTATGGAATTAGTAAAATAAATTCATCGTGGGTAGAAGGTTGTGCAAATCTGAAGAAAGATTTTTGTTTTTTTTTTCTTAATTTTCTTAATTATAATGAATTTCTACAAGCAGACAGTCGAAGAGGTAAGTTAACCAAATAATCAACTAGTCAATTGTTTGAACTATCATGTCCACGTATGCAGGCATTGGATCAAAATGCAGAAAGTGAAGAAAAATGGAAAAATTATAAAGATACTGTTGGTGAAACCCGGAAAACAGTTAATACATTTCTAAAATCTTTTAAAATGGAAGTAATGGTACCACTTGGCAAGAAGGCCTTCGTCAGAGGAACTCTACAGCACACAAATGATGTCTTAGTGTCGCATAGCAGTAATTATTTCTCTGCTGTATCAAATTGTCAAGCAAATGAGATTTTAAAGCGTAGAAACATAGTTTGTGAACAGAAATTAAAGGAACTGGATATAGAGGAGAATCTCTTCAGGTGAGATAATAGATTGATTAATATATTCTATAGTTCAAATTAAATTAATCTTAATATTCAGAGGCAAACTGGATATTTCAAGAAATGATGCATTTTCTGAACAAGAGATTATTGAGGAATACAATGAGGAAGCTGAGACTGAATGGAGAAATAGGCATCGAGAAAGCATCAAAAAGCATAAACAACAAGAAGCTGAAGAGCGAAAAACTCTAGAAAACAGTCAGATCACCAATTTGTTAGATCAGTATGAATTAATAGAAGAAATGACTGGTGAATTGGAAGGTCTAGAAGAAAATGAAGACTACGACTATGAAACGTTATTAAAGTTCATTGAAAAGGCACCAGAAACTAAGATAAGGGTAGCTCATGATGTGAATTTGAACGAGATACAAACATACAATGAAGTTAAACTTCCAGAAATCAATAGTGGGGCAATTTCTAAGCAACAAGGTATATCCATTGAACCCAAACAAATTCGGGATGTTGAAAAGCAGGAATTAATTAACGATAAAGAAAATCAGTCGATTAATAATTCAGATTCAAAGAAGAAGAAGCCTCGAAGGAAAGTCAGATTCTCGACATCATTAGAAGATGTCAAAATCATTGAAGCTACTACTGGACAGTCTGCATTTCCACCGATTCAAATTACTTTTGAGCATTCTAATGAGAGATTTAATCCAGAAATTTACAGTGGAAATGATGATGATGTACAGTTTAAACATCCAGGAGAGATTATCAAGATTCTCAGCACTATTGGTCCAGAACATCAGAAGCAAAAATCTATTCTCAAAGAAACAAATTACAAATATGATAAAAATACTGATCCAAAGCTTCAAAGTCACGCAACTGTTGACGAGGATATTTACGATTCTCTTTCGAAATTTCCACTAATTTGCGGTGAAGTCATCGAAAGGAAAACTGAAGACGTGAAAATTGTCAATGAAAATGAAAAAACAGGGAAAAAAACTAGTAAATTTAAGGTTTTAAGAAGTAAAATAAAGTAAATTTTTTAAACGTATGAATAAAATTCAAAATATTAAGCAAACTATTCAGTCGAGTAGTCAATCACCTGCTGTCTATTTTATACAATACAAAGCAGAGCACAGCAATATTTTCCAGAATAAAAAAGATTGAGAAAGACTTACGAGAAATTATTTAAAAATATTAAGTTTAGATAGGATTATTAATGTTTAAATTATTGAGTCGTGGAGTGTGAAAAGTCAGTGATATTAGAATCATTGAGTTGTGAGGATTAAATTTGTGAATTTCGAAATTTTTGATAAAATTAATAATATTGATGAGTATATCATTTAATCAGCCTTCAAAATTTCGAGTTTTCGTCATTGAATACAAGACAGACACAAAGACATCGATCGCTCTGCCGGTGCTTTAGACGTGTGCCGTTTTTAATATGCATTAATCGACTCAAAAAACCAGACACCATCTAAGAATTTGAATAAAATTAAGATCCAGTTTAATAAATATATATCTCTAGTGCTACACAAAATAAGGAATAACAAGTTACAAAAATGATAAACTCTGTGCTATTAACATCGTCGATTTCCACAATATTTCCTTTAGTTGCATTTATCATCACTGTAATTGCATTCATATTGCTGTTTTTTGTCAAGTAAGTATAGTATAATTAAATAAAAAAAAAATCTATTTTCTTGCCATAATCCACACACATATAATATAAGGTCAGCATTTCAACGAAAAAAATAAAGTGTTGTAACTACGAGAAAAAGAAAAAATCAAGGTCACATGAATGAATTGATGCAGAAGACATATGTTGTGGTAAAAAAAATAATGTTAAACTACCTAGGGATCGTTACATAAGTCATGTCCAACAATTTTAGTGACCCTAGGAAAGGAATGGATGGCAATTGTCTATGTAATGGAATGTTGTGTATTAAAGATCCTAAGCTGATAGTTCATTGTCAATTCTTAATGAACTAGTCACGAATCTCAGATCGTGTAATATTAAAGTCTTTCCCAAAGAATGTGATTACTTCACTTGCTATTGCTTGGTATGTCGTACCTGTCAATATGTAGAACTTGTGAATAGTTCTGATCAAAATTGTAGGGCTGATGAATTGACTCTTGAACATTTTTAATATGGAACTAATTCCTTTGGTTCGGACTGCATTGCTATAAAAGGCTCAGTTTTAATGATTGTGTCTAAAATGAACCACAGTGTCTAAAGCTCAAAAGGCAAGACTCTTAGCCATGTTTGAAGTGTTGTAACAAAGTGTTACTATTGGTTCTAGCAAATCCAGATTTTGACATCCATTATTTATAAATATCCCCATTAGTGCTATTTGGGTCTTTATTTCTGCAAAACTATATTGTCATCAATATATAAATGCGTTTATTTTAATGAGATTCAATTTTTTTGTCTGTGATCTTTTACGATAAGACATGAATATTATCATATTCTCAAGGACTTTATCTGCGTCCAATAATACCGTTGTTTTGGATTCTATTAGTTTGGCAGAAAAAAAAGTATTTACCATAAAACAGGCTCTTGCATCATCCATGCTGAATAAAAACATTTGAATGTAGTTTTTATGTTCAATTGAAAGAAATCGAAAATATTGCAAAATAAGTGTGTGTGTGTGTCTGTATGCTCGGGCAGTAAATGAAGTAATTGACAAAAAAAATTCTTTTCCCTTACTTACAGAGTAGTGAACCAAGGTGATGTGATTAGACAATCTTCAATGTCTATAAATGCTACCGTACAAATTCCTCAAATAAAAATGACAAAAGTTCATATACCATTCACATTTCGCTTAGAGACTCAAAAAGATTCCGATGAAGGTGAGCAAACAAATCTTTAAGCTATTAGAGATTGACACTTCCCAATATTATTGTTGTTTCAGCTGTGAAGTTTGTAATATCGAGCAATGTTAAGTACACGCTGCAAGCCTTCTTCAATGTATCAATTCGTGAATTACACATGTCAATGTGGAGAAGTTGGAATGAAATTCGAGAGAGTGTTCATACGAGGCATGAAAGCATTATCGATCCAGCACATTGTAAACAACTAGCAGTTGACTTGCGGTAGCTATCAAAAATTCATGTCATTTGATTGTAGTCAATTTTAAAGTAAATTTGTCATGGTTCTATTTTTAGTGACCAACAGCCACATGCTGAAGAGCGTACTATTGTGATAAAGTCTTTGGGAGACTTAAATCTCGGAAAGGCTCCTCGTCAGGCATATCCATTGGTGGTGTTCCTTATTAAAGCTGACTGTGAAAATGAGAATCTTGACGATACTGTAAGCATTCGTTTTAGGGATACGTTCGCATATTACGGGACATCTAGGGCATGTATTCAGTCATAAGCCTAAACCTTTAATCTACTTGAGAATCGTTGAACTTGCAATATCAACTCAAATACATGCTTTGACTCAAGAGACTGGATTCAATAGGAATCCAGCGTAGTCAAGTAAGAGTTAATTTTTGACTGTTTGTTTCCCTGAATACAAAGCTAATAGGTTCATTTTAGTGATTTATTATTCATATACAACCTAACTTATTTTTGAGGTCTCTGACTGTGTCCCAATTAAAATATACCCAAAAATGATTGAAATGTTTCTTTGAGAAAAAGACCAGCTTAGATGCTGTGTAATATGCGAACAGACTCTCATAATTGTGGTTCTACATGCTATCGATCTTTTATTTAATTTGTCAATTATCAACATTCTTTAGGTTCTTTTAATGAACGTTATTCATATCCGAGACACTCAATGTCCATTGCCAACAAGTGTAAGTATGAAATAAGAATAAAGTGGTATAAAATGCTACTCATTACATTTCATCGTCCATCATTAGGTGCTTGCTCAGTATTTAAAACAGGCTTCTGGACAGCTCTCATGCTTAAAGGTAAACAATCTTAAGAATCTCACACATCTGGTTTTTAATTAATTCCTATTTACTATTTTTAGCAACTTTATCTGTCATCTGTTGATAGTGACGGCGAGTATTCATATTCTAAAACAGGATCACTTTCATTAGCGGAACCGGTGGCATGTACCAGTGATAGCTTACCAATTTTGTGCTCCGACACATTAATGCCAGAAAATAATGACCAATTGTGCGTTGTGTGCCGTTTCTATCCACTTTCTAGAGCACTATTACCTTGTAGGCATACTGTATTATGTGCAATTTGTTTCTGTGAGTAATTGTCATGCTTATGGAGGCTAATCTTGTATTTTACATGATTTTTATTTATTTTCTTACACAGCTAAACTGGATCGTTGTCCGATTTGTCGTAGTCCAATTACAAGCTATTTCTGCATTAGATCAGAAGATTATATTAGTAGCCATACGACGATCATACAAGAACCAAAGAGTAGAACATCATTCATTGATGCTATAAATGATTTCATTAATGATAGATTAACGGATTTCCTAGGATTTCGATAATTTTAGTCTCCTTCCTCTATTCTAAATTGCAACTATGATTTATGTAAATAAAAACTAATAAGGGAAAGAAATCAATACTTAATAAAAAAGTGTTTAGACGTTTTACTTGGCATGAATTCTAGTGTTTCTTATGCTCTCAAAACATTATGGTACATTTATAATTAATATTCCTTGACATGTCATGTTTGAAAACAACGAGGGTTTGGATATGTCTGAAGAGGTTTGTTTGAATGATTACTTATGGATATGGATATTTTTGCATGGATGAATTTTGCAGCACTTAACTTTGAAGTTATTATGACCTCTATGTACTTGTGATGTCAATATTTAAAGGGAATGGATAAGATGACTGAAAATCCTTATTAATTGTTTCACTAAGAATAGTTCATGAGGTTGGAGAAGGCATGATATGGATTATATGGACACAAAATGATTACCCTCGAAAAATTACTAACGACGAGTCTGCATATTTTCTGTCAAATATTGTGTCACGACAAAGATTTTTATTTTGATAGAATCAGGTCGAATAAGCGAGATAAGAAGCTTAATGAAATTTATCAGCACTGCACATTTCTTACAAACCGTTGTTTTTAAGAAGGGGTGCAGAAATAGAAAATGATAATATAATTAGATCTAAAATAAAGCAAAACTAGGGATAATAAATTCTTTAAGTTAAGGATTCATTCAGTTGTTGTGTAATATAGAAAAATAGAATTTTAGGAAATTTGCTTAATATAACCCCTTTATCCTCAGTACAAGTTCTTCAAATTATCACAAGTTGGGTGAATTGTTACATTTTCTGAGAAACTGTTTGCTCCTAAGAATGTGTACGTAATGTGTGATTGATCCCTGTAGTAAAGCATGTTATTTAATTCTTTTTATAAAACAATAACATTTTTTTAATAGAACTGTTCGATTCATACAAAAGCAATTGTAAATATTAATTTTCTTAGAATTCACTGACTTGCACAATGTTTATTTTCATGTCAGAGATGTGGTAAGGATTAATCAAGGTTGGTTTGAATCTAAACCCTACTTCTCAAAAAAATTATTTTATTTCCGAAATGGTTCTTTTTTTATCAAAGAGAATTTTTGGAATTAACAAAACAGCACAGCCATTAAGTTAAAGGAGGGTTGATGTGGGGTTTCAAATTCTTAAAATCCTCCACTTTCAACTTCTTTCAGTATCGAGAATGTGGATTTTTATGGTTCTTTCAAGCAGGATAACGTTAATTCAAGAAGTTGCCCATCTTTTATTCAGCATCAATTCATTAAAGAACAATTATTACCGGCACTTAAAAGTAAATGAACAAATAAGCTCTAAATTCCAAAAAATAGTTAACAATAACAATTGAAATTGAAGATCTCAATTGAAAGAAGAAGTATCACATCGTGAATTAAATAAATAAATAATAAAATATCTGACATGTGATTATGATGAAAACATAAACTAACAACAGCAATGACAGGAACGACAACAAATTGTCGTGCATCAACCAAAACCAAAAGTGATTGCAAAAAAAATTTCCCTTTTCCGAAAAAATGACATTATTAAACCATTCTATCATGTTGGGATATGATAAACAAATGTTTTTACGTTCCTTACATATTTATTTTATCAATGCATACGCTGGAATGGCAAATAAATGAAAAAGTCAATGCTCTAAAGTCACGTGTCAATGACAAGTGTCAACGTTGTTCAAATATCATTTTGTTTAGTTTAAGATACATCTAGTAATGCGAGGGGTAGATTTTTAGGTATCATCGCATCGCGTAAACAATAACGATTTCCATTAATTATTAATATTCAGCCTCCTGCTTTCGACAACAAGAAATTACAAATTAATTATAAAATAAAAATCTGTTTTTTATTATCCAAATGATTCTATTGAAAATATCCTCAAACATAAAGTGCTGTTGTGTACATCCACGACTAGCTCTTTTTGCACAAAGAAGACGAAGAATTGAAAGATGAAAAGATAATTTTTTTTGTACGTTTGGATATAAATGTGATACACATGTTTAGTTGGGGTGCAAGAATTGATTTCCTTGTTGTTGTTCACAAGCCTTTAACATTCAGGCTATAATAATGTGTTGCTTAGAGTATCAATTATGGTGAATATTGAAAAATTATCGAGATAATTTGGCCAATTTAGAAACACCGTTCCAATGTAATTATTTTCTGTCCTAAAGGCATTTAAACACTCAAAGCAAATATTCCTTATACTTAAATGCATGTTAGATATGCTACACATACTGTTGATACTTATCGGCTTGTCAGTAATTTTTATTTTAATATTAATAAATTGAATTTTATGAAGTAGTTTGGCATTCATAGGTTTAATAGATATAATAAAATGTTTTGTGTCTGTTGATTTATAGGCGTTTAATTGAATGCTATATCGGTGCTATTTGTAGTTATCATGAACTATGAAAGAAGTCATCATATGCGAGTGTTTAAGACACGATTTTTCAGCTGTGGAATGTTTGTTGCTTTATTTCTTTCATCAATTGATTTACATTAAAATTTCATTTTAAGAATATTGTGTTTGTGGAACTGTAAGCTGATTCATTAACCCTCGAATAACTTTTTACATTTTATCGGACATCCATAAAGTGGAAACTGTTCTAATGGATCTAAAAAATTTATTCTAAAAATGGTTTAATGCTTAGAATTATTTATATCAGTTATTCGAGAATTTTACAAACTTTATTTTATAGAAAGCATTCAGTACTTTATCGCTAATAAGTTCCAACAATAGTAATCTCAGTAAATTTAGATTTACTATTGAATTACTAATTATCGAGTCAATGAGTAAGTGCGATGTCAATCTATTGTGATTTTTTGGCTTTCTTTGCTTAACGCTGCTGTGTAAATTCTTATCTATGATTTTTTGTACCCTAGTTATATGCTAAGTTTTGATCAGTGCTATCCAAATTTTTTTAAGCCACGGCACATCTAAGGGGTAAAGCATGAGCAAGGTCATATAAAGCATGCGGCTCACGTCATTTTTAAAAACTTTCTACGGCAAAACAGTGTACCGCGGCACACAGATTGGACCAGATTGGACAACACTGATCTAGATAGATAATAGAAATATTTCTTAGGATGTACCCTGCTTTATAAATAGACTGCAGCTTACTGATTCAGATCAATTGTAATCTATAAAGACGTCACTTAAAGATGACTTTATTGCTGAATATCATGAATTTATTAATTATTTTATTAATTTTATTTTTAAATAACCTTAGGGGCCGTTCACTTATTACGTTACGCAAAAAAACGACTTTTTTCACCCCCCTCCCCCCCTGAACGTTCATAATAATTCAAATTTTTTCGTGAACTTTTTTAAACGACGTTACATACTTCTTGACAACCCCCCCCCCCCCTATGTTACATTTTGTTTTTCAAACCCCCCCTCCCCCCTAAAATGCGAACGTAATAAGTGAACGGCCCCTTACGGTTGTGTTACAGATATATTTATCATAATTGGTGACAAAGATTAAATTTTCCTACAAAAAATATTCTATTTTTATCTTAGACATCTTGTTACCTCCTGATTCATTACTGATTTAATAGGACGACATTAATGAGCGAACTCCTCATCTGTTTAAATCTTAAGCCAACGTTTCCAAAAGAACTGCATAAATTTTTAAAATCTTAATTCAAATATTTTTAATCGTGTGATGTGTACCAGCTCTTACAATGTACAATGTAAACCAACCCGTACAGCATATCCAGAAAAAAAATATAAATAACGAATTGATTATAATATATATCTTATCTAAATTTATTTTAATACATTACGTGCTGTGTACATGCAGAATACATAGGTTTGCATGAACATACAAAGTAAAATGATAATTTACATTCATAATATTGCATACGAAACGCACACACAAGGTTTACGAAAAACTGTCAAATATGAATCATAATCATGTCAGTTATTAGAGATATTTCTCCTATTGCCATCCGCACACCATTGATAAGTATTATTATTATTTTTTTTTTTTCACAGAAGCGTGCGAAATATAAACAAAAGATTATGATAGAAAATATAATAAATAACTTTATTATGCAGAGATAGAGACGTACATGGGTATGGTATAGAGTAAGTGACTGAAGAAGAGAGATCAAGTTTATTGTCTAGTTGGTTTATTAATAAATTTTTTCCATAACTCAGCAAACGAGAAAAAGGTATGTAATGTAGATATGAACGAATGTTTTCGCACAAATAGGACGCGCATTAGAACTAAGCTTTGGTATTGTCATAAAATAAACAAGATTTGCAATGAATATGAACATTCTCATTGATATTATTATTATTATTAACGAAGGAGGGCATGTACGAAATGTGTAGGAAATTTATAGTGTTTACATTGTACGTTTGACTCGCACACACAAATTTGATGGGTTGTTTTTTTTTGCATTTTTATTCCCGAAAAAGAAGTTTCTGTAAGAGAACGCAAGTCACCCCATGATATAAATTTCATATTTTTTCCTATAGGATTATGATGCAGCATAGAAATGAACGAGTGGAACGAATAATTATGTATATCTACGTAGAAAGTCACATTGCTTTTATTAATCTGTTACACGTGACCTCTCAAAGACTTTTTTTCATTTAATATTAGCTTTGATAGTGTGGTGTGAAGTAATACGTATCTGTTTTGACTTTAATGTTTCTATCCATCATTGTAATAAGTATTATAAAATCACAAGAGCAAATACATAAAATAATACTAAGGATAAAGTTGAGACGAATTTTATGTTGTACTGTATTTAATGATATTTAGATTAAGAGGAAGGAAGAAAGGGGCAACATTGTTTCCCAGGATTTTTCTCTATTTTTTTTAAAGGATGCATGCATTCGTTTGAGCATCAAATTAATGTTTGGAAAATTAAATGAAAACTCGTATGGGGTCGTTCACTTATGACGTCCGAAATTAACGGTCATTTTTCAAAAAAGAACAATGGATTTCACCTCAATCTAGAAATCCCTAAAATGCAGCTACCCTAATATGCAGATGGTACTGCTAAAGTGCAGATGAAATTTATTTTCCCTAAAATGCAGATGAAATGCTGTTGCTTTAAAAAAGGTATAATGCAG